TCATTCTTTTTATTCCGATTAGCTTCCAAAATTAATTCTTTTTTCGATTTAACAGCTCCTTTACCTTTTGGTCCTGAAAAAGCTTCACACATATCACTGACTTCCAAACACTCGTCAAATTCTATTTTGCACATCAATAATTTTTGCGAAAAACTTTTTTTAAATCTATTTGAATCATTCGAATAAATAGTATAATGTTCCAATATCTAAACATGTGCTCCTAAATATTACCCGACAAGCAATAAAAGAAGATCTGTTCCAAATAAAAGTGAAAAAGTTTCTATCATTATTTCACTTGGTTTTTTTGATAATTTTTGAACAAAGGTTTATTGCTATAGAAGTTAAACAGTATGTGAAACAAATTGAAGCTGTCATACAGCCTCCTTTTCTCAAAAAGGAATTGAGAATAATTAAAATCGTAGTAAGCATGGATGGAATATTAGAGTAATAATATTTTGATATATATAATACTTTGATATAATAATAATGAAATATAAGTGGTTAAAAAAGAGATTTTCGTACCGTTTCCTTTGCCTTTTGGTTGCCACTGCTGTTTCTCTTTCTTTTTATCAGTTTGATCAGTAAATTTTGAAGCAAATCCACGTGGTGTACGTGAAAAATCAACTAGCAAACTAGATCCACGCCCTTCAAGCGATTCAGCGAAGAATTCGTACCTGCATACAGTTATGGATCAAAATTCAATAAACGTTGTAGAAAATCAGCAATTTTCAAAGAAAAAAAATCAGAAAATTGTATTTTTCTGGAGGGTACAGTAATTCTGACCATTTGCTAAGCTTTTGTTTGTTCTTATTCTTATTCTTCATTCGGTATTCATTATCAATTCGCTCTTCGGGTTTAGTGTAAGGCTCTTCAATAGCATCGAGACGCCATTTAACACGCATCAAAAATTGTTTGAAAGTGGATGATTCCTTCAATGAAACATTAATTCAGGGCAAATGTAAAAAGATGTCATCAAGTGCAACAAATTTTTAGCATTACTCCAAAAATTCTGATACTGATATATAGCATAAAGAAAAAGAAAGAAGAAAATCGAAAAAAAAAAAAAACCAAAAACAGAAAATTTATTTAGCTCGAAAGCAAATTATTTCTACCATTTCCTGGCTATAATTCGGAAAAGCGCTTAGCATTTCTGGAGCGTATAGATTCAGCAATGCAGAATTAATAGGAAGAAGTGCAGGCTTCTTAGAATTCTCCTCTTTTATAGCCGAATCAAATAAAGCATCATCTATATCGACTTCAAGAGACAGCTCCAGACAAGCTTTTTTATGCAGATGAGCAAATTCCTGCTGAAGTCGATATGGAAGAACCTACAAAAAAATATATGTAAAACGAAAAACAAAGTTCTTAAAATTTGGAAAATTAAATTTTGTATTAAGTATTAAAATATTAAATTTTATAAGTTGATATTGAGAACTTTTTCAAGATGCATTAGCAGAGGATAAATTTTATTTGCGTAATTTCAAAATAAAAAAAGAAAAAGCAAACTTACTTTCACACCAGAATTTATAGCATCATATATTCCCGCTATGAAAGGACCGTCCCAAAGATCGATTAATGAGAAAGACAATGGATGCCGCTGTAAAATTTATGCAATAAATTTCACAAGCTTATTGGAGTTTGTAATAAGAAAGTTAAGAGAACATGAAGATGAATTAAAGAAAACATTAAACTCCACTCTTTTTAAAGTTTCTGTTAACATGTGCTGCTATACTACCTTCTACTTTAATGCAAAATCTACAAAATACATATATTCATAAAAGAATATACCTTTATATCAAGTGTATCCAGAAAAGAAGAACAAGAATTAAGCAATGTTCTTCGGAATTTGATAAAATCGATGCCTCTTTTCGAAGCTTTATTTTCTTCAAAATAACGACGCTCTGTTCCACGACGTTCACAAATCAATGAGGAAATAAGTACTGCAGATGTTAATGCATCAGATTCTTTTGGTAAACCACCACTGCAACATACAAATCCCATTTTTATTGGTAACGTTGTTTACCAGAACACAATTTCTAGTTTAAGTTTCAGCCGAAATGTATGTCTGATATAATTCTAAGTAAGAGAGATTTCGTTGTCTTACCGTATCTACAAATAAAGTAACCCCAAAATTAAAAAAAAAAAAATTAAGACTAGCATAATTTTGAGAAATTTAAGATCAACATAACTCTCAATCAAACACTTTTTAAGCATGATTTGTTACAAATAATTAAGATTGGATAAAATGAAGCAACAACCTTTTCTTATTATCTCCAATAATTTGAGCCCATAATTGTGAAACGCTTTTGCAACTTGACAAATTAATATTCCTGTGAACTTCTGAAAGTATTTCTGTAAAAAGTGATACAATGAAGAATTCAGGCTACAAAATAAGTCGGAAAAGCAGAAAAAAAGATAGAACAAACTGTTAAAACAATTAAAACAATATGCCGGACACCTTATTAATTAAGGACGTTCAAAATATTGTAGAATCTAACAATTTTCACTTCAGTTTCGCAGAACAAAACTATTTACAATTTGATAAGATTGTCAGTAATATATTAAAACACTAATAAAATAAAGTTATCATCAGCAGTTCGAACTACTAATAATTTTACTCTAACCATCTTTTTTTTCAACCCACAGTTGGATTAAATAATCGGTCCATCCTTTGAAATCCACCATGTGCGGTTCAACACGATGACTGTAAACTGAACAAAGATTTACGACGAGGCCATTTAAATACACGACGGGAATAGTTGAAGCAAGCGCCTGAAGCGCTATTGAAGCAAGAAGCTGTTTGAAACCCAACGCAGTATCAGCCACTACATTTTCTGACACATCATCAACGCCAATCAGCTGGAAAACGCATAAAATTCTTCTGTTTGGAATAACATTGAACCATAAAGGAAATAAGAAAGAATTACTGCGTACCAAAAATGAAGGCATCAACTCGTGCAAGTAAGATAACCAAAGTGAATCACTAGGATTTGCAAAATGATCAACATCTGCTGCCCATTGAGACTGAAGCAAGTAAGCTGCAACGAAACTACGCAGAAAGTTGAGGATCGTATCTTTCACATAGATGGCAGATAAATCCGTAAACCAAATTAATTTGAACTTTCCGCCAAGATTTGAAAGCTGTTTCAATAAAATCTCGATCTGAAAAAAAAAAAAAAATGTTAGACCTGAACTGGTAGAGTTAAAATATGCTGTAGCTATTTATCCGTGGCTATATGGCACGGATTTATTTGATTATCTGAACAAAGCTTCAAGATTATTAATTAATGATGTCGATAATAGTAATTAACTTAATTTCAGATTACTGACTATCATACAAAACAAAACACAAATTTATGAATTTTTACTTGTTTTGCGATAATGATAGTCTGTCCGCCTAACGTCCAATTCAAATAACTGTGTGCTGTAAGTTCGATTAATAACCCATCCAGCGATATTAAAAATATTTCTACATCCGCAAATTCGGAGATTATATTATCATACTTTGAATTGAAACGATTTAAGACCTGCAAGGTAAAACATTAGTATATCTCTCTTTAAGACAAAAGAAATAATTAATCGTCTTTCTCCCAGAGAAGAATATCTGAAACCAATTTTAGCCGAAAACAGAAAAGTACTACTATGGAACGCATATACCAGTTTGGACTTAAGACTAACTTGAGCAATTTCGTAACTAACTTGACTACAAGAGATCTACTTCAATTCTTCAATAAATTTTAGAAATTGAAAAAAAACTCAACCGATGGATAAATTTCCAATGCAACTTACTTCAACTAGGTTCACGTCACCTACAGTGAAATCATTAGTAATGACAATGTCGCCAGCTCCCTCATCCTCGCTTTCTGACTCAATATTGATTTTGCTTGAAGTTGATGTAGACATTCCATCTTCAGTCTAGAAATAATAAACGAAAATCAAAAAATATATCAAAAAGTATTGCATTAGAGCATCTGACCAAAATGCAATTATAATTATAATCAAAAAATCCTCACATCACTATCGTTATTCTCTTCAGTAAAGAGGCCGTTTTCCTCTTCCGGATTGATTGCTATTTTTGATATAGCACTTTTCTTGATTGGAATAGAATCCATTTCGATAAATTTATCCAGATTGTCCCAATTGGACATTGTCTTCAGAAAGACTGCTTTACTACTTATTGATTGATAACTGTTCAACTGTATTGGAATGCAGTATGATGAACAAACTGAAATTAAAGGATAGAGGATTTTTGCAGAAATTACGGAAACAATACATAGTCCTCAATACAATCATTTTCAAGATAACATATCGATGTATATTAACTTTTTAGGTCGTTGTTAGGAAGTAACACTTCAGCTCCTCAGAAAACATTATATGTTATCAGACTTTTTCAAGAAATATTCAATATTTTCAATCTTATGAGAAAAAAAAAATGACATATAACCTGAACACAGCCTGAACACTATGAAGGAAAATGTAAATAAAAAGAATTGTATAGAAAATTTATTTTTATATAATCCATTATAAACCAATAAAATCGATGAAAATTTATTTGAAGAGTTGAAGTGCTACTCTTTGACCTCATCATTTCACACTGTGATTACTGATGAAACGAACTTAGATATTTCAGGAAAAACGAATCTGACGTCACTGCCCTAATAAAACATTCTCTAACGGACCGACACGTTAAAAAAAGTTACGGATTATGCAATGAATACGGATCAATTACGTTTGAGTTCTGTTCCGTATTTTTCATTTTTTTAAAGATTCATTTTTGTTTTGTTTTCTTTTTTTTTGTGCTTATTATAAACAATGTCATGTTCTGATGTCACACAATTTTAAAAAGTTTTCAGATTTCAGATTTAATCGAAAAAGCGAAAAACTTTACGAATTTGAAATTAAATATTCAAATTTATATGTGATACTTGCGTTATTCTTTATTAATAAATTGAACGGGCTATTACAAGAATTTAAGAGGGAATCGAAGTGTTTCCTGTATTATGTCGCGTCCAGAATTTACCGGTCCTCCGGAATTGGTTTGTTAGCTAAAATTCTATATTAGCGACCGAGTTTTTTTTTTTTTTTTTTTACAAGCAATTAATTGTAATGAGTGATTTAACGATGTTTGAAATAGAAATATAGAGGAAGATAAATTTGTTTCAAATTTTAAAAGATATTTTGAAAGAAATTAATCATTCAATTAGGTTAAAGTGTAATATTTGTGTTACATTTTGTTCTTTTAGTATTACAATGATGCTCAAGCTGCTAAATACTCACAAAAGTAAGTTTTTTTTTTTTTTTTTTTTTAAAGTTTTTATCCGTATTGTTTAATTATATGTATTAACACTGCATTTCTTCATTAATCACACTTGTCCTCTTAATATACGGAAATTTCTAGTTCACATATTATTGAAATTCAAACGCGTATGACGGAACGAGCTATCGAATTGCTTGCTCTTCCGGATAATAATGTTCCAAAGTTGTTGCTGGACATTGGATGTGGTTCCGGATTGAGTGGAGAAGTTGTCACAAAAATGGGTCATAACTGGATTGGCGTGGATATTAGTGAAGCAATGTTAAGTACGTTCTAAATTTATTTCATATGAAGTATCGTATTCCTTGTGAAATAAATAAAACTCGAATGCTGATATTTTCAAGCTAACAATTTTGATGTCTAATGAGAGAAACTATTTCAGTGGAAGTCTTTGTGGCAGTTCTAAATTTAGATGATCAGGATTTAAATGTTAATTACTAATCATAATGGTGACTTTTTGTATATTATTAGTATAGTTACAACGAGCAATTAATACTTTCATCTGAGGATCCATTCATTAAGTAGCATAAATTGTAAGCTTCCTTCTTTTGTTACTTCATAGGATTTTAGAAGTTGCCGTTGATGATCGAGAAGTCGATGGTGATGTTGTGTTGAAAGATATGGGCGATGGTTTGCCTTTTAGAGCGGGTATATTTGATGGTGCAATAAGGTAAGTAATGGCTAAGCTTTCTAGATTTTCCGAATTTAATTTATTTGGTTTATTCCAAAATTTAATCAACTGAGTTTAATGTTTGAAATTTTTAATTCTTTTTAGCATATCTGCAATTCAGTGGCTTTGTCATGCAAACACTCGAGAACAGAGCCCACAAAAGCGGTTACTTCATTTCTTCCAGTCATTATACGCTTGCATGGTAAAAATTTAATGGAACTGATTTCTTCCCATTTATATTCCTTTTTTCTATATTCTTATAAAATGAAAATATATATGAAACACACTGCATTAGGCATACATTTGTTTTTGAATTAAATAACATTTCAAAGGGTAAAGAGCATTTCAGAGTCGCGGTACCCGTGCTGTATTCCAGTTTTATCCTGAAACCGTTAGTCAAACTGAACTTATAACAACTCAGGCAACAAAAGCAGGCTTTACTGGAGGCGTTGTTATTGATTTTCCTAATAGCGCCAAAGCCAAAAAGTACTTTAATATTTAAATGTTTTTTCCTAACTTTTAGTTGCTGTCAAAAAGTAGTGTTTTGGGAAGCGAATTGTTATCCTTTGTTATTTTTTGTTTGTTCTTAGTAAACTGAATGATTTTTTTAAAGAGTTTATTTGGTGTTGATGGTTGGTGGTATACAACAGCTGCCAAAAGCATTAACTGAAGAGGAAGAAGTGGATCAAGTTTTAAACATTGGAAGGAGGTAATTTGAAAACTTATTATGAATATTTGCCCTACAAGATTTGGAGATTATGTAAAGAATATTGCTTCATTTTAGATCAAGAAAAAATGATAAACGAGATAGACGAAAATTACTTAAACGTTCAAGAGAATGGATAGAGGCTAAAAAAGATCGTGCCCGAAAGCACGGAAAGTATGTTTTTTATTATTTCAAATCTTACGATTAGTAGGCTCATAACTATATGAGAATTGTGGAAATTAAAGTTTTTTTTTTTCTAATTATTACAAAATTTTTAAATTTGTGCAGGAATTTTCATATTTCAGAGATGTTTGTGCGTCTTCGAAATATACAGGTCGGAAAAGGAGACGTTTCACATAAGTCACGCATCAATTCACTTTGATACTTTATTTGTTTATCTTTTTTTTTTGTTGTTTCTATTGCGTATGATAAAACAACTGAAATATTTTTGTGAAAGACATTCTCTTAGCTTACACCAAAAAGATTTGAAAATGCTGTGTTAATACTTTTCAGTTACTTTCTAAATGAGGTTGTTTATTTCATCGGGAATCCAATAAAGAAAAGCTAGCCAATAGATAATATTGAATAAAATGTAGAGCGATGGGAAAACAATTTTGGAAGCAGAATCTATTCGATTGACTACATTCGTTGCATTCTTTATTTTCATTTTTTCATTTGCTTCAGTGGCAATTCGATGAAACACTGAAATTTGCATTAATTTTCATATGTGTGTTTCCACTAGCATTTAATAGTTTGTTATTAATTTTTAGTCCTTTAACCAGAAATTTTGTTTACTAATTGAAGTTTACAATTGATCTGATATTACTGTTAATTCTCGAGTAAGTAAGTGTTATTGATCTTTCGATGCAAAAGTATCATCAGTGATAAATGGATAAAAGCAATGAAATATAAGTTTCACACCTGAACGCATCTGCTTTGAGGTGAATAAATGCCGATTTGATTGAAATTTAAAATTTGGAATCATTGTTCTGTGATAAGTAATGGCACTATGTTTCGGTTGCACTAGTGGTGTTGGTAATGTGCATATTTTTGATATCTAGTAAGTGATTTTTTCACTAATTAAATAGCATTTAGTGGAAATAAAGGATTTGAATTGCTCATAAAGCAATCGATAATTTAATTTTTGTGATTGGTTCTGGAAGGACTTAAAATATATTGATGGTTTTTCCAATTTTTTTTTTTAAGATTATGGAATTTCACTTTTGAAATTCTCCTACCTCTTAAGTGTTTATCAAATCCTAAAAATGAAAAAGAAAAATGTTAGTAGTTTTACTCATTCCGTATAATATTAAAAAATGGATTCTTCGAATATTTACAAACTGGTCTAAAATTCTTGGAATTTAGGAGGAAAGTGTTACTTTTTTCCGGATGTTAGCTGTATTTACATGATTGATAATAGCATATTCAATCATTGCAGCAAAAACAAATCCGAAACATGAACTGAAAAGTATTTCAAAAGAATCAATTTAAATAATCTGAAGTGAGGAAAAAAATTTTTTTCAATTTTATAATTTACATTTTTTATACCTACCATGAATGATAACATTTAGTTCCTTATAAAAAATTCTGTATGAAAAAAAAAAAGAAAAGAAAAAATAGTTAAGAATTTTTGAATGTTTAGAAATTGTCACAAACAAGAAAATAATGTTTAAAAAAAAAAAAAAGGAAAAAAACTGCTCACATAATATAAATATCGAGAGCTGTTGAATGCGAAACTCTTGGTAAATCAGATCGATAACTGAAACCCAATGTTGACACCGAAAGTACTGTCATTATGCCTAAAATTTAGCTATATCTAATAATATCTGTATTAAATTTTAGTAATATCTAGTATTATTTTATATTAAATTCAATAATATCTAGTAATATCTCTATTAAATTTAATAATATCTTCTAATATTTTATATTGGATTTAATAATATCTAGTAATATCTCTATTAAATTTAATAATATCTTCTAATATTTTATATTAGATTTAATAATATCTAGTAATATCTCTATTAAATTTAATAATATCTTCTAATATTTTATATTAGATTTAATAATATCTAGTAATATCTCTATTAAATTTAATAATATCTTCTAATATTTTATATTGGATTTAATAATATCTAGTAATATCTCTATTAAATTTAATAATATCTTCTAATATTTTATATTAGATTTAATAATATCTAGTAATATCTCTATTAAATTTAATAATATCTTCTAATATTTATATTAGATTTAATAATATCTAGTAATATCTCTATTAAATTTAATAATATCTTCTAATATTTATATTGGATTTAATAATATCTAGTAATATCTCTATTAAATTTAATAATATCTTCTAATATTTTATATTGGATTTAATAATATCTAGTAATATCTCTATTAAATTTAATAATATCTTCTAATATTTTATATTAGATTTAATAATATCTAGTAATATCTCTATTAAATTTAATAATATCTTCTAATATTTTATATTGGATTTAATAATATCTAGTAATATCTCTATTAAATTTAATAATATCTTCTAATATTTTATATTGGATTTAATAATATCTAGTAATATCTCTATTAAATTTAATAATATCTTCTAATATTTTATATTGGATTTAATAATATCTAGTAATATCTCTATTAAATTTAATAATATCTTCTAATATTTTATATTGGATTTAATAATATCTAGTAATATCTCTATTAAATTTAATAATATCTTCTAATATTTTATATTAGATTTAATAATATCTAGTAATATCTCTATTAAATTTAATAATATCTTCTAATATTTATATTGGATTTAATATATCTAGTAATATCTCTATTAAATTAATAATATCTTCTAATATTTTATATTGGATTTAATAATATCTAGTAATATCTCTATTAAATTTAATAATATCTTCTAATATTTTATATTAGATTTAAATAATATCTAGTAATATCTCTATTAAATTTAATAATATCTTCTAAATATTTTATATTGGATTTAATAATATCTTAGTAATATCTCTATTAAATTTAATAATATCTTCTAATATTTTATATTGGATTTAATAATATCTAGTAATATCTCTATTAAATTTAATAATATCTTCTAATATTTTATATTGGATTTAATAATATCTAGTAATATCTCTATTAAATTTAATAATATCTTCTAATATTTTATATTGGATTTAATAATATCTAGTAATATCTCTATTAAATTTAATAATATCTTCTAATATTTTATATTGGATTTAATAATATCTAGTAATATCTCTATTAAATTTAATAATATCTTCTAATATTTTATATTGGATTTAATAATATCTAGTAATATCTCTATTAAATTTAATAATATCTTCTAATATTTATATTGGATTTAATAATATCTAGTAATATCTCTATTAAAATTTAATAATATCTTCTAATATTTTATATTGGATTTAATAATATCTAGTAATATCTCTATTAAATTTAATAATATCTTCTAATATTTTATATTGGATTTAATAATATCTAGTAATATCTCTATTAAATTTAATAATATCTTCTAATATTTTATATTGGATTTAATAATATCTAGTAATATCTCTATTAAATTTAATAATATCTTCTAATACTTTATATTAGATTTAATAATATCTAGTAATATCTCTATTAAATTTAATAATATCTTCTAATATTTTATATTGGATTTAATAATATCTAGTAATATCTCTATTAAATTTAATAATATCTTCTAATATTTTATATTGGATTTAATAATATCTAGTAATATCTCTATTAAATTTAATAATATCTTCTAATATTTTATATTGGATTTAATAATATCTAGTAATATCTCTATTAAATTTAATAATATCTTCTAATATTTTATATTGGATTTAATAATATCTAGTAATATCTCTATTAAATTTAATAATATCTTCTAATATTTTATATTGGATTTAATAATATCTAGTAATATCTCTATTAAATTTAATAATATCTTCTAATATTTTATATTGGATTAATAATATCTAGTAATATCTCTATTAAATTTAATAATATCTTCTAATATTTTATATTGGATTTAATAATATCTAGTAATATCTCTATTAAATTTAATAATATCTTCTAATATTTTATATTGGATTTAATAATATCTAGTAATATCTCTATTAAATTTAATAATATCTTCTAATATTTTATATTGGATTTAATAATATCTAGTAATATCTCTATTAAATTTAATAATATCTTCTAATATTTTATATTGATTTAATAATATCTAGTAATATCTCTATTAAATTTAATAATATCTTCTAATATTTTATATTAATTTAATAATATCTAGTAATATCTCTATTAAATTTAATAATATCTTCTAATATTTTATATTGGATTTAATAATATCTAGTAATATCTCTATTAAATTTAATAATATCTTCTAATATTTTATATTGGATTTAATAATATCTAGTAATATCTCTATTAAATTTAATAATATCTTCTAATATTTATATTAAATTAATAATATCTAGTAAATCTCTATAAAATTTAATAATATCTTCTAATATTTATAGATTTAATAATATCTAGTAATATCTCTATTAAATTTAATAATATCTTCTAATATTTTATATTGGATTTAATAATATCTAGTAATATCTCTATTAAATTTATAATATCTTCTAATATTTTATATTGGATTTAATAATATCTAGTAATATCTCTATTAAATTTAATAATATCTTCTAATATTTTATATTAGGATTTAATAATATCTAGTAATATCTCTATTAAATTTAATAATATCTTCTAATATTTTATATTGGATTTAATAATATCTAGTAATATCTCTATTAAATTTAATAATATCTTCTAATATTTTATATTGGATTTAATAATATCTAGTAATATCTCTATTAAATTTAATAATATCTTCTAATATTTTATATTAGATTTAATAATATCTAGTAATATCTCTATTAAATTTAATAATATCTTCTAATATTTTATATTGGATTTAATAATATCTAGTAATATCTCTATTAAATTTAATAATATCTTCTAATATTTTATATTGGATTTAATAATATCTAGTAATATCTCTATTAAATTTAATAATATCTTCTAATATTTTATATTGGATTTAATAATATCTAGTAATATCTCTATTAAATTTAATAATATCTTCTAATATTTTATATTGGATTTAATAATATCTAGTAATATCTCTATTAAATTTAATAATATCTTCTAATATTTTATATTGGATTTAATAATATCTAGTAATATCTCTATTAAATTTAATAATATCTTCTAATATTTTATATTGGATTTAATAATATCTAGTAATATCTCTATTAAATTTAATAATATCTTCTAATATTTTATATTGGATTTAATAATATCTAGTAATATCTCTATTAAATTTAATAATATCTTCTAATATTTTATATTGGATTTAATAATATCTAGTAATATCTCTATTAAATTTAATAATATCTAGTATTATTTTATATTAGATTTAATAATATCTAGTAATATCTCTATTAAATTTAATAATATCTTCTAATATTTTATATTGGATTTAATAATATCTAGTAATATCTCTATTAAATTTAATAATATCTTCTAATATTTTATATTGGATTTAATAATATCTAGTAATATCTCTATTAAATTTAATAATATCTTCTAATATTTTATATTAGATTTAATAATATCTAGTAATATCTCTATTAAATTTAATAATATCTTCTAATACTTTATATTGATTTAATAATATCTAGTAATATTCTATTAAATTTAATAATATCTTTAATATTTTATATTAGATTTAATAATATCTAGTAATATCTCTATTAAATTTAATAATATCTTCTAATATTTTATATTGGATTTAATAATATCTAGTAATATCTCTATTAAATTTAATAATATCTTCTAATATTTTATATTGGATTTAATAATATCTAGTAATATCTCTATTAAATTTAATAATATCTTCTAATATTTTATATTAGATTTAATAATATCTAGTAATATCTCTATTAAATTTAATAATATCTTCTAATATTTTATATTAAATTTAATAATATCTAGTAATATCTCTATTAAATTTAATAATATCTTCTAATATTTTATATTAGATTTAATAATATCTAGTAATATCTCTATTAAATTTAATAATATCTTCTAATATTTTTATATTGGATTTAATATAATATCTAGTAATATCTCTATTAAATTTAATAATATCTTCTAATATTTTATATTAGATTTAATAATATCTAGTAATATCTCTATTAAATTTAATAATATCTTCTAATATTTTATATTAGATTTAATAATATCTAGTAATATCTCTATTAAATTTAATAATATCTTCTAATACTTTATATTAGATTTAATAATATCTAGTAATATCTCTATTAAATTTAATAATATCTTCTAATATTTTATATTGGATTTAATAATATCTAGTAATATCTCTATTAAATTTAATAATATCTTCTAATATTTTATATTAGATTTAATAATATCTAGTAATATCTCTATTAAATTTAATAATATCTTCTAATATTTTATATTAGATTTAATAATATCTAGTAATATCTCTATTAAATTTAATAATATCTAGTAATATCTAAATTATTTACTATTTTAAAATGTTATAAAAGATATAAATAATAAATTAAAATGTAAAAATATAATCTAACAAATTATTTTTGTCAACATGATAAAATTTTCATGCAGAATTTGATCAACTATCTAATTTAAATTATTAAACAAACTCTATGAATACATAAACAATCGAAATTATTTTCAATAGTAAAAAAAAAAAAAAAAAAAAAAAAAAAACATTTTAAATTATACTTTCAATTATTAAATTTATTTTTGTTATATTTTTTTTTTTTCCTCAAAATTATCTAAATTTTAGAAAAAAAGAAACCTAATGAAACACGTGCTGGCGATGATTCTTTATTAATCCAAAAACTAATCCACGATACAATAACAATTAATGTACACGGAGTATAAATTTGTAATATATAAAAGCTTTGTTGTCGCTTAAGCTTAAAGTATACTTTAAGCACAGATATATCTAAAGTAAAGTAAAACAAAACAAAAAGTAAACAAAAAGGAAAAAAAAAAATTAATTTTCTTTTTTCGTTTTTTTTTTCAATAAATAAATTATTTCCTTATTTGAAGATATTAAAATTTTACTTTTAAATTTAAATGACCAATTTTTGAATGTTTATAAAAATTTATTTAATAGCTATTAAAAAATTAAATTAGCTCATTAACTAATTATCAGTTAGTTACTTTTTTCATTCCTTTTAAATGTTTTTTACTTTTTTGTTAGAACCTATTTCAACAAATATAGATTCAAGAAAAAAAAAAAGAAAAAAAAACATTAAAAAACAATCATTTAGAAAGAAATTAAATGCATTCATTACATTCATATACTTATTCATATACCAAAAAAAAAAAAAAAAAAAGAAAATTATTTTTTTTTAAATTTAAAAAAAAGTTTAAACTTAATTTTAAACTTACTTAAATTGTTGTTTTGTGGAATAGACCAGTTGTGTGATGTTTTAATAATATCAATTAATTGATACTGTGCAAGCATATCACTCATCGCTATGTCTAATTCAACATTTTTCCAAACATAAATAATATCTTTTGAAAAATAACCCAAACTACCAATTTCAATTGGACATGCCTTAAATTTGAATTTTTTAACAAAATTTAAATTTAAAAAAATAGAAAAAAATTTTCAAACCTGATAATCCATTGGAAATTTTTTGAAAAACATTTCACAACGACTTTGTATTGTTAATCTATAAAACCAACAATTAATTAAAATTTTAACAAAAAAAAAAAAAAATGAATAAATAAATAAACAAAGAAAATCAATTATCTTTTTTTTAAAAAATAAAAATTACTTATTGTTAGCAGTTTTATGAATTATAGTTCAGTTAGCTAAATATTATATCTGTTTTTTTTTTTTGATAAGTTTTATAAAATATAATTATGTTTGAAAAATTTTTTCAGCAATTTATTCTCTTACTTACTTATTTTATTTATTTATGTTAAATGCAAAATGCTTATTATTTTATTTTAACAATAAATAAACAATTTAACAGTAATAATTAATTATGCAAATAGAAATTATTAAATAGGCAAAAAAAAAGTTGAAAAAATAAAAATAAAATTAAAACAAACCTTTGTGATATATGAATTTGTCCATCGTAACGAACTCGAAAAAGAATATTTGGTACTGTTAAAGTATGTAAATATGAGTGTCGTCCGTTTCGAATGTAACTGAAATGTTTCATTAATTTATAATTTTTTTTTTTTTCTTTTAAATTTTATTCATTAAAAATTTTTAGTTTAATTAATTTCTTTTTAGCAAATTGTTTTTTTTTTTTTTTTTTTTTTTTTTTTTTTTTTTTTTAATTATTTAGCTGTAATTTTAAAAAAAAAGAGAGATTGAAATGACTTAAACTAATTTTATTAAATAGCAATGAATATTTGATTTACTAATTTAAATTTCATTCAAAATTTTATAACACAAAAGAAATATATGAAAATTTCAAAGAAAAAAATCAATTAAAAATTTTTCAAAATATTTTAATATTTGTTTTAATTTTAAATTGTTTATTAGATTTATCATTTTTATTTTCTTTGTTCTATTTTTTGTTGAAAAATAAAATTTAAAAATTTTCTTTTCCATTCTAATTTATTTATAAATTTAAAATGAAATCGAAATACCATACGTATCTGGCTTCCATATATCCTTTAGCATTTTATTAGATATTGGCAAATCCTTGGCTTTATCAAACATTTCAAATGCTAAACGTCGATCTAACCATTTCTGACGGAAATAGCAATCTAATGAGAATTCCTAAAATTAAATTTTTTTTTTGTTTTGTTTTGTTTTCCAAATATGAAATGTTTATTTGATATTAACAAACCATTTTCTGTTCTGATATTGGTCCAATGCTACGCACAGAAATATCAATTTCAACTTGTAATGGTGAGTAAGGATCTAAAAATATTGTTAATTACTTTAAATGATTAAAGTAATTAATTTTACTTTGCTTTGACTGATTAAGTAATTAATGATTAAATGTAAAAGATGATTAAGGGTTACTTTTACTTTTATTTTAAATGTAATATTTGATTAAAGTAATTATCTTTTAAATGTAATATATAATCAAAGTTTCTTCTTTTTTTTTTTTTTTTTTTTACTTTAAGTGTAATATTTGATTAAAAATAATTATTTATTGATTATTACAATTAAAGTTTTAGATAAAAATGAATGTAAATTTATGTTAGATAAATAAAAAAGCATAGAATATTGTTTTATTATACATAAACAATTTCAATAAAAGTTCATATCAAATTTTAATAATTTATTCATAAAAAAAATTTCATACAAATGAATTATAAGTACTCAAATAACAAATATTAATTATTTCAATGTGATCCAAAAGAAAAAAAATTGCATTTTTTTACTTTAAATTTTTTCTTTTTTTAATATTTTAATGCTAATAAATTAATAAATAATAAATAATCCATTATGTATTTTCAATTAATATTATCATTAATGAATTTTAATTAATTAATTAAAGATAACATTTATGCAAAAGATAGAAATACTAATTTGAACCTTCATTAATTGGTCTAAAATGTCGATCATGATTGAAAAGAATTGAATCGAGAATTTGTGTTATATTATAAATTAATGTTTTGTTGGGTGATAAGATATCACCACGGATCAGTCTATTAAAATTACAATATTGAAATATTGTAGTGAAAAGAATAAATGTAAAAAATGAAATCATTAAAGAAATTAATTTATCACCTGAAATAAATTTAAATTATATCATTTATCACCTGAAATAAATTTAAATTATATCATTTATCACCTGAAATAAATTTAAATTATATCATTTATCATCTGAAATAAATTTAAATTATATCATTTATCATCTGAAATAAATTTAAATTATATCATTTATCACCTGAAATAAATTTAAATTATATCATTTATACCTGAAATAAATTTAAATTATATCATTTATCACCTGAAATAAATTTAAATTATATCATTTATCATCTGAAATAAATTTAAATTATATCAATATCATTTATCATCTGAAATAAATTTAAATTATATCATTTATCACCTGAAATAAATTTAAATTATATCATTTATCATCTGAAATAAATTTAAATTATATCATTTATCACCTGAAATAAATTTAAATTATATCATTTATCACCTGAAATAAATTTAAATTATATTATTTATCATTTTCTTCTTCCTTCTTCCCCCCTCCCCTCAAGCTAATTAAATACAAAAATAATAATAATATACTTCAAAATTCATTACAAGAATCTAAAATTAAAGTAATTTAATCTGCCAAATAAAATATTACTTCAAAAAATAAAAAAAATAAATATTCATATAAAAATTAAAAAAAATGATAATTTTACATTTGAAAATTAATTAAGTTAAAATAAACATAAAATAAGCAATTTAATCTTTAAATAAAATAATACTAAAAAAGGGAAAGAAAAAAAAGAAAATAAATTTATCAAAATGACAAAAATTAGTTTTACTTTTTCCTTTTTTTTTTTTTTCTTTCTTTTTGCATTATTTCTAAAGCTTAAAGAGCTAAAATTTCTTTCAGTATGAATAATTTAATTTACTAAAATAGACATTCATTCAACAATTTTATTCATTTTTGTCGCATTCAATAAATTATTTGTCATCAATGTCAAATCATTCCTAACTAATTTCATTCTTCAACAAATTCAATTTTGTTTCAAATCATTTCAATTTTTTTTTTTTTTTTTTAAATTGTTCTCAACAAATTTTATAGAATTTTTTTTTCTTTCCTTATTTATTTATTTTTTTTTTTTTTTTTTTTTTTGCACGATGGAATATTTTTGATTTATTAAAAATATTTTAATTAAATTTAAATAATTTTTGAAATGATAATGCTAGAATTAGTTTATTTCATCAAATCTTTATTTTCTCAAATACTTTCCAATCATAGAAATTATTTTTGTTTATTAATTAGCATAGGAAAAGCTTTCCATCACTTTTATAAATTAAATTTCAAATATAAATTAACAATATATTATACAAAAATCACATCAATAAAGCGCTTTTTCATTTTTTTTTTTCTTTTTATATAATAATTAATTTAAATATGAATGAATAATTTTATTTATACAAAATTTTTGCTCAAAATTAATTGTGTATAGCTAAGAATTATTTATTTTTAATTCTTTTATTTATTATATTTATGCTAATTTTTATTTATGCATAATTAGGGAAAGATTTAATTTGTCAAAATTGAATTTAATTTAAAATACATCTATAAATTTCATACTTTATTTACAGTTTTCTCAATCAGAACAATTTGCTAGTTGAAAAACTTTTTAATTTAAAAAATACAAAACTTTAAGAAATAAAGTGCATGTAATCTTATCTTATCTTATCACTACATTAAGTGTAAAGCAATAAAGTAATGATAAAAGAGTGATATGTTATCAGTAACAAAGAAAAAAAAAACTTAACAATGCTGATAAAATTATAAATGTTCAAAAAAAAAAAAAGAAAAAACAGGGAAAGAAACTTGAAAATAAACAAATCTGAAATATTTTACTTGAAAATATGAGCATAGCATAAATGTTAATTATTAAAATTTAAAAAGTTTCGAATTTTGTTTTGCAAATTAATTAATTCAAATAAACTATTAAATATTTATTAAATAAATAATAATTACTGAAAATTGCATAACATTTAGCAGCTGAAATGTGACATAACATAACATAAAGTTTTAGTTTAGTTTACAATTTTTTAAATAAATCAAAAACCAAAATATTTGCTTAGTTTTGCATTTTTTTAAAATAAATTAAATAACAACAAATATTATTTTAATTTGCATTTTTTAATTAATAAAAAGCTAAAAATATTTTAAATATTTTCAAATAAATTTAATAAAATATATTTGGTATTATTATTTTCATTAAAAATATTTCATTTTATTGTATTTTTTTTTTTTTTAATGTAAAATTGTTATTATCTTTTTTTTTTAAAAAAAAAAATGTAACTTTTTCAAATTTCATTTTTTACCAAAATTTGTTTAATTTATAATTTAAGAAGAAAAAAAATTTTTAATTTTATTCAAATTCCTTTGAAATTATATCAATCAAAAAAGTTTTTCTTTTTTAAAGCAAAAAATTTTTTTCAAAAATTTAAAAAAAAAGAAAAATTTATTCATTCATTTATAAAAAGTTTTCCGAGAATTTTCAGTTTTTTTTTTTTTTTTTTTTATCAAATTTATTTACTTTTATTGCATTAATAAAATATTTTAGCGCAATGCGAATTCAAAAGTATTTGTTTAATTAATGATTAAAAGATAAAAGTGATAAGACTAATCAGTAGCTTTGCAAATATCATTTAATTAATGATAAAAGGGTCAAAGGTTATCATTAGTGTGAAGATTACTAGCATTTACAATAAATTTTTGCTATTACAATAAATATTCCTACCCTAATTGTAAGTTAGTATTTATTTTCAAACTGTTTTCAAATATTTAAAAAAAAAATGAAAAAAGTTTCTCAAAAAAATTTTTCTTTCTTTTTAAAAAAATTTTATTAATATTTAGGTAATAGCACAATTAGAAAAATTATGAATTCTCATTTTTTTTAAATTGCCAAAATATTATTTTTTTTATTATAAAATTATTTTCGTAAACTTTATTTTATTTACTTTTTTTTTTTTTTTTTTTTTTTTTTGTAAGAGGTAAACAAATAAATAAATATCATTGCGCTAAATACAAAAGAATTTTAGGTTTTAATTATTTGAAAAGTTATAAGCATTAATTAGTTGACAACACGTAAGTAATTATTATTTTACTAAGTTATTTTTATTGATTAAAATTCACAAATGATTCAATGAATTTTTCAATTAAATATTTAAATTAAATAAAAATCAAATGTTTAAAAGTATTAAAATTAGGAAAAAAGAAAATGAAAAAACTGAGATATTACTTTTTTTTTCCTTTTTTAATTTATAATTTTTTTACGAATTTTTTAAAATTAGTGGAAATACTTATTTTATTATTATGCTCAAAAATTAATTTAATTTTTAAAAAATTTATTTAATTCTATCTCTTTTTTTTGGTACTTTTTCCATATTTTTCGTAAATAATTCGTTTTATTATGAGTAAAATTACATTTTACATTATTAAATAATTATTAAAATAAAATTGCTATAAGATAATAAAGAATTAATTTATTACATTTGTAAAAATCAAAAAGTTTTAGTGCTAATTGTGCGTTCAAATTTTAAAATTTATTAATTAAATAGCAAAATAAAGGAACAATAATAAATAAAATTTGAAAAAAATGAATAAATAAAAATTAAAAAAAAAGCAAATTTTACATTTAAAAATTGAATATTTCTTCTTTCTAATCTTTTCTGCTAGTAAAATGTTAGCTATAAATTTTAATGGAAATTTCTATTTTTACTAATTTTTTTTTTTTTTTTAATGCAAAAAACAACTTTTGATATAAAATTAGCATAATTTTGCAATTTTATTTTAAGAAAAAAATATGAAATCAAAAAACATTTAAATTTTAATTTTTAGATTTTCAAAATATTAAATTAATTCTTTTTCACATAAATGAATCAATGATATCACAACAATTTTATCATTTAATTCTAATTATTTTCAACATTTTCTTCATTGCAAGGTTTGTTAGTTTTATTTTTTAAATTTAATTTTTATTCAAAAAAAAAAAATTTTTTTTTAATTTCTACTTACTTATTTTTAATTATGCATTGCTTAGTTAAATTTATTTATTCCCAAAATATCTAAAAATAATTTAATTAATTAACTTTTCAAATTTTATATTATATTACAAAATAAATTAATTCGCCACAGTGTAATATATAATATATTTGATAATAAAATAAAATGTAAAGAAATTTTTGTTAAAGTTAAATTAATCAAATTTATTAAATATAATTAACATTTTCAAAATTTTTAAAAATATTTTTTTTTTTTAAATTGAAGTTTTTTTCTCTTTTTTTCGTTTCAATTTAAGGTTAAATTGTTGATATTTTGAAAATTATATTAAAACTTTTAAAAATTTAAGTCAATCAATCATTTATTTGCTTCAAACTGTCCACATTTGCTTAAATACATTGATAATTTCAGCAGAGGTCAACTATTGAATTCCAATAGTTCACGTGTTAACGTAAGTGACAATAGTTTGACACGTACGTCAGCGTACTACAAGAACGCTTCAGCTTTGTTAGCTGACTTACTGAGTGACTACGACATACGACTACGCCCCGGTTTTGGTGGTTAGTGTATTCATGTTAGAATTAATTAATTAAGTAATTAATTAGCTAATCAATTGTCTTAATTAGCTATTCTCAACAATAATTCCAATTTATGTTTTCTTAAAATGCTCAAAATAATTTCAGTTTGTAACGAAAAATATTAAATTTTGATTAAAGAAATTTGTCACCACTTTGTCACATTGATTATTACTTAATCTAAAATGTTACTTTCTTTTTCTTTTTTATCATTCCTAGTGACCACTGCTGGACAGTATACAACTTTAAGTATAAATTAAACAACAAAATATTATTAGCATTGTTGACGAGTTCAATTCAAAATTCTATTTTAGATAAAATAACGTAATTAGCAATTAAATAATAGCATAAATTAAAATTTCAATAAATTGAATTAAAATATTAATTAAATAGAAATTTAGAATGAAATAATATTATTTTTTAAATTTAAATTTTTTTAAAATTTAATTGAAGAATGGATATTTTGCTATCAATTTTATAAATAGTTAAATGGGATAAATTATAAAACAAAGCAAAAAATTCTTTTAAAAAAAAAAAAAATTATTTTTTCAAAATATTTTCATAAAAGTTTTTTTTAATTCAATAATTTTCTTCCAAGGTGATGGCTTTATTATTAACATTGGATATTATCGTTGATTCAATTGATGCAATCTCAGAAGTTAATATGGTTAAGTTTAATATATTTTGTTTTGTTTTTAAATAAAATTAAATTTGAATGATAGAAATTCTTTTATTATCTTTTTTTTGTTTATCTAAATTGAAAATTTTTCAAGAAATTTAATCTCTAATCTTTTCATTTATTTTAGGAAAGTTTCATTTTAAGTTGTTTACTTTACTTTAAATAATTTTACTTATTACTTTTGTACATTTAAAAATTTAATCCTTTAATTTATTAAAAACATACATTTAAAATATTACTATTTTTTTATTCAATTTAAAAAAAAAAAAAGGAATTTATCATTTTTTCACACAAAAAAAAAAAAAATTAATGGAATTAAAATTGAAATTCAAATTTAATTATGTGCATTTAAATTAAATTTGAGGACTATACTATAACAATGTATTTGCATCAGTACTGGCATGATGAACGTCTCTCCTGGTCACATCATTATCATATCAGTGATATGATATTATCAGAGGAATTCTCACAGTAATTTTTTTTTTTTTTTTTTAAATAGTTTTTATGAATGAAATGATTAAGTTTTTTAGTAAATTTCTAAATTTATTTAATCTTTGATCATTAATTAATCATTTTTTTTTCGCTGAAAGTAAACTGAAAATTTTTGAATGTTTTCAAAAATTTATAAACGTTTAATTTAATATTTAAGTACATATATATGATATGATTTCTTTTAATGTTTAAAAATTTTATCAAATTGATAAATTTTTGATAAATGATAAGTTATCAGTGTTTTTTAGATATATTTGGATACCCGACACATTCATAGCAAATGATAAGCAATCATTTCTTCATGATGTCACAGAACAGAATAAAATGATTCGAATTGAGAACAATGGGCAAATTACCTATGGCATAAGGCTAGTTATATTTTATTTATTTATTTATTTATTTATTATAATTTACTTTAAATTACTTTCTCAAAATTTCAATATTTAATTTTAAACATTTTACATTTTCTTTTTCCCTTTTGCATATGGTGTATAGCTGTATTTCAAATATATATTTAATTGACTTACTTTATTTTATATTGCAATAAAAATAGAATTTCGTTTTAAATAAAAATACCCTAGGAAAGACAATTAAAATTTAAAAATGAAAAACTAAAATTAAAAATTTGAAAATCAAATTATTTATTTATATTTAAATAATTATTATTTGCAATTATTAAGAATCTAATTAAAGATGTCGTTAATACATTCATTATTAATCATTAGTGTCACATTTAGGTGACACATTGTTGTTTTCTTTTTATCACAGATTATCAAATAAACGACAAATGTCGCAAAATATGACAAAAAATCAAAATAAGCAAATAAATCTGATAGAATCATTAAAGCAATTCATTATCAAATTCGAATTATATATATTATTTTATCATCGAATATTTGAAATTTAATATAAAATAACAATCACAAATTTATCATTGCTTATCATTTAGAATGATCTAACTATGATTAAATGTAAGTTTAGAAAGAAATTGTAAATAAAACTTAAGCATTTAATATTTAAATTGAAAAGAATAAATAAGCAAGCTTTTTGCTTAAATTTTTCACAACTAATTAGCATAATTAATTGTCACAGATTTACGACAACACTTGCTTGTCACATGAATTTAAGAAATTATCCATTGGATAATCAAAATTGTACGGTGGAAATTGAAAGTTGTAAGTTATCAGTTTTCTCACAATAAAATATTATCAAAATAATCAATAAAGAAAAAAAAAAGAGAAAAGAGAATAAATAAAATAAATAATTTTTGATCTTCTAAAAAGCAAAAAAAAAGAAAAATTAATTATATATTTTTTCGTTTCTTTTTGCTTTTTATTTCTATAATTTTATCATAAAATAGCATTAAGTGAAACTTTAATTAAATTTAATAATAATTTTTTCACTTTTTAAATTTTAATTCTTTCATTTCAATTTCTTTTTATTCAGATGGCTACACAACTTCTGAGATTTTAATGCATTGGAATCATCCAAATGCAATATTTGGAATGGAAAAAATTAATGTTCCACAATTTGAAATTCTTGGTTATCAAACATTAGATCGTATTGTTCGAACTGCTACAGGTATTCGAATTCGAGTTCGAATTCAAATTCGAATTTATCATTTCTTTTTTTTTTCATATCATATCTAATCTAATTCTCAAGAAAAAAAAAAAGAACAAATTATTATCAAATTTTTTAAAAATATTTTTAAAATTTATCGTTGTAAAAATATTTTATTAATAAGAGTTTGACGGTATATTATGGATTTAAAATTTTCTTTCAAATTTCAATTTTGCATTCATACATTAATGAATTTCAATTCCATTTTAATTCCTACTTGTTCAACTCTATTCATTTATATTATGTATTATTACTTAAATACTAATTGCATTTATTTAATTTTATTTTAGATGCACAATTTCAATTCCATTTTAATTCCTATTGTTCAACTCTATTCATTTATATTATGTATTATTACTTAAATACTAATTGCATTTATTTAATTTTATTTTAGATGCACAATTTCAATTCCATTTTAATTCCTACTTGTTCAACTCTATTCATTTATATTATGTGTTATTATCATTATTAAACTAATAATTACAATTATTTTAGGTGCATATCAACGTTTATCATTAGCATTTCATTTTAAGCGATCCGTCGGTTATTTCATTTTCCAAACTTATTTGCCATGCATTCTTATTGTTATGCTTTCATGGGTTAGCTTCTGGATTAATTATGAAGCTACATCGGCTCGTGTTGCTTTAGGTTTGTTTATTAATTATATTTACAGATTGATTGCATAAAGTTTGTTTATTAATTGTGTTTACAGATTGATTGTATAAAGTTTGTTTATTAATTATATTTACAGATTGATTGCATAAAGTTTGTTTATTAATTGTGTTTACAGATTGATTGCATAAAGTTTGTTTATTAATTATATTTACAGTAGTAATTCATTTAATTGCAATCTTAGCTTAAATTTAAAATTAATTAAATTTATTTGAGTTTTTTTTTATTTTTTTGTAAATGTAAGAAAAAGTGTAAAAAGTGATATATTCTAGCGAGAACAACAATATTAACTATGACAACAATTAGTATTGGTGTGCGACAATCATTGCCACGGATAAGTTATGTGAAAAGTATTGATATTTACCTTGTAAGTTTATATTAAGTATTGATATTTACCTTGTAAGTTTATATCAAGTATTGATATTTACCTTGTAAGTTTATATCAAGTATTGATATTTACCTTGTAAGTTTATATCAAGTATTGATATTTACCTTGTAAGTTTATATTAAGTATTGATATTTACCTTGTAAGTTTATATCAAGTATTGATATTTACCTTGTAAGTTTATATCAAGTATTGATATTTACCTTGTAAGTTTATATCAAGTATTGATATTTACCTTGTAAGTTTATATCAAGTATTGATATTTACCTTGTAAGTTTATATTAAGTATTGATATTTACCTTGTAAGTTTATATCAAGTATTGATATTTACCTTGTAAGTTTATATCAAGTATTGATATTTACCTTGTAAGTTTATATCAAGTATTGATATTTACCTTGTAAGTTTATATTAAGTATTAATATGTAAGTACATGTTTTTAAAAAATTAATTATTGATAATTACTACCTTATTTTGTAGGTTTATTTTTTGTAATTAATTAAAATTTTTGATATTTACAGTGTAAGTTTATATTTGTTTATAATTAATTAAAATATTAAACTTACAATTGTTAAACTAATGATAATTACTACCTTATCCTGTAGGTTTATTTTTTTGTAATTAAAGTATCGACAATGATCCTGTTATACTTTCATTATAATAAATTAAAGTGATTAGAAATTGTTATTAATTATTAATTCTGTATCGTATTAATTAACATATCTTTTTTATATTATTAATTTATATATATGTATGTATAAATCGATATTTTAAGATAATACTTTAAGGTAATGTATCGTTTATGATCACATTTTCTATTATAATTAACATTTTATTAATTAAAACCTTTTTTTTTTAAATTTTATTTTTAAAATTAATACTTTAAGGTTGTTTGTTTTATGTTTGTATTTGCTGCATTATTGGAATATGCGATAGTAAATTATTCATATTATAACAGTCGAAGTAAACCTTATGGAACTGTAAGTAAATAAAAGTATTAGCGATTAAAAAAGAAAAAAAAAAAAAGTTAACTTATATAATTACTTATCATAATCGACGTTCCAAAAGTAACAAATAATTTTAATTCATATTGTAATTATAAGTTTTATTTCAAATATTCTAAATTTTTTTATAAATTTGAATTTTAAAAGTAATCGCTGAAAACTTTCCTCCAATATTAATATACTTTTTAAATATTTTGTTTTTGTTTATTAAATTTTAACACTTTATCTTTTATTCCATAACTATTAAAACAATAATATTTCAATGGCATTTTATTTAGCAATCAATAAACTATCTTACAATTAATTATTTATTTACTCCAAAATTAATATTCCTTTATATGTTTTTAATTATTTACCTGTTACCGAATTAATTCGAAATTAATTACTCGTCTATTTGTCTAAAATAATTGTATTTTATTTGTTTTACGATATCACATAAAGTTATTTCTTATATTTCTTTTTGTAAATTGAATTTTAATTCTTAAAAAGTTTCTTTTGCAGAAAAATGGAAAAAAGAAAAGCAGCAAAATGGCAAAGTGCAGTGTAATGCATTATGACACTATCATTAGTGATAAGAGTGATAACAATCGTTCGCCATCACCGCTGTTATCACTGATGCCATCCAGCAGAAGATATGCTAGAAAGAGCACAAATTTGACTATTGCTTATCATCCTCGAGTTATCAGTGATAACAAATTATTGCATAGGAAGCGGTAAGTTTATTTAAGTAACAAAATTTATTCAATCTTTTTTCATTTTCGTTTTGCAACTATATTTTATGAAAAATTTAAGTTAAATATTAAATTGATTTAAATTTCATTAATAATTTTAATGAGTGTTAATTCTTCTAGTGTTAATGATTAATGATAAAAATTATGATAATATGATAATGAAACACAAATTAATTTATGTTTTTAATTAATTAATTTATTTATTTATGTATTAATAAATAATGTAATTTCAGTATTGCAGAAATTAGTATTATGCTAAAATTTCTTATTTATTTATTATCATTTAAATACAAATTTTAAATATTATAAATTATTGTAAAAAAAAATAATATTATTTGTTAACAAAAATTTAAAAAAAAAAAAAAAAATATTTAATGCAAAAATATTATTATTTCTTGCAATATTATAATAATTTTATTAACAATCTTTTTGTTTATGAAAAACAAAAAAAAGTTAAACATAATTAATTGTAATAAATTATTTTAATATTTTTATATTATTTTATATTAAAAGCTGAATGCATTACATTTATTACTTTATTTAATACTAAAAAGTAAATATTATTACTTTACTTGAATTTTTTAAATTACTTTGATATTAGATAGAGTAAGTATATATTGACAATATAAGCTTACTTGACATATATATATGCTTAAGTAAATAAAAGTAATATTTAGCTTAAAGCGATATGAAAATTTAAATTTGAAATATCGTAAACAAATGATCAAAAATCACGTCCAGTGGTTACGTACGCGAACACGTTCAATTGCTGCATCATTTCACGTACGCGACGTAAATCTTATTGATAAAAATTCACGAATTATTTTTCCACTCACTTTTATTATTTTCAAGTAAGTTAGCATAAAAATATAATAATTTTTGCTCTCAATTAATTATTCATATATTTTTTTTTTCTTTTTCTTATTTGTTAATGTTTTCCTTATTTGTCTTATTTGCCTTATTTGTCGATATATTTGAATTTAAATAAATAATTTATCTACCATTCCATATAAATGTTCAAGTTTATTTTAATAAATTAAAAGAAATAAAAATTCTATTCTTTATTCATAATTATATTCTAATTTTATTTATCTATTTATTTACATGTTATTCTTACTTAACTAATAAGATGGAGTAAAGTTATTTTAAAAACAAAATTAATTAATCGAGCATTAAAACTAATTTTGATAAATTATAATACAATAACTAATTTGCAATAAATTTTTTTCATTTCCAACTTTTTTAATCTTTCCAGAAAAAAAATTTAATCAATAATAAAATATAAAATCAAATATTAAGCAATAGTAGTAATTTTTTTTTTTTCAAAAAAAATTTAAATTACTTGAAAAAAAAATAATACAATGAATGGCGAATATTGTTAGCAATTCGCTTTTTTTTTTTCAAATTTTCCTTTTATTTTTTTGTATTTTTTTTTAATATTTTTATATTTGTTAAAATAAAACAAAAAAAAAAGTAAATAAATAAATAAATAATTTCAGTATATGTTATTGGGGATATTATACAATGATGCAATAAACAATAAACAACAATTTTGCACATTCAATGAAATGAATTCCAATTTTCAGTTCGTCAACTTGTCAACTTTGCAATTATTTTATTCCAATAAATTATTTGAAAAGCAATTAATGCCAACAAAACTAATCATTAGTATATTCTTAATAGTATTTTTACATATAAAAAGTGTATTGAAAATTTTATATGAATTTAAAAATTTAAATTTTTCTCCATCAAATAAACAAAACAAGGAGAAAACGAAATTATCGAATATTTGAATACTTTTCAAATTCATTTTAAACTCAAATTCATTTGCATTTAGTCAAAGAAGGATATTTCATTCAAATTTCACACAAATCAATTATTTGTATTTTAAATATATATGTGAAAAATAAATAATAATAATAATAATAATACATAAAAAAGTATTCAATGGTTAACTTTTACTAATTTTATCATTTGCTATATTATATATAAATTATAAATTTAAACCATTCAATTTTATATATTTTAATAAAAATGAATTTTAATAGTTTCACATTCCATTCAACTATCAGTTTATGTTATTAAGTGAGATAACATATACTATCAGTTGATCAATGACAATTATAATTACAAATTTGGCAAATATATTTAATAACTTTATAGTTTCCTTTCTTTTTGTTTTGTTTTGTTTTTTTTTTTTTCAAACCAAAATTATTTATAAATGTCCCATTGCTATCTCTGAAATGACCCAATGCCCTTATATTCACATTGGTTTCTTAGTTTCATTTATTCCCTTTTCCATCTTTCATTTCCGCTTTTTTCTAGTATCACTGATTAAGTTAAACAAATTAAATCTATAAGACTTATTATTGAATAGACTGAATTAACACTTCAATCTTATTCACTTCTATTTTTCCATAATTATCATAAATGTTTAACTTTTTTTAAAACTTTTTTTCAAATTTTTTAAAATTTACAAAATCTAATTTTGTTTATTTTCCTTGTCATTAAAATATATAAAAGAAAAAAAATTTTTTTTTTTTTTGAAAAAAACAACAAAAAAAGACAATTGATGATAATTTATTTTTGTATTCGACTCAAAATAAATTCGAAAATTCTTTTTTTTTTTTGTGCAAGAATTGCTTACCAGGATAGAAAATAATCATTATAAAACCAGTATAAAAACAATAAATATGCAAAGAATAAGTCAAGATGATTTTTTTTTTCTTCGTATTCACTATTTATCTTTTTCAAACATAACAACAAATATACCTCTTTAATTGTGTGAATCTTTGCAAACTATTGTTATAAACGTGAAAAACAATGAAAAATATTCAATTGATTGAAAAAATATGACAAATAAAAGAGCCATAAAAGCAGAACGCTCAGATCTTTTTTTTTTTTTCAATCATAATTAAACAAAACTTAAAAATTATACAATAATGAGACTGAAAATCAGAAAACAAGTTAATCCGAACGCACAAGTTTCTATCAGAAGCATATGCATATCACTATTCACTAAGGACTTGAAAACAAATAAGTACAAATTTTGTATTTACAAAAGCAAATATTCTATTCTCAACTTCCTCTATGTCTATTTTCAGCTCTTAAATGATAAAAATCCATAGCTGTTAGCGAAATATTCCAACCAGCCGTAACAGTTGCAACATAAAATATGAAAAGGAACGAAATCGGATATAGGAAGATATGCGTATTTTTTAGTATTGGAAGTGCTGAAAGTTTGCAAAATTTTCCAAATATTTGAAAAGTGAAGTTCGATTCAGGTTAAAAAGCATTAAAATCAATTTGGTTCATAGTGATTAAAAGACTGAGAGATGTTACAGTTTCTTTTTAGCCATAAATTACATAACTTCTATCAAAATTATTTGAATAAAGATATGAGCAAATACAAATACTCACTTGTACCAACGGTAAGTTTTAAGAAATTGAAAAGAACTTTCGAGAAATCAATGCATAAATTACATCTATCAAAATTAAAAAAAAAAAAAAAATATTATAGAAGATACCGGTATATCCCAAGAAGGTGATGTATATATAATAAACTACAGCCACAAACCAAATCGTATTCCCGAAAAGTCGCGGCAAAAATGCATCGAAACCTATCAGATCTAGAAAATACTTCATATTGACCAATTAATATTTGAATGAACAACAAATAAGCAATAATTATTAACAACTACAAAAACAACAAAAAAATCGATCTTACGCGAAAATGTAAGGGGTAAAAGAACATGAAGAAGCATAAGCATCGGAAAAAATGCATTGAGATGTACATCAAAGCAATAACCCCACTCTACATCCTGATCGTCAACTCGCCTCAAGAAACGATTAGATGCAAACCTAAAAAACCTTATTGTAAATTGTCAATTAACTCCTCTACTAAATTCGTTCATAAGCTACAAAATTAATTTTCTTAAACTAGACCATATTGATTTAGAAACGAAAAAAAAAAAAAAAAATTGGAGACAATCAGCCGAAAAAATTAATTCCTTTATAATCATGAAGGAATTAATGATCCTGTTACTCCTGAATAATTTCTTAAAGTTATTAAATTTCATAAATGCAAACATTTTTTTTATTTTCATTATGATGACTCGTTGCTGCTTCTTTCAAATATGAAGTGAGCACTAGATTATTACTAAATAATCATAAAATACCATAAAACAGTCGCAATGAGGATTCCAACACAAATACAATCAATGAAAACGGCCCAAAGGAAAAACGCAATGAAGCCAATAAATGAAAGTCGAATAGTCCATGCAAATAAAATACTCGAAACAGCAAGAGCTGTCAGTAGAAGCACAAGAAAAGCTGGATCATCGCGTGCCCACTGGTCCTTTGTTCCTGAAATAATAAATTTTTCAGTGTTTATGAAAATGTTACAATTACTAAAGTTACTCGACTATTCATGGCACTACTATTTTTCCTCGAATGATTTGTTCAGTGCACGAATGACAGCGATTACGCTAACAATTTAATTTTACTCATAGATTGTTTGGGAATTGAATCAATTTCCTAACACAATTTGTAGCAGTATCTTCCAGATTGTCATTAAATGACTAGTCATTACTTTGCATTTTAACATTAAATTTCAAAATTTGTAATACTACTTCAAATTCAAAAATAAAAGAGTACGAAACGAACGCTTGCGATACATGAAGTTGCGATATACTTTTTGAGGCTTGATCAGCAAATAAATCATTTGCCAAAGAGCAAATTCAAAGTCCATCTGACGAAAACGAATAAGTCTTCGAAAATAGCGATTAAGTTTTGCTATTGCAGTCATTTTAACAGCAGTAAAACATCCTATATGATCCGCAGACCTTAAAAAAAGCATTCATATAACAAGAAATAGCAAACAAAAATCAAGGCTATTCGAGTACAAATAATTAAATCATATCTAGAAATCAATGTACAAGTAAAAACGAAGAATGTTTGGATGTACCAATTTATTGAAATGAGAAAAGCCTTAATGCGTTAAATTATACTGTTTCAAAGCAAATTAATACCCAATAAAAGGTGCACATAAAAAAATTAATTAAAGAGAGCCTTGAATGTATTATAAATATGTGACGCAGTGAATTGAACTAACCCATTACTCGTAATAGATCTTGCACCGGGTGATATATAACCGCTACCCGGAAATCTTCCACCTCGACCACCAGAAGATGCAAAGGTGAACGACGTGCCAGCGTGTACCATACTCTGTGAAACAGCTGCAGTAGCTGATCAATCGTCAGAAGATTCGCATAAAATTGTGCTTGTAAAAATCAAATCTGAGAAAAAGGTTAAAATCAACTATTAACTATAAAAGAAACTGACTAATGAACTCATTTAAATTCCAATTTTAACTGATTATTTTTCAGTTGATAGAGAAAAAAAAAAACAGATAGTAAGCTCAACTAAGATATTCAAGACATTAAATAAAGAGTTGTAGCTGTTTATTTCTATAATGTAATTCATATTTAATCAGATAATTTACAATGGAATTTACAACTCCCAAAACAATTAAAAAAACAAGATTTTGTACGAATTTTTATGGAAAATCCTGAATAAAGATACATATATATTCCATCATCAACCATCCATCCATATTTCAATTTAAACAAACAATACAATGGCCCTATGATTATGCTGCTTTGTTACGTAACTTAATTTTAATGCTTCAAAACATGATTTACGAAATTTTCAAGTGTGAAATTTCTCAGTTCTATTTCGAGATTCAATGATAGAAGAACATAAGTAAGAGATGGAATTAATACATCAACATTACAAATGTTGCTTCTTGAATATGTAATATGTGTAATCTTGCTGAAACTATTTCTCCAAAGAATTCTTTAAGAAGGCACTTGATATGTTGTCCATAAAATAAGTAATCAGTGCAGAGATAAAGCAAAGCAAAAATATTCCAACATTCTGGATAAGTGATCTGAAATAGATGGAACATTATTTGTTTGTAAACAGAAAACACTTATATAAATAAATCAAAAAAAGTAGGACTGTAAAATGACGAGCTCAGATCTATTGCTTTGAAATGAAAAATTGAATCTAGTTAGCTTCATCCTCAATTATTAATCATTCCAAATATCTGAAAAACGATAATCAAAATTTGATAGTAACATTAAAATTAAAAGATGCTGACAATGAATAAAAAATAGAACAGTTGAAATTTTAGAAAATGAAATAAACATTTCCTGAATTATTTCTTTTGACGTTGACTAGCTGTAACGTAATGAAAGAAGACAACAAGCAAAACCATAGCAATGCCTAATGCATTCGCCATAACACCTAATTGCATATCTGTAATCATTGCTAATACCTGAAACTATTTAACAATTTAGATCACGAAGATAAAAGAAAGAAAAAACAGATATTACTTAAAATTTTGTATGTACATAAGACATAAAGCGAAAGAGAAAAAAAAAATAATATCTGAAAGTAAAAGTAATATATTGTAACACAAAAAAAGTGCAAAACATAGAAATGTGTGTAATATCAGAAATAAACATTAAAAAAAAAATCATAAACAATAATATTCTAATATTTGAATATAGTATGAATGTGATAAATCTTTCAACAAATCACAAATACATCGAATTCTTGAGAGAACTACCGCACTACCACAAAATGTCACATATGAAAATGATAGAATATCGGCCATACTGGATTTGCATTGTAAAGTGGTTCGGCCAAATTAAGGATGCAACTGGTTGACAGTAAGAGAAGAGGAAGAGGAAGAAGAGGAATGTTTAAAGGAGTGAATAGTTGCTAGAGGGTTCTGCTCTGTTCTTTCTATTTTCTATTTGCTAATTCCTTTAAATTTCTCGTAAAACTTTTCTGGAATTCAACAAATTAAAGTCAGAAAATTTTCATCTTCTGAAATTTGTGAGATGAGTTAAACATAGAAGTTATTGAATTACTTTCCATTCTACGTACTTTTTAACCATCAGTGGTATAAGTAATTTGATAGGTTGTATTACAATAATATTATGACGTGAACGTGTCGTGATACGTCATGTGAGGAAGGATTACATGTTAGTGATAACTTGTCATAGTTATATGAAGTGTATATGCTTACATATATAGAGCTATTCTAATTTTCATTTTAATATATTAACAAATTGAATTGATAAGAATGCAATATATGTGTAAATTGACATAACGTACAAATATCATTATTTATGTGTACAACGTTTTATAAATTAAAAAAATTTATTGAATTAGATAAATAGATTTTTTATACTAGATATTTATGCTATTTTATCTATGCTCTGCTATGCTAATAACAATATTGATGATATTATAATCGACGTGATACATATATTAGTTGTAATAGTGATAGATATGTCACAATGTACGTATACGTTTAGGCGTAATAGATATAAAATTTAAGCTGGAAAATTTCTTATATTCTTTTAAAGTTTGTAAAATTTGAAAACTGATAAATAATGTGAATATGTTGAGAGTTTTATTTTAGAGACAATTTCAATTATCGATTGAGGAAGCTTTAGTAGACTTTTCAGTTAGCCTTTTAGAACGTTATTATTCATTCTTTCCTTCCTTCCTTCCTTCCTTCCTTCCTTTCATCCATCCATTCATTCACTCATTCATCCAACCAACCAACCACCCAGTCATTGATTTCTCTCTTTCTTTTTTCGTTTTGTAATTGTAATCCTATGAATTTATATGATTTTACACTTGTAACATATGTTTCCTTTTTATCTCTCTGTATATCGCATACTATTTACTGATTTCATATCTGTATATCACATATTATTTACTGATTTCATATCTGTATATCACATACTATTTTCTGATTTCATATCTATATATCACATACTATTTACTGATTTCATATTTTGTATTACACACTTTCTACTGATCTCATTTTTTATTTTGCATATTCTTCAGTGATATCACTAAGATTAGTGTGATTTGCAGTAAAAACGAAATACATATGAGAGATCTTGGATTTTTTTCTTTTTTTTGATGAGTAACAGTTAATTTTTTTGTAGAATATTTTAAATGGTAAATGATAAGGAGATTGAACATATAGGAGATGATATTGCTATGTCTTAAAATGTCCTGCGTGTGCTTGAATTAAAAAAGAGATTTTTTTATTATGTACAGATTTCTTTATTTTATGTATTTTTGAACTAAAACTGATACAACATTTATATGTTACGGATGATATTTTCCTTGATTAAACCAAGATTATTATGGTTGAAATCAATTGTTTCAGGTTGATGTCCACAGATACAACGGTTACTAACGAGACAGACAATTTCCCACTTGTAGACGATGGTAGGTTTTAATATGATGTTTAAAGATGATAGAAAAAATTTTTTTGCTTTATTAAAATTTCAAATAATTTATAGAATCACAAGGAAGTTCGATAGATACAGGAGGTCGGATTCCTCGTCCAGCACAACCGTTACCGCGAGACGAGTCTGATGATCAAGAAGAAAAAGCACGACTAATCTCCCAAGTTCTCGAACTTCAGAATACTTTGGATGGTATTTTTTTTATCAATTTTTTTTTTTTACTATCTTTGTTTTCATCTCTATTTAAATATCATTCTACTGTCAGCTAATGTTAGAAAAAGTGAATAAATCATTTGAAAAGCATTTTTGATAAATCATTCTCTACCGAATTTGGAACCCATAAAATTTGTTTTCCCTTTCCATTGTTTTCATAGATTTTTCGAACTCGCAAAATTCGTTCTTGTTCTGTAAAAAATTTTGATTAAAGGAATGATTTGTTTTTTAGTTTCACTTTTTCGAAATTATCACTAATCTTTCTTTCGTCCATAGTTTAGTTATATTTTAAAAGTTATATTTATAGATTTGAGTCAGCGTGTTGATAGCGTCAAAGAAGAAAGCCTAAAATTACGATCTGAAAATCAGGTACTTGGGCAGTACATCCAGAATCTTATGGCTTCAAGTGCCGTATTTCAACCTGCTCAATCAAAGGCACCGCAAACCAAGTAATTGAATTTCTGCTCATTAGTTTGTATTTAATTACAATTTGCGCTTTATGAAGAACTATTAGCACAAGATTTGAGTTCTGCTTCATTTTCCATCGAAACGATGATTTTTGGTCATTTGCATGATCTTAGATGGGATCTTGCCATATTCGATGTCTTATTGAATGGAACTCACATAATTAATCTATAATCAAAATGACAGTTTGAAATTTTCAGACTGTTATCCTGTGAATGATTACATTTCTTCCCAATAACAGCACATTCTTCTTAATATTTTGTGCTATTTCATGTGTGAATTATTCTAAATATGTGATGCTGTTGTTAAGCAAAAATGCTTTTTTTTTTTTCACTTCAGCGCTTCTAACGTAATTTCATGATTTCAAGAATAAAACATCCTAGTGTGCTAGGAATGCTTGTATTGCAGATATCGTTATTACATATTTCTAATTTAGGCTTTATATTTGCTTGAAGGAAAAATCTTTAGCCTACATTACTCAATTAAGATATGTCAGTGTTAAAGAAAATTAATTTTAGTGGGCAGATTTTTTTAATGGATATTACTCGAATTTTAGGAGTTTTGGTTGTATTCAAGTGTTCTAGTAAACCAGAAACATTGATTTATAGTAGTCTGCTTCCAATCTTTCTGATATGTTAGTGCTATTCTCGTATTGTGATGAAGACACAGGTTAAAAAAAATCAACGGGCAAGTTGCGGAATCGATAAAATTACCGCTATTAGCAGTCTGCTATTGTAAATTATTACATTATGATTTGGAAATTTTATTCTATTGATGTGTATAAATAATAATGCGAAGTAAATCATAAATATAATTTCATTGCGAAGATTGAATTTCGTCACATTCAATTCCTAATTTTTGCAGCCATTATTTTGTTTGACTTCTTATTTGTTTTATTACTTCATTCTATCCTCTTTCTTTGGTTAGTAATTGTCTTCCTTTGTTCAGTTAACATTTTTATACTTCCATTTAACCTTCTCTATTTCCTATACTCGTATTTTACGCTTTTCCCTTATTGCATCTAATTCAGGACAGAAATCCGCAGTTACCCTTCCACTCAAATGATTAAATTTTTGGGAAAAGCCTAGAAAGTTTTAACTCATTACTGAATAAAAAATGTACAAAAAATAGAGAAAAAAAAAAATTGCAGTGCTCACTGAAGTAATTTAAAAATTTTATGAGTCAGACAAACATAGTCTGGACGGTTTTATCAGGTAAATAAAGTATTCGAAATGAAAAAAAGGTCTGTCTATTTTATAGTCGCTTTGGTTTCATTTATTTGTTAATTCCTTCATTCCTAGACACCGAATTGTCTGCTCGTTTAATTAAATTTTTGCACAACTTTTTCTCTGTGTTATGCGTTTTGCGGAATTTAATCTTCTCCATTTCTTAGTTTTAGATTTCTAAGCTTTGCACGCTTATCTTTTAGATTCAGTTTGCACTGCATGCTTTTCAAAGGTGCTTCTGCTTAATTCTTTGTGTTTTTCTTTTTAGAAACGAAATGTTTGGAGCATTCTTTTGGTGAGAAATAGCAATCCTTTCACGGATAATATCAAGCCGAAGAGAAGCAGTTGAAATGAATTGTTGGTTACATTCAGAAATCATTAAGATTGCTATCGTGGTAGTGATTACTCGTTTTCTTGTACTACTACTTTCCACAATTAAAAATCACTTAATTTTATATTCATTCATTTTTTTTTTTTTCTCATTACTTATTTTCTTGCTGCCTTGCTGTTAGTTTAATGCCTTCGTTATCTTCCAATGTAGAAACATTAACTGAACTACTGAACTATCTCTAAAACGACTGTGGTTAGTTAGCAATTTGAATATTTGGAGATCAGTAATTGTTTGGATATCACTGTCCAATGCATTATAAGAATAGTAGAGTTATGTAAAAATAACAAACCAAACTTTGCATATTGTTACGTCCTTTCATATAAGCTTAAGCAATCAATACAAGAAATGTTCACAATCAACATTGGTTAAATAGTAAAATAACTGGAAAACTAATATCTTCAAATCAAATGAAAAGTGATATAGTAAAAAACCAAGCAAATATGTACATTTCTATCCCATCAATCCTAATTCGAAATCTGTAATCGATAAGTTCAACAGATGACCATCACATTGATGAATTTCATCACTTTGTGATCTTTTAATCCAGGAAAATCTGCATTTTTTGAAGTCTAATGCCTTAACTGACTAGGATTTGAATCTCTTTAATTTATTCTATACTGTCAACAGAACGCTAAATCCATCCAAAAGTCGATATTTGTAATGATTTTCTTTTTCAAACATATCCTTAATATTTACATGTGAAGGTAACCAGACATTACGATTACAGTTTTTACTAGTAGGTTAGCTGAAGAATTCATGTACATCATACATTGTAAAAAAAAAAATCATAAATAGGTTGCGCTTTGTCGACGATGATACATCCTCCAAAAGAATTTTGCAAATGTTTTAAAACGAAACTTAAACAATGCACATATAAGTGTAATGAGATCGAGTGTGAGGTACATATTGATCTTAAGCCGCAACCTTTTTCTTTGCATGTGCCACTGCCGACTTCTTTCCTGGCTTCGATTTAGCTGCTGAACCTTCCGCCTTTTTCGGTCTGCCAACATTCTTCTTATTTTTTCGGGTTGCTCCGGCAGAAACAGTGCTTGCTTTCTTTTTGGGCTCAGCTTTTGGTTTCGAAACCTTTGGTGCAGTCACCTTAAATTCAAAAACTTTCATGAGTAACGACTTATACAAGTTTCGGTAAAAAGAAAATCATATTAGTGGGAATCCATATTTCGAATGGGCGAAACCAAATGATCTAATTGGTAAATTAAGTCTTACCAGCAGCAAAGTCTAAGAAAAAGTTAGCTAGATAATAAATAACAACCTTTTTTGTGCCAGATTTTGCTTTCATCGATTTTTTCGGTGACAGCATTTTCATATCGCCAGATGTAGCAGATTTTGTAATTGCTGGCTTCTTGACTTTTTTAGGCGCTTCCGATTTTGCATCAGCTAAACGGAATGATCCAGAAGCGCCGGTACCTTTCATCTGCTTCAGAACACCTGATGTGACGCCACGTTTTAGTCCCATTCTAAGGTGCGCATTAACCTGAATTTTCAAGATCCATTTATTGTTGCCCATAAGATTTTTTTTTAAGAAATAAACTGTTGGTCAGAATCAGTTAAAGTATTCAGAAAACTCATAAAAGTAAAAGAAAAAGTTGTTAAATCTGGCAAGTGCAAGTAATGAAGTCCTTTTCCTTGCAAAGGCAACAATTCTTGAATATAAAAAAAACTCCCACCGGGATCTACAATAATATTTAACATTTGAGGTCATAAAATAACATTCCAAATTTCAAAAACAATGTTGCCCACTTCCTTACTATCTCTTAACTGATTTTCTAACTAATTTCAACCATTGTATACTCATTTAAAAACTTCATCAATGATAATGGAATGAAATTACTCAATAAAAAATCACACCATAGTAGGATTTTCGCCAACTGCAAAATTTTGCATGATATACTTCAGAATTGCTGCACGACTCAGTCCCTTCTTGTCCTGTGTAGCCGATAAGGCAGCCTTGATCATATTACCATACGGTGGATGATTATGTTGCGATTTTGCTTGCGATTTTAAACTTTTAGTTGCTGGAACATTAGCATTCATTCTTTTCATCATATTGTTCCGCTTCTTCCCGACTGGTGCAGTTACTGTTGCACCAGTATTAGATGATACTACAACAGCTAAATTATCACCGTTAGTAGCGCTTGCAGTAGCACCAACTTCTTCAGTAGCTGGCATTATTTGTTAGATTGTATCGAACAGAAAATGGAAAGCACTGAAATTATAACTGATTATGTCAAAAAAAAATGATTTCGATCCTGGGAAAATATGGCAAATTGAAATATATTGAAAAAGAAAGAAAAGAATATTGACATAAGACTTAAATATATGAACTAAACATTTTCATGTTACTTTTAATTAATATAAAAATGCAATAGAAAACTATCACAGTGTTGTATCAGCATTACAATGTTCAAATACCAGTATTTTTGTGCAGAAATAAATGATCGAATTCTCTCGGATCATTTTTTTTTTTTTTTTTTTTTTTTCATTTTTGCCGCCATAAAGTGCATATTTAGCGCTTAGTGGCGGCAACAAAATAACAAAAACAATCATAAATGATATAATAAGATGATAGAAACATTCTTAAAAATTAAAATATCAAAAAAACTAATAAGTCTAAACTTCCGATCCATTCATGACTTATTTATTTCACGTATATATAAATGGCAATGATATGCACTAACAAGTTATCACGTAATCATACGTGATAATTAACCTATACTCCATACTAATACACAGTTTGTTGTAGATATTAAAGAAAAGAAAATTTCCAGAAACTCTTATATTCCTAAAAACTTAAAAGTCTCATTAAAATATTACTCTTTCCTTTTCCTGAAACTTAAATAAAAATTATTAAGTAAATCGATCGCTTATGAAGAAAAAAAAAAAGAAATTCTCTCTTTTTTCTTTAAATTGGACATTTTAAAGAGACTTTTGCACTAAATAACATACACTTTTAAATTCATTAAAAGAATGACAAAGAATTAAATTTATTAAAAGTGAAAATTCAACAAAAATCTTTGCACTATTTTTTGAAATTTTTACCATTTTTTTTTTTGTTCAAAAATTTGAATTTTACTTTTGCAAAGTTTTATTTCAATAGGATAGTTGCTAATTTGAAAGGAAATTTATTCAAACTATAAACCAATGCAAAATTCTCATAATTTTGTGTGGTAAAAACTTAAACTTATAACTTCTACGTGATCTACTGTCATCGTACAATCACGTAACACGTGAAAACGTGGAAATATTGGGATGGGACAGCCTAGAGAAACCCCAAAACAACCAACCCGAAGACGCGTTTTCACCAGAAATGGCTGAAAGTGGCGGAGAAACAGCTGTGCATGTGGCGAGAGCGATTGCAACGACTACGCTGGGACTCCTCGCTATGCTCGTATTCGTTTCAAAATATACACTGGCTGCTGGTAAGTAGCACTTACAAAATGGCACGTAGCACGTTAAATTCGTAAGTTAGACGTTTGCTATTATTACTAACGTATGCTCAAGAATCTGTGCTATCAAATGAATATAAATTTAACTATTAAATATTTGCAGGGAGACAATACGAAATATTTTAAGTGTAAAAATTTCAAATTTTTTATCTTTTTTTCACTGTTATTTGTGCTTTTTAAAAATTAATCATAAATATTTTTAGATCATTTTTACATCATTAATTAGCTAATTTTTTATACTATAATTTGTCAAATTTGTATTTCAATTATTTTGCTTACAGTGCTATAAAATGCCTTTTAGTAAGATGTACTCAACAACGATATCCGATGAGAAATGTCACATTTCGATCGTTTTTAATGAATAAATCCTATAAAATTTGATATTTTTATATTCGAAATTTAATGTATTATTTGATTAAATTAATTTCAATTCAATTTAATAATATTATAAGCAAAAAAAGAAAGAAAAATACATTGCTAATACTTTTTGAATAGCATTATGTAATGATGATCGTATCATTTGTGTCATTCGAAGACAATCATACATTTCCATCATTTGATCATTTCTCTCTCTCTCCCTCTCTCTCTCTCTCTCTCTCCCTATTATAGAGATTAATAATAATAATAATAATATTATCCTAAAATGATAAATTAAATTAAATTTTCAAAATTAGAAAAAAAAAACAAATTTTGTTGGCATAAAAGTGCAACAAATCAATGTTAATGATAATTTTAACTTTATCATATTCCTTTTATTATCAGTTATCAATTACGAATTTTCATTAATAATTAATCTATTATTTACTTTTTTTTTTTTTTTTAAGTTAAGAAGGAAATGAATTGAAATATTTATCTTTAATTGACTGAAAATGAAATTTGATTAAATTCTGGAAAAAATTTTCAACTATTGATTATAGCAATCTTAAAATGTATGTTATAATTATAAATTAATTTGCTAGAATTCAGTTTTATTGGGGAAATAATGAAATTTTAATTTTTTTTTTAATGAAATGCAAAGTAATATTTTTTTTTTTTTCTAGAAATTAAATTTTGTAATTATATCATTAATTTTTCAAAACATTTTATTATTAAAATAGTCGAATTTAGCTAAATATTTTTTAAAAAAAAAAAAACTGAAAAAGCACTCACAGTTTGAATTTTTCATAGAATGTATGGATGGAATTAAAAAATGAGAAATTATTTCATATTTAATTCTGAAATAATTAAATTGTTAAGGATTAGCTAATTAATAGCTAATGAGAAATTGTCTTATCAATTTATTTATTGATTTATTAAAATGTTTACTGCGAGAATATTGAACATTTAATAAAATAATTGAAAATCTCTTCAATTCTTACTTTAATTTTAACTCTTTAATAATTCATTTTATCAAATCATCATAGCTATCTCAAAAAAAAAAAATAAAAAATAAAAAAAAAGAAAACAGTAAAACGTTTTAAATAAAATTTTGTAAATGTAAAAATTTACTGAGAAAAAAAGAACTAAAATAAAGCATGTAAAATATACAATAAATATGTAGAGAAGAGAAGAAAAATCAACAATAATATGCATTGAAATAAACGAAGCAATAAAACAAATTGAAGTAAAATTATTTTCCGGAAAACTACAAATCAGGAATGTAATAATAATAATAATAATAATACTTTTATGCATCAAAGTATTTTCATATCAAAAAGCAAATTAGTATGTTGTTAATAGGTAAAAAAAAAAAATTTCCAACAAAATTATGCACAAATATTTGCTATATGCTAAAAAGATTTGATAAAATTTGAACAATAAAAAAAAGAAAGAAATTAATACAAAATTTTAGGCAAATGAAAATTGAAATTGAATTTCTTCTAATTTTTTTTTTTTTTTGCAAATGCATTGATATATTATTTTAAAGAGATGTAAAGAAATTAATTTTTTCCAGTAGTTATAGTATAAAAGAATGATAATTAATTGTTTGTTAATAAGTAAATATATTTGAAATAGGAAAGTATAAAAGGTAAAAGTAAACAATAAACAAAATGCAAACAATTAGCTTTTTTTTCTTAAGTATCACAAAAAATTAGAAATATTTTTAAATTTTAAAGAAGAAAAATTTCAAAATTTTAAAATTTCTAATAGAATAAAAGCAATTAATACTATAATATTATTATATTTTCTGCTTTTTTTTTTTTTTTTTTTCTAAAAAAAATTTTTATTGTTTATTGTGCAAAAGTTTTTTTTCAAAATATTTTTTATACCTTTCAATTTGCAATAATTTTCTACAAATCATACGTATATTATTATAGAAAAACAAAAACAAAAATAAGAAATTAAAATACAAAAAGGAAAAAAAGAAACAATCAAAACAAATTTTTATTAATTAGAAAATTTCAAAAAAAAAAAAAAAAAAAAAAGAAAGCAAATAATAAATTTAAATTTGTAAATTGCGGCAGAAAACTGTGTGCTATATTTATCTTCGTCTCTTCTTTTTAGATTTCTGCAATTATTAAAATAAAAATTATAAATGAAATTTTAATTGTTTAAAAATCTTAAAAATTACTATCAATAATTGATAATTTTTGTAATTTATCATGTACAAATGCATTGTAAAATATCACATTAATCTTTTTTTTTTTTTTTATTTTTATATATTTTTGAATTTTAGTACTTAAATTTATTTATCTTTATTAAAAGAAAAAAAAAAAGAAAAGTATCTCGTATTTTTTTTTTTTAATTTTAATAAAATTTGCTTAAAAAATTGAAGAAAATTTTTTTTAATGAAATAAATTTGAAAATTGAAATACAAGAAAGTGTAAAATAGAATAAATAATATTATTTAATGAATAAAAAAAAAAAAAAAAATCTTACATTTATTTTTTTCTTCGATTTTGTTTTCGTTGTTTTTTTTGAAATAATTTCTTCTGAAATTTCATCTTTTAATTCTTCAGTTACATTTGACTGATAATTGAATGATAAATTAGTGTCACTTATTTGAGTATCATTATTATCAGTGGATGCACATTCAAGATTAGTTCCATTCGGTATAATAGTACAAAAGTTATCACTAGCATTATCATTTTTATCATTATCATTACCACCATTATAATCATTATCATCATTATCATCATCATCATTCATTATAAAAATAAGTAAATATTGTAACATATCAGCAAATGCATCATTAGCATTCCATGCATCGCTAAAGTTTCGTGATAATGAAACAAATTCTGATAAATGATTATAAAATATCTTTTCACATCTGATTACTTCTCGAGTGGGCAAATAAAAAAGTGACTCAAGTTCAGTATTTTCAAATAAATCACTTGCTGCTTCACTAGCATCAATGATAATGTCAAATTCGGCCAAATTATCACAAAGTTTACTTTCAAAATTAATTAAACTTAATTGTAATTCACTATTTCTATCTAATAATAGTAATTTAATTTCATTTAATTTCAGATATGCAATGATTTTTTCTATATTTTCAATTAATGCAGAAATATTGCTCACAATTCGATGCGCAAAACGAATGCAAGCACTGAAATTACTTGTGACACACTGTGACTGCTCGTCACTTAGTTTTTTACTATATTTCATTTCGAGCGCAATTGTCTCTGCTCGATGAATACTCTTTAGCATTTGTCGTGCATCCGAGTGTGCTTTGCTATTGAATTGCTGTACTGAATTACTGATTGTAATCATTGCATTAATTATATTTTTTATTGCATTTCTTTTGTGCATATCGATTTGCAATTTTAATTCGATATTAATTTTATTTCTTTTATAAGCTATATCCTTCAGTCCAGATGTTGATGCATTTTCATCGTCATTAGCTTCAATTGTCTCAAAAATGATTTCTTTTCTTCTGGAAGTTATACTTTTGTTAGTGTTAGTGCCAAATGGCAGTTTATTTACTTTAGAGGTAAAAGTGGTCGCAGCAATTCGATAAGTTAAATGTTGTAAGTTAGAGTGAATCACTTTCATCATTTTAGAATTTGTTTCATTATTATCAGTGTTTGAATTATTTACTCGTTGATAAGTTTGTTTCAGATTAATTATCAGTTTTCTAAAATTTGTTGAAATATTCATATAATAAAGCTTCCTTGAATTGATCAAATCTGTCGCAAAATCAGCGCTTGCTTGAACCAATGCCAAATTATTAATTCGTTCGATGAAATTGTACGATTCATTATTTGATTTCATATTTGAGTATTGCATTTCCAGCAGAAGTGGTGACATTCTTTGCATTGTAAATGCCACTAATTGATAATATTCTAAACAAAATAATCACTAATTAATGATAATAATAATTTATTATAACAGTAGTAATAATATTAATAACAATAAATAATAATTAGTGATAATAATGTTATAAATAATAATACCGATAGTAATAATAATAATAATAACAATTGATAATAAAAATAACTGATAATAATAATAATAATAATAATAATAATAATAATAATAATAATAAACTGATAATAGCAACAGTGACAATAATGAGATAATGATAATAATAAATAATAATAGGCCAATAATGCAATAGCAATAATAATAATAAGAGTAATAACAGTAATTTCATATTTCTTTCATTAAAATAATTTTAATTTGACATTTTTGCAAATCGGAATTGGTCAGTTGGTCAATTAAATTATGTATATGAATAAACAAATAAATTGGATAAAATTTCATTAAATAGTTTTTTTTTTTTTTTTTTTCAAATACATAATGAAACGAAATAAATTGGAAAAATATAAATCAAAAAAACTTTTGTTTAAGTATAATTTCTGATTGCATACTATTTTAGCAAAAAACAATAAATAATTTATTCTAACTTTTAAATAAATAAAATATTTACAGCAATAAAATCTTGCTTACCACTGTAATTTTCCATTGAATCAATCAAATTTTTGCAAGCAAATCGAATTTCATCCATTGCTTTTAAATTTTTATCACTGTTATCATCCTAAAAAGTTTATCACACATAAAGAGTTTATCACAATTATTTAACACAATTCAATATTATTAAATGTATTGTCCACAAATTTTGATAATTTATTTCGTTTTGAGTTATTTTTTAACTCAGTTCAATAAATTTTTAAATTTTCTGTTTATTCTGTTTAAATTATTTTAAATTCTTTACTAATTTATTAACTTTTTTAAGCCAATGGCACTGATTATAGATCACAATTAAATTAAATTAAATTAGAGATAGCGATTATAAAAATAATTTGAAAAAAGAAATTTTTCAAGCAGGAAATTGTGATTTTACTTATCACATAGTAATTATAATAATAATAAAATCAAGAAAAAAACGATGATTGGAAGATAAAAATATATCAAACAAACAATTTTATTTTTTAAATAAAAATTCCGATTACTAATTTAAAATAAAAAAGTAAAAAAACCCAAAAATAAATAAATAAATAAGTGATAAAAATAGCAAAACTAAATGATAACAAATAATATTAAAAAATTATTCTAAATTTTTGAAAAAAGAGCTAGAAAAATTTAACAAAACATAAATGAAAAGAAAAGGGTAATGTAAACATTCCTAAAAACAAAAAAAAAAAAAAAAAAAACAAATAATAATAAAAAAAGATTTAAAAAATGTAAAATCTTATTGATATTAATTAATTTTTATTAATTTTCCATTCATTCATTCATTCAACTATTAATCAATTAAATGTATTAATTAATTTAAAAAAAAAAAATCATTTGATCAAGTAAAACCAATGCTAAGTTTTATTTTCAAACAGAAAAAGCAATTTGAAATTAATAACAAAAAACAAAATGCAAATAAACAAATAAATAAATTTATATTTCATTAATTTATTGGTGAAATAATTCATAAAAAAGAAATTAATGCTATAATAATTCTTTAAATTTCCTTTTTTTTTAGTAGCAGAGAAACAAATAATTCTGAGTTCTGGGATATGAAATCAATTTTTAATTAAAAATTTATTTAAAAAGAAAAAAATCACAATTAAACAAAAATTGTTGTTTAAAAAAAAAAAAAAAAAAAAAAACGATAAATTAATGTCTAAAATAAATTGGATAGCAAAATAAACAAAATAAAAAGAAATAAACAAAATAAAAAGAAATAAACAAAACAAAAAGAAAGAAACAAAATAAAAAGAAATAAACAAAATAAAAAGAAATAAACAAAAAAAAATAATAAAAAAAAAGAAATAAAAATAAAAAAAATGAACAAAATTTATAAAAAATTCAATCTAACTAATGCAACGAAATTAATTTTTTTACAACATTACAAAGTAATAAGTAAATAAAATTTGAATTTACAATGCTTTTTTAATTTTGAATTAATTAAAAATACAAAACTAATTCTTTCATTCTTCCATTACACATTTTAAACTTCAAACTAATTAAATTATCAATGGATATTTTAATTAATTTATTAAATTCATCAAATAAAATTTCTTTCAAAAAAAAGAAAGAAATGAAAACATATTAATAAAGATAGTAATTAACATATTATCAAATTAATTTCATATATGTGAAACATTAAAAATTAGAAGTAAATTTAATGAAAGTTTAAATTTAAAAAATTCCTTTTTAAATTATCAATTAATTTTATCAAATGATTGATTACTGATAATGAAAGAAAGAAGAAAAGAACGATGGAAATGAAAATAAAAATTTGAATTGCTTACTTTTTTAATTAAGTAATTGATTAAAATATTTGCTGGTACTTTCCAAACGCTTGGAACATTGTATAATTTAAATGCAAGTTCCATTCTTAATTCTTCATTTGTTAATTTATCATTTTCCCAATCAAATGAATAATCAATTTTATCGATATCTTCCTAAACAACAAAATAACAAAAATAAAAAATAAAATTTGAAATGGAAAAATCAAATAGTTTATTAAATTTAAAAAAGCATACAAATTTTTCACTTTGATTATTAACCATTTAACGATGTTAAAAATAATTTTTCTTTTTTGTATTTTAGAAATGAAATAATACTACCATAGAAGGAAAAAAAAAAAACTTAATAAAGAATTAAATCAATTTTAATTGTTAAATTTTAAACAATATTTTTTGCAAATGTTTGAAATTTTTTAAAAAGAATTTTTAAAAAATTATCTTTTAAAAAGAATTTTTATTGTCACAAATTTTAGAAATTTTAAAAGTAAACAAAAAGTCAATCAACAGTATTCATTTGATATATTTTCTTTAAGTTTTTTTTTTTTTTTTTTCTTTTTTAAATTTTTTCTACATTTTCATCTTTGTTAAATTTCGTTGATCTTTGATCTTTGATATTATCACTTCCAGTTGGCGCATTTGAATTATTTTTGAGATTCTGTTGTTGTTTCTCTTCGACAGTATCTAAAGAATAAATTTGAAACAAATAATTTGAAGCATTTGAAAATGTTTGAATGAATTCAGATGCATCGTTGGGATTCTGTTTGAGTGAATTCAGATGCATCGTTGGGATTCTGTTTGAGTGAATTCAGATGCATCGTTGGGATTCTGTTTGAATGAATTCAGATGCATCGTTGGGATTCTGTTTGAATGAATTCAGATGCATCGTTGGGATTCTGTTTGAGTGAATTCAGATGCATCGTTGGGATTCTGTTTGAGTGAATTCAGATGCATCGTTGAGATTCTGTTTGAGTGAATTTAAAAGTGCGTAATGCATCTGAAATCTCCTCGAGATTCTGTTCTAAAGAATTCAAGAGAACATACCATCTAGCTTTGATGCATCTGAAATCTCCTCGAGATTCTGTTCTAAAGAATTCAAGAGAACATACCATCTAGCTTTGATGCATCTGAAATCTCCTCGAGATTCTGTTCTAAAGAATTCAAGAGAACATACCATCTAGCTTTGATGCATCTGAAATCTCCTCGAGATTCTGTTCTTGTCTTTCCTCCATAATATCTGCAATATATGCACAGTAATTAATTTAGGAAGGAAAGATAAAATACTGAAATAAAAGATATTTGAAATATATATAAATAAATATGTGAAAGATTAATTTAATCATTTAATCACTTCAATAATTACTTTTTTTTTTAAAGAGAAATTTAAGATTGAAATTTAAATTATTCAGTGCTAATTATTTTTTTGAAATAAATAACAAAAAAAAGAATTCCCAAAATTTTTGCGAAATATTTCAAAGTTAGCAATAATTTATTTTTTCATATATTTTAATATCTTAAAATTTTAATTATTTAAATTTCGCAGTGTTTTTTTTTTTTTTTCGTTTAATTAAATTAATTTATTTTATATTATTGTTTGTTTCAATGATTTATGAAAAGAAATGAAATGGAAGAATAAATGAATTGGAAATAAAAAAAAAAATTATCAAACATAAAAGATTGACCGCTCAAAAGATCATAGAACAAAAATTTGACCCAACTTTTTAGCTCTCCAATAATTCCAGCAATTTCCATTAATCACTACCTTTATCTCTTATCAATAATTTTAACACTCTCTTAATCACATAACAATTATTTAACATTTTTATATCTTTCATAATTATTTCTCACTTTCCTAATATTATTTGATACTTTTTTTTTTTTGAATTAATATGGTTGTTGTGTGATATATTTTGTTCAAATATTATTAAATTTAAAAATTAGCAAAATTTGCTTAATTAAATTAGCATTAATTAGTAACAGTTACTTACAGTAAAAATTGATTCATATATTACTAATTTTATGTTACATATACTTTTTGAATATAATAACTAAAAATGAATTTGATTATAAGTAATTGTATAAATTTTAAACGAAATTCTTCAAACATTTGATTAATACTTGATTAATTGCTTAATTATTTTTAGATAATTAACTTCAAATCATTTTAAATGTACGTTCATTTATTTGTGAAAGCATAAAATAGGAGTGAAAAGAATTCGATTAAATTAATATTTTAATAAAAATTATACCCCCCCCTTTCCAAAAAAAAAAAAAAAAAAAAAACGAAGAAAAATTGTTGTAATAAATAAAATTTTTAAGCATAAATTTAAAAAAAAAAAACAACAAATATCAATAAATAATCAATTATTGAAATTATCAGTTTTTTTCTTTTTTTTGTTTACAAAAGTTATTTGTAAACATTCTTTATGACTTGTTTTTGTTTATCTTTTTTTTCGTGTTTAGTTTGACAATAAATTGTAAATATTACAAATTGAAGTGAATGTTTTTATTTACAAAAATTATTTAATAAACAGAAACGAATATGTGAGACATTTTCATACAAATTAATTATTTTACATAGTAGAAAAGATCAAAATGGATGATCACATTGTTAGATTTAAATTTTGCTAAAAAATAAAATCGATATGAGTTATTACTTTTCTTTTTTTCTCTGCTATCATTCTAAGTAAATTTATTTATGATAATTAATGTAACTCTAACAGTTACTTATAATTTCATATGTAAAAAAAGAAAGATTTTATTTATTTAATGAATATATGCAAATTATTTAATCGAATTAAAATTTTAAAGCTTTTAGTTTTGATTATTCAATAAAATTTAATTAACCAATTGATTTATTATTAGCTGCTAAAATTGATTTAATTAATTTGCTGATAATTTTATTAGATATTTGTGAAGTTTTAAAGTTTTATCAGTTTTAACAAAGCTAATTAGTATCATTTATTTCAGCATAATAGTCAAATACAAATATGGCAGATGATAACAATTTACGTCCAACTGATAACGAACAGCAAAATGACTCAAGTGATAAGCCAGGAAATGATAATGAAGATGTTAGTTTCGGAAGCTGTGATTTCAGTTAACAATGTAGCAATAAATGTTAATAATAATAATAATAATAAAATGATAATCTTAACATGTTATCCTATAGTGTTACTGATATTATGATAAAGAATGTTATCAAAAAATGAATGATAATAGTTAATTCAATTTAAACAATAATAATATATCAAATTTTTTTCATTTTGATTAATTTAAAATCGTTCTTATTAATGAAATATAAAAAATTTTTGTAATGAATTGAAAAATTTTTAATGAAAAAAAAAGTGATTATAATTAATTTTATCATAAAATTGTTGTCATTTTTTTTTTTTTTTTTGTTTGTTTGTTTGTTTTTAAATCGATCATTGATTAATTAAATTTGAATTATTTTTAGGAGATAGAAGTACTGAAATCTGATAATTCAGAAGAAAATTCAGACGAAAATTTGATTTGCGATGAAACGAAAAAATTAAGAAAAAATTTTTTATCATTGAAAATATTTAGTCGAAAGTTTAATGCATTAAGACAACGATCACAGAGTTATAGTATTTTACAAAGTGATCAGCCAACGACAAGTTCAAATTCAACTTCAAAAAATTTATTCAATTTTAAATCTCTGCGAAATCGATTTGCTCATTTAAGGAAATTTTTAAATTTAAAGCATTTGTCAAATTCAAAGACAAAACATCATGAAAGTTTGGAAAAGTTAACAGAATTAAAACATTCATCGAATTCAAAGAGTTCAACTGATTCTGAAAGTTCACCGACAAATTTCGAAAGGTCAACCGATGTAACTCAGTCAAAAGTAGTAGATTTGATGCATACCGAAGGACACTTCGCGAATTTATCAAATTTACAACAAAGTGAAACAAATTTGGAACAATCTATAACTTTGGAATGCTCTATTGATCCGGAAAATTCAGGAGATCAAACAGAATATTCGGCAAATACAATGCAATTAGAAAAAGAATTAAGGCAATACTCTGTTGATCCGGAAAATTCAGGAAGTCAAACAGAATATTCGGCAAATACAATGCAATTAGAAGAAGAATTAAGGCAATACTCTATTGATCCGGAAAATTCAGGAAGTCAAACAGAATATTCGACAAATTCGATGCAATTAGGAGAATCAATGCATTCATCAGAACAATCAGAGAATTCATCAAATTCAAGCAATTTATCAAGTTTCAAATATTCAACAAATTCAGAGCAATCATTCCGTTCCGGAAAATTACCTGATTCAAGTTATTTAACAACTTCACAATATCTAACAAGTATGATTCATTCACCAAACTCACAACATTTAGCAAATCCAGAACAAACAACAAATTTGGAGCATTTATCAAATGCGGAAAATCCGGCGAATTTAGGACATTCAGCAGAATTGGAGCATTCCGGAATTCCTGAACAATCAATACCTTTGCATCATTTGACAAATTCAATGATAGCTGCAAATTCAGATGTGGCGCAGAATTTGATGAATCAGAAATTTTCATCGTCATCGCTGTCACAAGAGGGAGGGAATTTCGATGGACAATCGAGGATTCTAATTGATTCAAATGATCAAACAACACGAATGCAACTGATAAGTGATAAGAGTGATAGCGCAGAAATAGATGATAACAACTCAAAAGTAACTATCAGTGCTAATGCTAATGCTAATAAGCTTGCAACAATTGAATGCGATGATTCATTGATTGTTAATGATGAATCATACTTGGAATATTTTATATGCTCGCAGTGTTCACCTAGCAATTCGGAAGGTTCGCAACAATTACCGGAAATGCGGACCGCAAGTCAGGAATCATTAATACGACATTTCGTTATTGATGAAATTTTTTCTACCAGTACCACTAGTAATACTGATAATGAAAATGATAATAATCATATTAATAACAATAATGAAAATGGACATTAAATTTATTACTAATATTGGATTTGTCAGTTATTTTTTCTTTTTTTTTTTTTTTTTGAAATTTTATAAAAAATAAAATTAAAAAATAAGAAAAAAAAGTGAAATTGTATTTGAAATTGTTTAAAATTGGCATTTAAAATTGCAAATTCATTCATTCATTTATTATTAATATTTAGAATTAGCAAAAAATGTTTGTGAAAAAAGTTTTTTTTTTTTTTTGTTGACAAAAAGTTTTGACAAATAACAATGATAAATTGAAATGATTTAATTCAATCATTTTAATAATAATTTAATCTTTACATTCAAATTATTTAACTAAAAATTATTTTCTTTTTTTTTTTTTTTGTTTTGTTTTAAATTTTTAATTATTTCTATATGCCATCAATATTATAATTATTCATAAAACTTTGTTTATTGTCATTTGTCCAATTTCATTCATTCATTTATTCATTAATTATTGTTGACATTTGCATTTATATTTTCAAATTTGCATAATGAAATTTTTGAATTTTCAAAATGGAATTAAATTTTTTTAAATTTATATTTATACTTCGATGTATCGCTATGTGTGTTTGCTTTTTTTGAATTTCAATTTTATTTTCAAAGAAAAAAAAAGAAATTTCTTTATTCAATGAAATGATCAATAATTGCTTCCTTCTTTTCTTTCATTTTTTTTTTCTTTTTTTTACAAATATGAAATTTTCACGAAATTTTCACAAAATAAAAATATGAAAAATAATAAAAAGTTATGATACTTTAATGAGAACAATTTTGATTTCATTTAATAAAAATAAAATTTCTATTATTTACAATTTTTTTTTCTTTCTTTTTTGTGTTTTTTTTTTAATTTATCAAACAAATTTTCAATGAAAAAATTGAAAAAATTTTTTGATAATATGCAATAAAAAGCACACAAGTAAGCTTTTTTTCCCCAAAAAAGCAAAGTTAAATCGCGGAAAGTTAAAAAAATAATTTGAAATTATTTTTGTTTACTCATTCCCTCTCTCCCTGCCTCTCTCTCTCCCTCCCTCTCTCATATTTTTTTCTTTTCATTTTTTAAAATTTAATTTATAACAATGTGTGTTAGTTAATTGCAACATTGTTTTTTCTTTTTTTTTTTTTGAATGACAGTCATTTTAAATGTTTGAATTTCATGTGTTTTCAAGTTCCAATATGATTTCAAATTAATAAAAATTACATACTAATTTGTGTTAATACAATTAATTTTTCAAATTCAATTTTCAAATTTGAAAAAAAAAGGAAAAGAAAGAGGAGTAAACATTTAATTTAATCATATTTCATTTCAATTTAATCTGATATAATTTTTACTTTTATATTATGCAAATAATAATGTATTATATATATACTATTTCATACTTTAAATCTGAAATCAATTAATTCAAATTGATTCCAATTTAATTTATATCAAATCTTGAAACAAATCTCTGATGAATTTAATAAATGAGAAAAATTTATAACTAAAATAGTAAATTGATATCGGAATGTTAGATAATATCAGGAAACAATTTATGTTTATAAATTGGACTTTTTCAATTTCAATTAAATCATTTTTTGAACGAATCAATCAATCAACCGATCGATCAATCAATCAATCAATCAATCGATGAATCAGTCAATCAGTCAATCAATCAATCATTTAGTCTAACAATTTGCAATGAATAAAATAAAACAAAAAAAGGAGAAAAAATCTAAAAATGAATTCGTCACATCACGTCGCATTCATCTCTTTTGTTTCCACTTCTTACATTTCCAATCCTTCACTTTCTCAACTTTTTCTCATTTTAAGAACGAACAACAAATCTCTTCGCAACTGCACCTTTTGCCGTAAGTATTAATTAAAACTGACAACTCATAAATACTCTCCTTTAATCACTTCAGTGTCTGTCTGTGTCTGTGTCTGTCTGTCTGTCTGTCTGTGTGCGTGTGTGTGTTTTACGTAGACCTAGTACGTGTGTGTATCCATATGTGTGCATGCGCAAATGCATCTGCGTGTTTTACGTACGTGTATATGCATATGCACACATATGTTATGTGTGTGCGTTATATTTTACGTACGTGTACATGTGTATATCCATATGTATGCATGCACTATTTACGTACGTGTATATGCATATGCACACATATGTTATGTGTGTGCGTTATATTTTACGTACGTGTACATGTGTATATCCATATGTATGCATGCACTATTTACGTACGTGTACATGTGTATATCCATATGTATGCATGCACTATTTACGTACGTGTACATGTGTGTATATCCATATGTATGCATGCACTATTTACGTACGTGTACGTGTGTATATGCATGTGTGTATGTGTGAATGTCCCCAGTTGTGTTGTGATCAGTGACCTAATCAATTCGACTCACTACTGAAAGGGTGTGTTCTGGAGAGAGATACCTGCCCGTCGTTGTGTGATTCACTGGGTATACCCGAGGACTTAACCTATCTTTGTAGCATTACCCATTCGTAAAGGAATGAATTGTCAAGAATTTTGGGATAATTGTCGAAGAGATATTACGGATGGATGGCGAATACTTGCTGATAAATCAGGTATTTCTCCAAATGATTTCGGAACAAAAAATTTTAATTTAAATTACAAAAAGATAAAAATTTGAAATGAATTAATTGTTAACAAATACACTGTTAATTGATTAATTTGTGTATAATTTTAATTAATAAATTTGAATTCAATTCTTCATGAATTATATCAATTTTTTCAAATTAATCCTTATTGTTAATAATTTAATTTTAAATTTCGTATGCTTAATTAATGCAATCGATAATTAATGCAACCTAACAATTTATTCAATTTATCAATTAATTGATTCCTGTAAAATTAAAATTGGTACCAGAAAAGTATGTTAAATTTTATAGAAATAAATCTAAGTTTATATATTAGTTAGTGAAAATTATGACTTTTGTTATTGAGTAATAAATTTATAAGTATCAATCCATCTGTTTAATTAAATTAATTAATTGGAAATTGAATTAACATACTGAAATATTTTGTGGATATCAATTAATACGATGAAAAATTTTGAATGAATAATGTTTATTTATATAGTTAGAATGCCTTTTTTTTTTCTTTTTTTGTATTTTAAATTTAAAAATTTAATTTTATCACATTTATATTTTACATTTAAAGAAATAAATTTTTTGTCAATTATTGATTGATTTTTAAATTTTTAATAAATAATACGCAGACAACATTTTTGGCAAACAAACACTTTACTGCGTACTTTAAAACTGAAAATTTAAAAAAAAAAAAAAAATTTGACAGTCTTTTTTTTAAACTTAAAAATATGAGAGTGTGAGAGGAAAGTATTCAATCAATAAATAATAGCAAATTCAAAGCATTCATTGTTGCATTAAAATTTAATTTACAAACTTTTCAAACTTATCGTTTTTTTTTTTTTTTTAATATTAATATTTAAAAAAAAAAAAAAATTTAATTGAAAATAAAATATTTTTCTTTTTAAAAAAATAATATTTTTGTTTGTTTGTTTGCTTTTTTCTACAGAAGTGAAATTTGAATGGCCAATAAATTGTCCAATTGAAGTGCGTGAACTTGTTGGACCGGAACGATTCGATGCACAGGATCCGAAATTCATGATGCCGTTTTTCTGGAAACGAGATCCTGTGCCAGCATCTCGTTCCTGGTTTTATTTTTATTATTAATTTCATTTTTTGTTTGTTTTTGTTTTCCTGAAGCATTTTATAAGTAATACTAATGTAAACAATAATTTCTAATTTTTAACTAGCAAATTTGAATATAAAATAAATTCATTTTAGTACAACAATAACATTAAGAAATGAATGTGTAAAAAAAAAAAAAAAAAAATTAAATTCCAAATTATGTAATATAATAATAATAATTTAAGCATTTCAAAATTTTTTCAAACTAAATTTTATTCATTTCTAATTAATTAAAATAATTATTTATGTGAAATATTTAATTTAATAGATATTATTGCAATGAATGTTTAAATATTAGCAATAATATGAAAAAAAAATTAGATCAAATATTTTCTTTGATTATCCAAAAAAAAAAAAAGAAAAGAAAAGAAAAGCGATATAAATAAGTGCTTTTATTGATTTTATGCTTATTTGTAGGGATATTATTGTTTATGCAATTGACATCAATTCATTCTATTCTTATTTGTAGGGGTATTATTGTTTGTGCAATTGAATGGAGTTTTGGTGTTATACTATTGCTACTCTATTCTTTGCACTATATTATAGCATTTTTTACTTCTGAAGGTGCAACTATTGTAGCTTTTATATGTTTTATAACATTATTACAACTTAGTATATTTTTTAGCGCAAAAGTAAGTTTATAATTTAAAAGTTAAAATTTTATTAAATTGAAAAAAAGCAAAAGTAAGTTTATAATTTAAAAGTTAAAATTTTATTAAATTGAAAAAAAGCAAAAGTAAGTTTATAATTTAAAAGTTAAAATTTTATTAAATTGAAAAAAAGCAAAAGTAAGTTTATAATTTAAAAGTTAAAATTTTATTAAATTGAAAAAAAGCAAAAGTAAGTTTATAATTTAAAAGTTAAAATTTTATTAAAATGAAAAAAAGCAAAAAAAAAAAAAAGGTACAAAAATGTTTTTTTTTTATTTTGGAATAAAAGAAAATTGTTTAAAACTATTTGTTAATTTTTCAAATTATTTAAAAAATTAAAAATTTGTTAAATATTAATTGTGTACAATTTTCATTTTTTAAATACTAATTTTTTCTTTTTTTTTTTTTTTTTGAACATTTTATTTTGCAGAATTTTTTTAAATTAAAATTTGTATTTCTTTTTTTGTAAATATAATTTCTCAAATTTTATTATCGTTTTTCAATTACTGCAATTAATATTTCATTAATATAATTTGATCATTTATTTAATTAATTTCATAGTAATTAATAAAAATGATAAATACATTGAAAGAATGAATTTAATTGGAAAAATTAAAAAAAAAAAAACTATTAATTGCCTTAAAGCACCAAATATATTATTTTTATTTTCATTATCAATTCTACAACAAAATTAATTTGTTATTTTTTTTAAAAAAAAAAAAAAAAAAAAAAAAAAGAAAGAAGCTCAAAAATAAATGAATATATTAGTATTTTAAGCAATAATAAATAAAATTAAAATTTATTTTTTAATTTAAAAAGGAAAATATACCTACAGTTTAAATAATACTTTTAAAATTAAATTTCAGGTGCTATTTGTGATTGCAATTTTAGAAAAGCATGCAAATTTACTGAAGCAACAATTGATATTTCAATATATAACTTGTGTTTTCCTCTTGCTCAATGCAACATTTACCTTTACGGCTGACATGGGTGGCTATAACGAGGAGTACCTATTCGGCCGGAACGATCCATTCCTGATCCGTACAGCGGCTGTCATTTCAGTCATTTTTATCTTTGTTGAGCTTTACTTACGTCTAATGACAAAAGCTGTTTACACATTTATCAGTGAGACAAAACGATTTAGGTATACAATAACATTTTTTGTTTACAAATAATTTTAATTTATTTATAAATTATACAAAATTTTTATGTGCTAAATTTTATCATATATTTCTTATAAAATTATTAGATTATAGTAAACAATTCGTTTTTTTTTTCTCAAGAGATATAAATGAGATAAATTATGTTTATGTATTTATTACTAAGATTAAATTGTTGTAATTTGAAATAATCAAAAATTAATGAATTTATAAGAAAAGCAAATAATAATAATTAATAATTATTAATAAAAATGATAACAATTATACTAACAGTAAATAAACAAACAAACAAATAAATAAATAAATAATAATAATAACAATAATCAATGAATTAATACTATCTGAAATTTACTATCGTTTTTTTTTTTTTTTTTTTTGTATTACTTTATCAAAAAAATTTGAAAAAAAAAAATTATTTAACTTTTCTTGTGATATATATATTTTTTTTTAATAAAATTTACAGAATTGCATTAGACAATTCAAGATGGCGTTATCGTAAACGTGTTTATTTCTCGTATTGTTCGATAATGCAACAAAGTTTGTCAAGTTTAGCTAAAACACAAAGTATTCCAAAGGTTAACAAAATTTTCTTTCTCTCTCTTAAAAAATTTTAATTTCTTAAAAAAAAAAAAAAAAGGAAAATTAGAAAGAAAAAAATTAAATGAAATTTATGGTTGAAATTAAATTTATAATAACAATTATTTTCTTTCCTTTTTTTATTATTTATTGAAATTAAATGAAAAAAAAAAAAAAAAAAAGAGAATAAAAACAAATTATATTCTAATATTATTAATGTAATACAAATATTTTTGAAATATTTATTTCAAATTTCTGTCTCTTTCATCTTTGCTTCATTCCTTAGACCGAAGATATGATGGATGTGACACGCAAATTAACCTTATCATCATCAGTGATCAATAATCAAAGTGATAAGCGTGAAGTAATCTTTGTTTTCTTTTTATCTTATTTCATTACAATTTAAGATATTTCATCTTTAACTTATTCTTTTCCTTCTTTTTTTTAAAAAAAAAGGAAGAAAGAGAGAGAGAGAGAGAGAGAGAAAAGGAAAGAAATTTATCATTAATGGAAATAAATTTTTTTTTTTTAAAAAGAAAATGAGGTTGTCATATTTTATGTGACACCTGGCATTGGCATCAGTTGCAAATTAATTGTTTGATTAATGTCAATACTTTTGCTATGTTTTGCCTATTAGTAAAGTATTTACTCTTTTCTGTTCTTTTCAGGTTGTTGATGAAATGTGCCAAACTACCAATGAACCGAGAGTTTTGAGAAGGTGAATGTATTTTCCAATATTTTAATATTAAAAGCAAACGAGATGAACTTTTTATTTAGATTTCATCTCAAATTACACTAAGTTAACATTCAATAATTTCTATACAAAATATCATTCAAATTCTTGAATAGAAAAAAAAATTGTAAATATTATGCAGAAAGTAAAAAATTATTTTTCATTATTTTTTTTTTTAGCCCCAAACCGATTCGTTATAGTTGTCGAACGACACGTAACTCACGTCAACGACAACAAATGATTCAACGCAAAGAAAGTCGTTCACGTTCACGTACCAATCAAGCAGGTGTAGCTCTACTGGAAGGTAATAGTAACAGTGCAGGTGTGACATTTTACATTGGCATGCAATTAAATTCGAAATATCTTCAAAAGCTTCGTGAAGGTAATTTGGAAGATGTCACCATACCATTAATTACCGCTAAACAACATCGTCAACAACGTTATCATCGACGATGTCAATCATTAAATGATAATGAACGTTGACTTCACATCTTAAGCTTTATTTTCGTTACTTCTTGTTGATCCTTTCCTTTTGTTTTTTTTTTTTCTCCTTTTCTCTCTCTTTCTCAACGAATTTATATGTTTTCTTTAATTTTGTAAATAAAAAAAAAAATTGGTAAATTATTTCCTTTACAAATTTAAGGGTAGAAAGACAAAAAAAAAAAAAAAAAAAAAAGAAAGAGAATTATTCGATAAAGAATTTGAGATTGAGATAAATGTTCATTTTTGAAATATAATTTCATTTACTCACATACAAAAAAAAAAAAGAAATTATATGATAATTGAGAATTTTATCAATTAATCTAATACCTATTAAAATAAAGAGAGAAACAAAATTTGGCACTTAAATTAGCTTAGAATAGAATGAAATATTGATCTCAAGTAAACAATCAATAGTTGTTGTCAATCAGGACAAATCATTCCCCTTGATAAATACACATACATACATTTCCTATCTGTTACATTAATTTTTCAGTCATAATTTTATACCATTTTTGAATTGCAAATGATCAAATAATATTTGAATTTTTAACTTTATGAAATGAGAAAACAGTTTTGTTATGTTGTTTGACCATTCTATCATGTAAAGTGCTTTCTTTAATGAATTACCTAAAATTGATTTAACTGAAACATGCATAAAATATCACATTTTCACTTTCAAAAAAAAAAAAAAATCTATCAAAAATTTTAAGTTTAATTCATCAATTATAATGTAAGTTGGTGAAAGAGAGCAGAAATTGCTGTAAATTTGTGCCAATGCGCTATTTTAAATGTTGTTAACTTGTCTACCATCGCATTTGATTACATATATAAAAATAAGAAGAAGAGGTGAAAAATTGGAACAGGAAGGAACAATTATAAGAATAGCAAATATCAGAAATATTAAAAGCAATGAATAACAGCGATTTCTTTCTTTTTTTTTTTTTTTTTTTTAAATGAGCACATTGCACAATTTTCAATTTAATTTGCTATAACGGAAAGAAAGATGAGCAATGATTTTAATGCGCTCATATCGACTCTCTGCGACATTTTATGAAAGAGATTCAAGAAAATTAGATCATGATGTATCCATCTATGCAATAAGATGCTGTCGGAACATCAAATATGCACCTAACTCATGTAGAAATTTCAAACGTATACACATACACACACAACATGCACACACGCACACATACACACACACACACACAACATACAACGTCTATCACAAAAACAGTCAACCATATAGAAGAAAGATGTGAGTGTACTGGGTAATATAAAAAAAAACGGAAAGCAAAGCAAAAAAAAAAAACGATGCGAATAGTTTTACAACAATCTGCAAAAATTTTCGGAAACAGAAAAATAAGTGATTGACTTTTACTTCAGCTGTTTGATTGAAATAGCCACAACACTGCTTGAAAAAAGAAAAATATCTGTAATAAAATTCAGAAAAAATTAAACAATTGTTTGTGTTACATAAATATAATTATCACAATATTAAAATCTCAACTATATTGCGCATGACGAATTGATTTTCCAACTAAAAACCGCTTAAACAAATGAAAGAAAATGTTAACTGTTAAATTAAACGACAGAATGCTGAGTAATAAATGATAAGGAATTGTGAGCCAGGGAATTTGCCACTCAAAACTTCTATGATTCTTACAAATGCTTTCAAATATATGTCTATGTTGTTTCTCATTTTTCAAAGTGAGTCAGTTTGTGAGCACATTATTAAATGTTATTCTCAATTCAATTCCAACAAAAAAAAAAAAAAAACTCTAGAAAAACGAAATATTGTATTCAAACCAAAAATCAAAATTGTAAAGAATTTTTACGCAATTTGAATTGCTATTAACAATGGAATAGAAAAAAATGAAACAGAACTGAACCTAAAGTAGCTTTGAAACAAAATTTTGCTACGCGCAGCACTTTTGGAAGTTTTCATGAATTAATTCATACAAAACGATGAATGTCAGATGACAAGCATAAAAAATTGTATACAATTTTCCTCAAATTTCAGGATCTATTCTTCAACTGATTGCTTAGCCAATCAAGTCCTTCATAAAGACCATCGCCTGATGTCGCACATGTTGCTTGGATATACCAATTGCGATTACGCAGCGTGTGCAAACCAAGCTTATCAGTTACTTCTGCCGCATTCATAGCATTCGGTAGGTCCTGAAAATATTTGTTGCAATAAAAATAAGAAACCCAAGCATTCTCTAGAAAAATCATAAGAGCACTTCTGAATCTACGATATTAAATAACTATCTTTAATATTACTAATATCCATCTACAAATTAAACGAAGCTACTGAAAACTACCTGCACTAAGCATACATTCAGACTAAACCAGCATTGAGAAATTTGAGCAACCCCTCGTGTTCCGGCGCATGATTATTTGGTCTGATGATTCTCATTTCTTAAATGCTACATCCAGTTTGCGTCTTTTCCTACTCTGAGGTCGTAACCAGTGATAGGCCATCTTTTTTAGCTATTTTCTACCACCAAAACCAAATTCGTCTGCTTATGTTGAACTGATGAAATATTATTCATCATACATATTAATTATACAAAACAGATCATGTATGAAACATATGCAAAAAAGAAAAAAATCACTTGTTTATTTGCGAAAACAAGTAAAACGGCATCTCGCAATTCGTCCTCGGCCAGCATTCGCATTAATTCCTCTCGAGCCTCACCTATTCGTTCACGATCATTGCTGTCCACAACAAATATGAGACCTGGAATGGAGACCCTTGATCAGAACTATGATCAATCTACAGAATATTTTATCCAACGTGCAACTAAACAATGCTGAGTAATCAACATGAAATATAAATCCTGATTTCAGGACAAAATAAATGTAAGCCAGGAATAAATTCGCTAACTATTTGACTAATTGAAATAACAAATTTACCCTGAGTATTTTGGAAATAATGTCTCCATAAAGGTCGTATTTTGTCCTGACCTCCAACATCCCACACTGTGAATGATATATTTTTATATTCTACTGTTTCAACGTTAAAACCTGAAATGAAAAATCAAAGACATGCTATCATCCAGTAAAGCACATAACTGATCAAAATTCACCTGAACTTAAAAATAGAATTATTGATATATCTAATCATTAAAAACGTATCGCCATGAGAGGTAGATCGGCTTCAAATAAACATTTTAAAAAGACTCTGATTGATAATCACTACTTGAGCCTCAATCTTTAGTTTGTCAAAAGTTCATAAAATTTAAAACTCTTAAGCAAATTTCACTAAGAATTCTTTTGCGAATAATAGTTTAACAGGTTTATAAATAGTGAAAATCATGGAACTAACCAATTGTTGGAATTGTTGTAACAATTTCACCAAGTTTCAATTTATACAAAATTGTAGTCTTACCAGCTGCATCCAAACCAACCATTAAAATTCGCATTTCCTGCAAAAGAAAATTGAAATTTACAAAACACAGATTAATCCAGAATTAAATATAGCCACCAAATTCGAAGACTGATAATAAATGATAACAATATTTCAGAAAAAGTCCTAATGATTTTTCGATAAACAGTAGGATCTATATTTCAGTCAAGAATGAATTCCCTCACCTTTTTGCCGAAAAGGCCTTTAAAGAGATTTGTGAAGATGTTTCCCATCTTCAGTGATACTTGTATTGATTATAAATGCTTCGTATTCAGAAGCTGAAATAAACTTACAAAATGGAAATGATGTTCGACATATCTTTGCACAAAACACCAAGCTTTATAAAATTACATCGTTTTTAAATAATATTTGATAAAATAAAAAAAACAAAATAAAACAATTAAAAAACGATTGAAATAGAAAAAAAAAAAACAGTTGATAAAGAAACACAAAATGAACGACAATTGATCATTTCGAGAAGGACTCACAAATACAACGCTGCTGATTTTCAGTTATGACTTATTACAGAGATAACAGTAGTTAGACAAAGTGTGAATGATGAAACATGTGATGATCACTGAACTTACTATATAGACTTAGCAATTTTTATAAAAGCATAATTACCTTAATAGAAATTAGTGAATGATCTTTTAACAAATCAAGGACTAATATCACATACCAAGTTATTCACCTGAACAGCTTGTTAGCATGAGACACCGATGTCTTATAACAATCAAGCCACTTGGAAATAGTTAACTATTTGACCTTACTGGTATATCACTTAGTCTAACCTACTCGCCTTAACTGTTTAATCTGTATAAATGAAATTATTTTAATTACGAAAAGAAGCTAGTCTTTATTTCATCCAAATCATACTAAAATTACTTAATCTACGTTGAATTCATAATCTTAACGAAATTATTTGATCCTAGTATAAAAGCTACGCATTTCCACCAACTTAAGTTCATTAATCTTTAGATCTCAAAATACTTTATCTGTGTTATTAAAGTTACCTAATTTAATTCAATCTAATCCAATGATATTTGAAATTCACTAATTAAAGCAATAACGTAGTAGTGAATGAAGGTTGAGCAAGTGAAAGACCAGTGATAGATAAATGATAAGCAATAATGATAAATGATAACTGCTGACTGAAACATACTAACAAAGTAACCCCGTCACCAACTGACGACACAGCACGACACTACCACACAACCCCGTCGGACCAAGAAAATCGATCATTCGGCCACATGTAACCTTTCTCATAAACATCGAACAAACGGCATACAACGGTCGGGACGTTTCGCAAATATTAATGTTTCGTTAATTTCGTTGCATCTCTTCTTTTTTTCGATTTTTTAGGATTGTAATTTAAAGAAAAATACGAATGGAAGTATTTAGTTATATTTTGGGTAAATTAGTGTCGTTAATTTATCCGAGTAAGAGATTGGCTTTTATTTATTTGTTTAACGATTTATTAATTTATTATTCATATGTAACTTACGTTACCTGTTTATTTTTAAATTTTATTACTTCATATATTTTGCTTCATGAATTGTTTGCACAATTTATTGTATGTATTTTGAAATAATCAAGGATAGAATCGAGATAGATATCATTCGAAATAGAGTTTATTTTAATAGGAACGAAATATCTGTTATAAGAATGCAGGAAATTCTGATGGTGTAGCTTTTGTTTTCATTGTTATCATTGTGTTTCTTCTTTAATTGTAGCTTTTTGAATTTTTGGAGTTGAGAATGTTTGGCATTAATTATTTACAAGATTTAAATATATTTGCAAGAATCTTCATTGCCAAATTTTGTTTTAAAAGTAGAGAATAAATAGGCTACAAAATGGTTTAAAAGTATCTGTTCGGACGATTTCATTCCACTAAAGAAGAGTGTGCTGAGACATTCTAACTTTTTATTTGTTTTAGAAAGAGTAAAAAGGAATGGCAAAATCTAAGGTGCGTTTCTCAGAAGTAGACGAACTAACTGATGAAGGAGCGTTGCTGCATAGCCGTGAGAAATATGCTCGTTATCAGGAAGACGAAGAGGAACAGAGGAAAAATTCGGATGAGGAGGAAAACGAAGATGATATAAGAAAAGTTTACCAATCGAAACATACTCTGGATAGTGATGAGGAGGAAGAAGTGAAATATAAAAAATTGGATGTGGACAAAGTCTGTTGCTTTACTTCAGTTTTTTTTTTTTTTTTTTCTTTTCAATTATTTAAATATTAAGTTAGAGTCACGAGGTAAGAATAAAATTGAATAAAAGTTTATTTATTTATTTATTAATAAATCTCGTTTTGTACGCGAATGTATTCAATAATTTAATCTTCCTTTGTACACTTCACTTCTATTTACCATTTTCGGCAGTTTCCAAATTTCAGATTGCTTGAGTAATATATGAAATATTCTATAATTCTTCATCTTGGCATTTCCTCAGTTTGAGTATTTCATATTTCATAGTCCGTCTCCTTTTGGCTCATCAAATTTGGGATTGATTTTTTTATATTCTCATAAAGTAATGCATTTTTCTGTTACTGATGAAGCATCCATCCTTTTTTTCGATTATATGTTATTAGATATTTCAGCAACATTTTTCGTACTCTAACAAATTTAGTTGGAAAAATTATTTAGAAAACGCACTTTTTGGAGCATTAATTTTTGTGTTTCTAAAAGCTATGCTATGGCATAGTTCTTTGTGGGGATACAGTTATTCGAAACTTTTTAGAAGAGAATTGTTTTAGATTGACGGACAAGAAGAAGCGGGTTTGGAATATGAAGGTAACACGAAAATTATGGCTTTCAATATGAAGGAAGACTTAGAAGAGGGACATTTTGATTCTGATGGAAATTTCATTTTTGATAAAGTGAGTTAAACCAGTTTTTCATAGTTGTCGGAATTGGTATGCTTAAATTATATATATATATTTTTTTTCTGAATACCTGTGAAATCTTGAAGTCCTTATTTTTAGAAGGAAACCGAAATAAAGGATGCTTGGCTGGATAATATCGACTGGGCAAACGTAAAAGCAGAGGCAGGTGATCAATGGCATCAGAAAAATGTACTTCCATATCATTTCGTAACATTTATTTCTGGTCGTGTTGAACATCCATAGAGAAATTTTTTTTTGCATCCATAACAGAAACATTTGTTATCAACTTTTTGTGGCGATGATTTGAATTCTGCGGGAGGTTCTTTTTTAGGAAGAAGACAACTCAACAACAAAAATTCTTGGTAATAGTGAACTTAAACATATATACACAAAAATTGCTTCGATGTTAAAATCGAATGAGACAATTGAACGAGCACTAGCTAGGTTTGGGAAGGAAAAAGGTGAGCGTTTAATTCACATAATTTATTTGAAAATTTCTATTAAAGGAGTTTTTTTTTTTTTAATTTAATGCAGTTTGTGTCAATTAATGTGTTATAAAATGCTTAAAGTTTAGGACTGAAATCTTCTTTAACTTTATTATATACTCCAAATTTGTCTATATAATTTATAATAACGTTGTTTAGGTTTAAGCGCAGCAGAAGAGCGAAGGAAGAGATGGGCAGCAAAGAAAGCTGGTAAGGAATACGTTAACGAAAAGAATTTTGCAGTGAAGGAGTTGACAGGTTTAACTGATACCTTAGTATCAAACGGTGAAATGGAAGCTTATCAATATACCCTTGAGAAAGTTCAATTTATGATCCAAGAGTTAGAAAGTAAAGCCGTTGATGTCTTGGATATGTTTTCGAATGAAGCACCAACTTGCTCTAATAGAGGTTCATTTCATTAACAAATTTTTTGAAATTATTTATATTGTAACTTCATCAAAATTTGTAGTTCTGCTTACTTTCATCCAAAAGTAAATATTGATAACTGTTAGTTTCTGGATGATATTAAGCCATTATCGCTGAGAAACATATTTCATTGGATGATTGAACTATTTTGTTTATTGTTAAGAGGACGAATCAATAATTTTCATTCTGTCAGTAGTTCTGAATTACAAGCTTTTACTTTTCTTGAAAATCTTGTTTTACTACTGGAGTAAAACGTCAGATAGATCCGTTATCTATATTATAAATTCTTTAATAAAAGATAATAAAGTGGTCATAGTTAACATATATCTGGGAATTATAGTATGCTTGGAAGAGAATAGTTGATTAAAATAAATTAGAATGAAAAATTCGTTGAGTATTTTGTCAGAAACTTTTTTTTTTTTTACTTTGTAGGAGAAAGCAAGAAAACCGATGGAACTGCAAAGCCTACTAATAATGCCGTCGTGTGGGAATATAAATTATCAAATGACGATGGTGCGGAAATTATTGGTCCAGTATCCAGTGAAGAAATGATGAAATTACAAGGGGAGGGCAAATTTGAGAATGGTGGTTGGGCTCGTAAAAAAGGCATGCAAACTTTTTACACCATTGCAAGGCTTGATTTTGAAATATATATTTGAAAATTTTATATTTGCTTGCTTTTTATTTATGATGTAGGTTGCGTATGATATCTAATTTATACTGACATCTTTGTTACCAAAAAATCATAAAAGATTTTACTTCCTCACTGTAAAATTGAGTTAAAGTGTATAAGTCCTATGGTCTTTTAGATACAAACGATTTTGCGTCTGACTGTTCTAGTCAAAAGAATGTTTTTGAAGAATGCTGGAAAATTTATTTTAAATGAGAATGTGAATTTGATTTAGCAGCTAAATAGATTAGGATTATAGCATTTCTAAAAGAAAGCATTTAAGAAAGTCTAGAATTAACGAAGCAGTAAATAAAAATTGCTGCGTTTCCCTGCATTAGATTTCGATTTTCGTGTGAGAAAAAATATTGTTTGAGATGTGTAATAATTCTTCAATGCTTCTCTCTTTTTTTCATAACAAATCATTATAAATTACTTTTATGAGGCATCTGCTTTGATAATGTTTGCTTCATTTTTTTTTTTTTGATGAAAAATTCTACTAAGAAATCCTTTTGAAATGAAAATAATTGCTCTTAATATCGATTATTCATGTGTGTTCATTTCCTGTCCTTTCTATCCTTTGAAGTTGCTACTTTTTATCCGCAAATTTATATTTTTTGATTGTTTAAAAGTACTTTGATCTTTGCACATTTCTTATTTACATGAGTATTCTTACTCCATGACTATTTTATTTTTTATTTTTTAGATAATTATTCGATATAAAATTGAAACGGTTAAGTAGATGAAAAGTTCAAATCTTAAATAACTTTTGCAATATCTATGTGACATTTAAAAGTTAAAAATTAGTATCAAGGTACATTAAATGGTGTAGTGTTGATTAGATAAATTAAGTCACAATGATATAACTTGGTAGTTAGTATACGAATGAATTACACAATTATCATTCCATATTTTGATGATGTATCGCATTGAATGATTGTTATTAAATGATTATATAGTTCGCATAATTAATAATAATAATAATACTGTACTATTTCTGTTGATAACATTTTGACTACTAGCTTTAAATTATCAGTGATTATCGGTGAGTCATTTATTACACTGACAAATAATAGCGTTATAGGCGAAAGTAATACCTGGAACTGGAAACAATGAAGTTGTCATCGACACAACAGAATTTGGTACGACAAACGGCAAATATTTTTCGGATTTTTGTACAATGGGGAAGTGTTCCTTTTATTGTGTACTTAGGTAAAATTATCAAATTTTGTTTTTCTGAGAAATTTCAAAACATGAAGTTCACATGGTAGTAATGAATAATTGAAAATACACCAAAACGGGAAACTAACATCGAAAGAAAAAAAGAATCAACAAGTAACATACAAAGAGAGATCAATGCATTCACAGTATTTCATTTACTCCATCAAACATTTCTTCTTTTTGTGGTCCTCTTCCCCACTTAAAGCTGGAAATGCTAAAACATTACACAGATAGAACAGAATTGGATTTGGATTTTCTTGCCAAATTTTAATAACATAAGTTTCCTTCCTTTGAAGATCATAGCCCGCATAAAACTAAGAAGAATATTCATGTCTTTTAAAAGCGGAACCGAATCTAGCAGTGATAAACTTTCAGGATTTCGTCATGGAGCTGACCCACAACCAAACGGTGAAGTGATACCGCTTTCATTAAGTGGTCTTCTCTATGGATGAAACCTCCAGTTTACAAGCAACTAGTTCTTGCTAACTAGTTCACTTCCTTTTAATTATGCAGACTAATTTGCGGACATTTTCGTTATTGAAGATATAATTTCATCACTTTGCTATATGTCAAATAAAAATTTCCAACTACTAATCAAAAATGGCTTTCACATTCTTCAGTAAAAAATACTGTTTATACAAATAACAAGAAATTAATGCACAGAAAGTGAGATACAATACCAAAATCTCGATCATAGTTCCTGATTCCCGCAGAAGTCATAAAACTTGTCATTAAATTACGCGTAAACAACATGGATAAGTTGAATAGTCAGGAATGCACTATATTATGATAGAATTAGTAAACCAAAGAATGAGATAGATGAGCGACAAACACAGACATTAAGGCAAGTTGACACAAAACCCGAATAGAAAAGCAATAAGTACCAGAACTTTTTGAACAGGTGTAAACGTTGGGGAAATCGACAAGGAACGGTAAGTCAATTTCCCTATCCTAGCTAAAAAGAATTTTAATGCATGGCGAAGTAGTCAAGAATTAAATTTTCGAAACGATTGTAGAAAAGCTCTATTTAAATCAGATGAAGTTGTATTGAACTTCTGAATTTCATGATATTACCATTAGAAAATTAAAGGAAGATATGATATGTATATCATCATTCAAGAAACAATTTCTTGATAAGTGAAGATGAAACTATGAAAGACTTTATCATATTTTTCAACGTGAAAGCAACGTTTCCACCGGCGGTAAATGCGTTCGCAAGAATTCGACATGCTGGTCGTTCTCATAATTATAATCTTTGAAGCTGACCAAAGGTTTCTATAAAGACGAAATTCTTGAAGAAATTTGAAGCAAAAAATGCAAAGCTGAATTATATTTTTTGTTCAAATAGCATTTCTTTCGCATAGTTTTTTTTTTTTTTTTTTTTTTCTTTGATGAAGAAAAATAGCAGAACGTGCTTCTTTACATAGAGAATTGGAAAATATTGAGCGCTAAATTTCATGAAAAACATCCTTGTTTTTGATCGTATTTATCTTTGTACTGAGACTATAGCAAAATATGGATGTCTATGAGATAAGAGTGAAGCTATTTTTGGGGTGTTTTGAAAAATTCGTAATTATAACAGTCCTAGCTTTTTTTATTGTGAAAATATCATTCATTTATTTTATTATCTACTCTCAATGCTATACAGATAGTTATAACCACTGACAGTTAAATTCAGAACTGATCAAAAAAAAGCTAGGATTTGTAATTATAACAGTCCTTGCTTTTTTTATTTTGGAAATTCGCCTAGACCTAAGCTCAAGCATTGAAGTTGATCTTACCCGGAAAATAGCATGATTGTGATAATGTTTTTCATAAATAATGCTGAACGATGTGCGAACAACAAGAATGGCTAGTTCATGAGCGCATTTGAATGACGTTTTCCTCCACCAGCAGTGACCGATAGCCAAAACAATACCAAAGCGAGGTTGTGATGTTGGAATTCGAATATGCCAACCGCCCCAGTGGTATCTTTCTGAATTCAACCAAGCTGCACATTGTTCAATTCGAGGAAAATCTAATTTACGGAAATAATTCCTGAAAAACTATGCAAAATTTAAAGAAGAATTTAAAAAATATATCTATCAATTTAACATGCCATCGATAGATATTCAAGTTAAACAATCATAATTGAGCTTATTTATATCAGTTGCAGTTTTTCATAATAGCAATGGATCAGACATTTATCACCAATAAAAATGACAATTACTCTCTTGGATCAAGTTAAGATTCAAATAAATTTGCCTAAATTATATCTTGGGAAACTTTGCAATGAAAATAAACAATTTTTGTAAACAATATATGATAGAAAACATTAAATATTAAAAATATTTGAAAATTTTCTACTCCATTTCTTTTGATTAAAAAATTCATATTCTCAAATACTGATGAGTCAGAACTTAGACAAATAATTCATAACAGTCATGGAAAAATAGGAAATACTTCACTTTCGAACTATTATTACGGTAATAGAAGTAATAATTAACGATGAAAAATAAAAAAGATACCAAATATACAAAAATAAAACCTTGTTTTATATATCAATATATCGTGTTACGTATTTTAATGAAAAGAATATCAAAAAAAAAAAAAATAAATTTAGTGCTTTTCTGCTTACAAAAATTACTGGACAGTGATGAGAGAAAATAGACTATCATTGGCAATATCAATTCATTAAATAGGTTTATTTAGCATATTAACTTTACCACATGATTAATCCCTATGACCATTTCCTCACATATTCTATAATTTTTTGATGAAAATAAAATCTACTGCTGATTTTATTCACATTAACTTATAAAGTGGACTGAATAAGGAACTTGTTTACTTTTCACGAAATAATAGATCGAGATGCATCAATTTATGTCGGCGGTTTTTGTCATTCTGAAAATGATCCAAAATATTTTGTTCTTTCCTTTGATGCTCATTTCCCACTATTTGCAGATAATCTTCATTCTTTTGAGTTTCAATTTCTTTTAGTGTAACTTTCACATTCTTTATTGCATTTGTACTGGAAACATGCGATATTGTTGGCTTCGGTTCTTTGACTTTTTTGTGCTTTACACTTTTCCTCCGTAAACTCTGAAATTTTCAATTTATAATTATGAGAAAATTTTTGCGATATTGGTTTGATCTTTCTATCAATATGAATATAAAAAACTTATACACATGGTATTTAAAGATGTTACATTTATTTCATCATCAAATTATGTGAAGCAATTTTATATCATTAACTTTCTTTTTTAATTTTTTTTTTTTTTTCATATCATTAATTTCATACTTTTTTAAAAAGAATAACTTATCATTAACTGAAATTCCTATTAAAACTTTGTAATTTTAAAATGTTTATTAAAATACAGCAGTGCTTCAAAAGATTGATCCGTTTCCGTTCAATTAGAAATCTAAAAATCTTTCAAGATTCATTTACAGCGCTAGATTTCGTTAAAATTTTAGAATAATATATGAATTGGCATGAAATAAAATTTTTATTAAAATTTAGACAAATTTGACATTCTAATATTTTATTCATTAGACTGAATAATTTAGTAACTAATAATTGATATATTAGTAATTTAAATATATGCTCATGATTTTTTTTTTTTTTCTAGAATATTCCTCTACAATAATATGTTTTATTTATTTGTGTCTTTATTGAATAAGGTGTTTATGCTTACATATCCGAATATTAACATATATCATCGTCCAATCTAGCTCTTCACAATATATTTTCGTGTACACGTTACATTCCTACAACAATAATTAAACATACATATCCTACGGATAAAAAAAAAAGGATTCAGTGACTGTTTAGGACAAAAATATGATTAGAATTTGAAAATTACTACATTATTACCATTTCTTGAGTGCAAATAAAACAACATCGGAACGAGCGAGCCATTTCTGTTATCATTCGATCACATAACATTTATCACCTGAAAGAAATATTAATAGACTGATTAATTTTTCTTTTGATTATTTATAAAAAAAGAAAAAACTAAATAAATAATTCGATTTTATCAATCAAAAAAATTATCTTTATCTTTATAGAATTTCGTCCTTTTTTCATACTTTATCAAATCTTAAAATGACATTTCAATTGAATGTCACACTGCTAAACAAGCTATCACTAATAGACAGCACTACACATTCATGTCATTTCTCACTTCCACATAAACAATTTCCATTTCATTTTCTTTCCTTCCTGTTAACAACAAAGATTAGAAATTTCCTTTTCCCTCTTTGTTTCACTTTTAAATTACTAAATAGCAAAGGTCACAGCGTAACGTGACCCCTCCACTACAGCATATCCCTATTGTCACGTATCACAAATTAATAGTCACGTCATCTCATGAAATTTAATCTTTGTAACTGAATAATGTTGTCTACGTGCATTTTTCAAGTTTCACTCTCCAGTAATGCAGCTGTATTTCTGGGACGAATGTATTTCAGAAATATCTCTCATTCAAATTTATGCAAGACAAGTGGTCCGTTGAAATTGAGCAGTGAATGTATTTAGTTTGGAATTTTTCGGCTTGTTGCGGCGACTTTTAGGCACTCTGTTAAACGAATGTATGAAAATGATGATTGCTCATTAAGTTTTGTTTAAACATTTATTTGCAGTTTTTTTTTTTTTTTTTAAATAATTTCCTAATTGCTAATGAGATATTAGGAGAGAATTGAAGTTTTTTTTTTTTTTTTTTAAAAAAAAAAGATTTGTATTTCTTATACACTTTATTTCCATGTAAATTCAAAAGGTCAAATAGTTTGTAAGACGCTGCAGTAGTTCTTTAAGAAATTTAATATTAAATTTAAGGACTGCAATGTTTTATTCCTCAACAGCTTTGGTATGTTTCGTCATTTCGTTTGAATTATTTTATTGTATTCCAAATATTAACCATATTTTTAAGGGACTTCTTCAATGCAGGAAGTTAGTAGTGAAAGATGCAAATTACTATTACCCAATGAAATTTTGACTGTTTTTATCGAGAAACTCGCATTCAAACGGTTCACACCAGTTCAGGTATTAATTTTTTGTTTTTGGGTTTCGAATAACTTCTTTAGTTGAGATATTGCAATAGCTTAATAATTCTTGCTTGTGGATATGTGATAACCTTGGAATGATATCCGAATGTTTCATTATACTATCACTTTATCTCCTATGAATATATACAATTCAGATTTAGTCATTACATTCATAAAGTCATTCCTTAAGAACTATTTGCTTCTTTGATTCAAATGTTGGCGCTTCGAGCTTTCTATCCAGCAGATTTTGCATGTTATAGAAACAAATCACGAAGTAAAAACTGGATTGGGATGATTTGATTCAGCTTTAAAGAAATTTTATTTAATGGAATTTCTTAATGTCGAAAATCTTATTTAAAACTTCTATGGGAAATGCATTTTAAGAAGTCAAAATTGGCAGAGTGGATGTGCATGCTTGTTTCTTACCTAAAGAACATTAATCATCAGTAACTTATCTAGTAAATAGAGATTAACTGAGGTGGTTTGATAGTCCAGCAATCCTTTCTTGTTTAGGATTCTTGCTTAATGGCTTTTTCTAGTTATGCATATATAGATTTGAATGTTAACTAAAACATTTCAGTGATAGAACTCAAGAATTTCAGTGACGTTCAGCTGACGTATTTAAATGATATAGATTTTTAACAAATGGAATAGAACCGATGATATTCAATAGGCGTAAGTTAATCCTGACCGTAGTATAAAATTTCTGAAACAGTCTGTTGTTTTGGTGCTTCCGGTTTAATTTAATAATACTTATTGGCATGTCCTTATTACATTGTTATTTTTGTGCACATTTCTATTTTTCTACAGTTTAATTTAATTTAACTTTTCTTTTTTTTCCCTTGCCTTCATCAATTGCTTTTCATTTTGTTTTTTTTTTTTTTTTTTTCTTTTGAGGTTACGGCTAGAATCAGCTTACAAGTATAGCATCGTCCTATTTTTTTAAAATTTTACATCATCTAAATACCGTCAGCAGAGTATCACTTGAGTTTTTCGGTTCTTCTGCTAGATTAAAATAAAATTTAACTTTTGAAGGATTTAATTTCTGGAAGAATCTGTTGTTTTCGCACAATTTAAAGCTCGTACATATATTGGCATATTTTCATTATGTGTGTTGTTATTATTTCACATTTCGATCTTCCTACAATTTTTTGCTTTCATCCTTTTATTTTTGTTAACTTTTTCTCTTAAACTCATTCCCTTTATTTTTTCTGGTGGATTTAAGTATTCAAATTATGAAGCAATATGTATTGCTTCACTTTGGTCTTTGAACATTTAGCAAGATTGAACGATTTTTACTTAAATTGTTGTTTGAAACAAGCTTGAAATCTGATTTCTGATCTCCTGAGTTGATTGAGGATAGATTTCTCCTTCAGTGATTTTGGGTACTTGAGTATCAGAGGATGCGCGAACACAGTGATTATCGATGGGGTGATTATTATTTGTCGGGCGGACGTAAAGGCAAAAAGTCATGGGTTTTGGAATTAATTCATACGACCAATCAAATGATACCAACCTTCAATGAACTATTTGATGAGGTGAGCTGCAAGTATGTGTGTGTTGTGCTGCATTATAGTGAAAGACTTTGGAATTAAATTTCCTGAAATGTCACAGCGTAAAATAATATTGAACACGAAAGGCATAAAATGGTATTAACGAGTTTTCAAAATCTGTTTTTCTTAACCGATCCATTTTATAGTTTATTGCATTAGGCAGCTTTGTAATATTGATTGAATGAGTCTCTAATGCTTTTTACAACTTTTTTTTTTAATGACGGGTTGTAAAGTTCCATGAAAAATATTACTGCTTGTGATAAAATGAATGGCATAAGAATTGTTCTGTCGTTTGAGGAATTTTATCACTTTACTTTGAAAAATTATATATTAAAACTTAACTGATCATCATTCAGGAGACATTCTATGTGTTTGCATTCATCGTTGTCATTTCATCTTTCCTGATTGCTTTCTTTCTGGCTAAAGTGGTCGGCATACGAATTCGCGAATATCCACTAAATGTGAACCGTGAGTGGCGTGATGCACGACCAGCAAATCCCTTTCGTTTCCCATGGAATCGAAATAGTTGTTGATATTCTTTTGGCTTCCAAAATTTAAAAACTTTCTATAAGCGAAGCAAAAGAAGCATGATATCATATCTGTTTAATCATCAATGAGATCATTTATCATTTAATATCATAAGTGCATTTATCAAGTTCCAATAAATTATTAAATCTTCAGTACTAAATCTTCGGGAACTAGCATTTTTTAAATTATGGAAGTTTATGATGTATTCTAGTCATTAATGTACTGTAATATGTTGATCAATTGTGTTGTTTAATATATATATATAGTTTTTTTTTTTTTTTCAATAACTCAATTTGTTTGATGGCTTAGGTATAGTTTTATATTTCCCTTCATACGTTTAATAGTTTCACATTTTCTTTTTTAATAGTTTCACATTTGTCAAAAAAATTGAAGGATTCTTTAATTAAGTGATTTGATTGATCTGATTGTTCTTTTTTAGCATTTATTTTGACATCCTCAAATTTTATTTCAAAGTTTGTATGCTTCTTTCACAAGCTGATGAAATTGTTATAATTAGTGGAAAGTGCTTATTGAAACAGGAAAAAAAATTTAGTCTTTATTTGTAAAGTGATTTAGTGCTAAGTATTTTTCAAAAAAATTCGTGCGAGATTGAATAAAGTGAAATATATAAGATCTTTTTCTCGTTTTTCCACCACTTTTATAATCTTAATTGGATTTCTGAAAACAATCTGCCTTTCCATTTTTGCATGAAGCGGCTGAATCCTGTAAGAATATGCTAATAACAGTTTTCTAAAGTAGTATTATATAACATGCATATTCATATTTTTTATTCTTTTTTAACAAAATCATAAATTCATAGAAACCAAACACTCCTTCAGAGTTGATAGATTAGAAATGTTGGATGTTGGAAAGTGGTGCATTTCTAATTAGTGTAAATCATGATTAAACATGTGGTTCAATATCCTAAAGAAATCTAACAACTCAGTCTTTTTTCTGTTCATTTCAACAACATTGAATTATAACTGTTAATTTCAATTTTAATAATCAGTAGAAAAGATTTGAAAAGGATATTTCTAAGACATCATATGCCCGAGATATCGATATATTTAAAGGTTTCCTGAAATGTAATGTTATGTGAAGTTTTGCATATTTTTCAGGAACAGGTAATAGAGAGGTTATTGAAGTTTCAAGATGTTATTGTGCAAGCACCAACTGGTTCCGGAAAAACTCTCGCATATATTTTACCACTGTTTACTATTTTATGGAAAAAAAAAAAGGTTTGATTCTTCGATGTATTAATAATATTACAGTTGACTAATATCATTGAAACATTACTGATAAATGGATTGATATGAGTAAATTTCAATGAAATTACAAATGTTTACATGATTCCGAAGCTATAGTATTGTTGTAAATTATATGTCATTCCGCGTTGTAGGTTTGGCCGGAAAATGAAATAGGCGCAGTGGTGATTGTTCCAAGCCGAGAATTAGCAAAACAAGTTGGCGCAATTTGTAAATTGTTTGCGGATGCACTATCCTTCAGTATGCGTGTGATGATTGGTGGAAAAAAAGGAAAATCTAACTCAAAAGCAGACCAGTGTCTGAGGTTTCTCTTATTTCTTTTTTTTTTATCAAATGGAAGTAAGTATATTTGGCAGATCGCTTATAATTTTTATAATTTTGTGTTGAATTCTCGCTTATAATTTTTATAATTTTTGTTGAATTCTCGCTGTTACCAATCACAATAAGAACAAATTGGAAGTGCTAGAATGACATTGTTGAGTATTTCCATTATGCTTTTAAATGCTGAATACTTTCTGGAATACACTAATCTCTTGTCTTATAAATTTAATTTTTAGCGCTGCAGTAATAATAGCTACTCCTGGAAGGTTACAGTCATTGATTTCGTCTAATTCAGACTTTAAAAAAGCTTTAAAAGCTCTTGAAGTATTGATTATTGATGAAGCAGATCGATATACAGACTCAAGTTTCAAAGCTGGGTAAGCAAAAACTCGGTAATCTAACTGACTCAAATGCTCACTAAAGTTTATAGTATGTTTGTAATCATAACATATATGTAACAACATGCATTATTGCATTTGGTAATTGTATGTGCCATTTTAGTATGACTGAAATTCTGGAATCCTTACCCAAACAGAGACGGACTGGTTTATTCTCTGCAACACAGGCCAAAGAAATGGAAGAAATTGTGAAGTTTGGATTAAGGTTGTTTATTTGATTATCGTTATTCAAATCATCAAGTATCATCGCATAGCATTTAATTTGCCAGTCCTGAATTCTTATAGAAATCCCACACAAATTACAATTACAAATTGTGGTGCAATGCTTGATTCAGTTGATTCAGTGGAGGCAATATCACCAAATACGCTGAATAACTTTTATATGGTTTTTTTTTTTTTAACTACAGAATAACTTCTAACTTCTAGGTAACAATTTTTATATTAATTGTTCTTATAAAAGACTTTTCAATCACATGAATAAAAATAGAGCTATTTTTTCCACTTCCACAAAACTAAGTTCGGAATGTACTGATCTGTTTTTTATCATATTGTAGTGGATTACTTAGCACTTTCCTTGTAAATTTTCAACTTTTTAATATTCTTTTTTCCTTGGGTTTCTTTTATTTAAATTCAATTTTTATATTTAGGTAGTGAAAGCTGATCAAAAATTGCATTTGCTGGTAGAATTTGTCCGAACTCATCCAAAATCAAAAATACTAATTTTTTTCTCAACTTGTCAATGTGTCGAATACATGCAGATAGTACTGAAAGAACTCATTCAAAAAAGACAAATATTTGCATTGCATGGAAAGAAAAGAAAGAAAGCAGAGAATCAGGCATAATTTTTTAGATATCGATATTTTATTTACTATTTTTTTTTTATGTTACGTTATATAGATGCACATAATTCACGTTTTATAAAGTAATTCACAGCAGATGAAGTATGAGTTTATAAGATGATACATATTCCTAAGGTTTAAAATTCATTTAAATTTTTATTTGATTTTACTTACAGTTGCAAAGTTTCCGAAAAATTGGCAAATCACTGATGTTGTGTACAGATGTACTTTCTAGAGGTATCGATGTTGACAATATTGATTGGGTTGTGCAGTTTGATGTACCAAAACAAACAAGGTCTATCTTTTATTTTTTTCGTTTTGATCAATATTGCTTTCTCAATCAGTAGGAAATTAGAATCAGTGACCCTTTCAAATATTTATGGTAAGTTTTTGGAGATGTCTTCACCACCGAATTCATGATAGCTTTTAATTTTACTATTACAAATAACGTTAAATTAAATAGCCGAGTGCTGACTTTCATGTATATCATAACAAAACACCGTAATTGGAGGCTAAAATTTTGACATTTTTTTAATTTTTCTGACTCAAAGTAGTACAACATTAATTTGAACAAGCTAAATTATATTAAGGAATTTACTAGTGTTTAACTTAAAAGAAATGCATAGAGTAGAAATAATTAATGTGTAATATATACAAGAAAAACAGGTATAAGCACAGGAAGATACTGCTAAAAACTGTATTGTTTTCCCTAGTTCGTTTTTTAAATTCCGGGATATCTTATGTGGTAGTTACATTGCGTGTATAAAATTAATTTGACTTTCTGGTTAGTTAAAGTTCAAAATACAAATCGCTAAAATTAAAAATTACTGTCAAAATTTCTAGCTGGTTTGTCCATCGCGCTGGTCGGAGCGCAAGGTGTGGTAAAGTGGGGAATAATGTGTTGTTCCTTACACCAGAAGAAACGGCTTACATCGAATTTATTGAGAAGTACGAGAAAGTTTCGCTGACTGAAATGAAAGCTGATCTAAAGGAAGATGATGAAGCGGAACAAATAAGGCAGCAGATCATTAAGATGGCTTCAAAAGAGAGGTATGTTCACTTTTTTTGTAACTATTTCAACTGTTTACCTAAATTTTATATTTGAAAGACTAGAGAAATAATTAAAAGAAATTCACTGTTTTTGTGTCTTGATATTCACTATCAGCATGTGTTGATTTAGCAACATATCAGCTGTTTATATTGGAAGACAGCGCATAAATACAGCGCTTGAAGGCTAACTTTTGCGGGTTTATTAGATAATTAAACTTTAGAGAAATCCTGGAATGTGGTACTCGAGCATTTATGTCATTCGTTGAATCCTATGTGCGTCACGATTGCAACGTTGTGTGTTCATCTAAGGGTAACGATTTTTTTTTTGTCTCATTTCATTTCCTATGAGATGCTAATTAGCCGAAGTAAAAAAGAACTTGGAAAACCGAGATATACATTTTAAATGAAATATTTTACGAAATGTTAACTTGCAGACTTGGATGTTGTTGGTTATGGCCATGCTTATGGATTGTTACGTCTCCCGCGCATGAAAGAATTTCATCATAGCGATTTGAGTGATTTTAAACGCTCTGATTTAAATACTTCAGAAATACCGTATAAAAATGCAGAAAAGGAGAAGCGAAGGCAAGAAAAGTTACTGCTTCTGAAGACTGAAAATAAAGAACTGAAAAAGGTACAAATTTCCAACAAGCCCTTTTCTTTCGAATCTTAATGAAAATTGCATTGTGTCTTTATCTGCTCATTATTCCTTACGTTCCGATTTCGAAGCTGCCCAAGAAGATTTTATCCTCCGATTTAAACCCATCCATTTTTTCATCGTTCTAACTTAGATTTATAAATTTAATCACGTGTTTTTAAAAACTAAGGATCCAAGAATTAATGTTTATGATAGCCATTTATTTTAGAGCCTCTAAATTTTCTATTTTCCATCGAAAATTTGACAGATGGATAAATCTATTCATGATGAGACTCATAAATTTTTTACAGGAAGGCAGACCTCAGAAAAAAAAATTAGGTGCCAAACAAACCTCCCAGAAAAATTCTGCGAAGAAGCGACGGCATAGCGAAACCAAGGAGAACATAGATGATTTCGGTTCAGATTTCGCATTACTGAAGAAATTAAAAAAAGGAAGATTGAAAAAGAAGGAATACGATGAACTAATGGCGGATAACTCCTACTGAATATTCTTGTTAAATTTTATGCTTGAAATTTATGTTTTTAATAAGTAAAGTAAAATTGCTTTATGATTTGCACTGACGTTAGAAATTCTGAAGCGGGGGATTCATGAACACAAAACAGGATGCTTATTATTTAATAATTTTTAATATTTGAGATTCCGCTGTTAGCGATATGCGGAATAAGCTATTCATAACGTGTGACAATATAAATCTCCGATGTAAAAGTGGTATTGCACAGGTTTCGGGAATTAACCCTGCAATCCTTGATTGGACTGACGATTAGTTTGTTCAACAGAAACTTTGACTACTACTACAATTACAAAAAATTCTATTCTTGGGTAGGAATACAAGGAAATCAAATATGATAAAGATGACACATCAACGATATTCATAAGGCTAAAAAAACAGGAAGGAAAGGAATTGTTTTTAAAAATCATAAAAATTAGGCCTCAAATGAAAATCATCAACGATAAGCACATACTAAACAGCAAATGGAAAATAATGGGAAAAAAAAAGAAAAAATAGACTCATATACTAAGGATGTGGATATCATTTTCATAGTAAGTCTCGATTTGCTCCGTTTTTTACAAAATCCTCAGGTTCGTTCGTAAACAATCAAATTTCGAGAAGACTAATCCCTTATTTGTCATCACAATCAATAAGAAAATGAATTAATTTTGCTAGATATGGCTGGAAAGAAAGAATACCAATGATTTATGATAATACGATCGCGTAGCATCATCCATTCCGCAACATCCGATAATAGCGCCGGCTTAAAGTAGCAAACACTGGAAGGAACTTTTAGGTCGGAATGGATTCATCTTATCATTCGGAAAGCCTGTCAGTAATATGTCGTCTCTTTGACAATCTTGCGTATACCTGGAACTCCAGCAAATTAATAAGAATATTTTGCTCCTGTAATATATGGAATAATCCCATTTATCAAGAAATTCTTCCAAACAGAAAGATTTCCTCCATTTCAAACATTCATTTAAAAGATGATAAGTTTAAACATGTAATTGGATTCGATGAGCTTATTCCATTAAAGTTAACATGAAAGTATGTTCCAGGACTATACGAGGTTCCAGCTAATCAATATTCCAGTTGAACATGCATTTCAACAACAAAAACAGTTCTTGAATTAATTTCAAATATTAAAGTAAGAATTTCACAAAAACACATGAAATCATTAGAATTTCTTATTTTGGAAAAGAAAGTTTGGCAGTTGGTACATGGACAAGAAAAAGACATGCAAAAAATAATAAATTGATTCCTCATCTTTTTAACTCCACATTTTTCACGTAAATTTCCGATAATACCTTCTCAAACACAGCCACAAATCCATATTTCTTTCCTTACATTAAAGGTAGTCTCACCACAAAAACTTTTGCATAACTCATAAAAAATTCCGAATGTGTTACGAATATTACATAAAGTTTGAAAAAGCATAATCTCACCGCACTAAATCACTCGCCGTTTGAGAGATCGTCGTACGACGTAAGTTACGTTCACGACGTAACTGTTCCACAACACTTCGCGCCTGTTGAATGGAATGAGTATCTCTTGCGCTCATTTTATTCGTACTTCCTAATCAACTTATGAATCCTATAAAAAGTTTCAGATACGTCAAAATAATATGATTTAATGGCACCTACCAGAGACTGAATATTAGTAAACTGTTTGAACGCAACCTAAATTCTGTATGTGGCAATGACGAATTCTGAACAGAAGAATTGCTCTCCTAACATGTAAATGTCATACGTACATAACACGCACGAATTCTTATTTTTACCAAAACAGATGTCTGACTAAGACGTAAATGAACACGTATAACACGTGAAAACCCACTGCCCAACACAAAACATTCATCATCACATCACCTCACCAATCCTAATTTAACGATTTAACGCATCATTGTTATATCCTGACGCTACTTCATTTTTTTTTTTCTCGTAAGGAGTCTGTTACGAAGGGTTAATTTAATTTACGTGAGATTACTGCATTAAGTTAAGACGATGATCGTTTGTTCTATTCGATTCTGAAAAACGTGAAGATTTTCGTATAATTCTTACGTAAGATTCTTGTATTTCAGAGAAAGAACAAGCATGGAAATTGATTTTCCACGTGAGGATTTATCCGTAAGTAAAAAACGTCGGAAAATACATTCAGTTAATGATGAAACAACGGATGTGAAGGTGAATTTTTAGTTAAAATTAAAATGATCGTATGCAGAAATAAGTATTGTAATGTTTAATTCATGTTTGTATTTTTAAACTATAATAAAGTCAACATTAACTATGGATACTGATGATAGTATCAACAGTATTAATGATGCTAATGTTAACAGTAATAGTAGAAGTCTTCACTATAGAAATTTGTGCTACTATTTGTACAACAGTAATGATAAAAATAATGGTAGCGATAATAGTGATAATATTTATTATAACAATTAGATGATGGCTATGATAACAGTACGTGATAGTTATTCAACTGAAAATGTTGACATTAATAGCATTGTAAAATGACACATTATTATTAATGGTATTTATTTGGTTTTAAATAATATAAGGAATTGATTAATGGAATTCATAGGGATAAAGTAGCGAAAATTTTTGCTAATGATATTTTCAGCACCTACCGATTAAAAATGAGCAAAAGTCGGAATATGTTGGTGTATGGAATCAGCGTATAACTCCGAATTTTCTCACTGAAGGAATGCTTGGATTGGGTGTTGTTATGAAAGTAAGGTTTTGAGATGAATTAATGGTTTCTTATTTCACGTAATAAGATTGTACAGCTTCAGTGTTTAAGAAATTTTTTTCTTGATTCTATTTAGATTAGAGAGGCAGAAATACTGTTGGAATGCTCGGATGGTGTAGTTGTTAAAGTACCTGTTCAAAATTTCGGCAGCTTGATGCTGGAAACACTTAGAAATTCATCTATTACGCTAGAAGATGTCTTTAGAGTTGGTCAAATGCTAGCATTCAAAGTCATCAAAGGCAGAGAAACTCATGGTATTTTCATAATTTCCAAATTTGGTTCCCATAAAATTTGATCTGAAAAATTTTTGTAGTGTAATACAAAATGAGATGTTAGCTTTTAACGGCTATCAAAAATTAGTACAGCTCCTTTATGCATTATTAAATAATCAGACTAAGGAATATTTTGATGTAAGTTTGCTTGCTTGCTTACTTATAATTTGCTTTCTATAACCCTGCTTTCCTGCAGGTTCAATAGCAGATCGATTTTAATATATGGCAGTCATTCCAATTTGAAATTTATGACTTAATATTGTTAGAAAACTTGGATATGTTAGTAATTAAATCTAGCAAATTGCTTCAATTCCAAAAGAGTGTTGTTCATGAACATAATTAAGTAAGAAATCAGGGATGTAAATAATTTCTATTTGTTCATCTTTCAGATACTCAAAAGAAAAGGAAAAAAGCTTCATATCCTATTGTTAGCTGTGACCCACTAATTGTAAATTTCCATCTCAATCCTGGCGCTCTAATTGATGGTCTTGTGCTTAATGGCGTTGTGGGAAGTGTAGAAGATAAAGGTATAATTTCAAGAAGTTTATCACTTTTTCGTTTATTTTATTTTTTTTTTCCTTTTTTTTTTAGCGGCTTTAATGAAAAACAATTATTATAGGTGTTATTATTGATCTTGGATTGCAATCAGTTGAATTAAAAGGATTTCTAGCAGAAAGACACTTACCATCTACTTTTCCAAAGGAAAGCTTAATAAAAGGACAACCACTTTTACTGCGAATACAGAATGAAAGTTCATCAAATAAAGTAAAACTAATTTTTCAACTTTAAATACTGGCTATTCTGACATTGTAAACTTTTTTTTTTGATTAATGATTTGAATTTAATCTGAACAGCTAATTTCAGCAGCAATTCATATTTTAACAATCTAAAAGTTCGCATAAATTAATTTTTGTTGTAGAAGGCACGAGTTATCAGTTTGTCTGCTGTTCCTGAAATGGAATGCTTGGATGATGCCGTTGTTAAGAAACTTAAACTTAACGATTTAATGCCAGGAACTTTACTTTTAGTGAATCCTTTGCAGCCAACTCATAGTGGTGTTTATGTCAATATTGGGAATGGTAAACTTTATAACTTTAGAATTTGATCTTATCGAAATTAATTTTTATAAATAATAATTCAGCATATTCTAGCTGTAGGAAAATCTAAAAGAAATAGTTCTGTTTAGAAGAAAAAATAATGTGTTTATAAAAACATCAACTAATTAGTTTATCGATGGTTGTTTCACTAAAAGATTAAAATTGGGTTTGGGATTGTCACTCGAAAACTAAATTTGTTTGAAGGACATAATTTAGTTTTAACTGTGTTGTTTTCTGTATGTGTTTTTAAAGAATAAAAATTATTCTCTTTTTAAGAGAAAGATATTCTCTCTTTTTGGTTTTTAATGATTTCATTCTTAAATATTTCAGATATAAAAGGATATGTAAGCAGACAACATTTACCACCTAGGTATCGCAACGATCCATACAAATGTTTGAAGTCTTTTAAAACAATAGTGATGTTTTGTCAACAGAATAGCAATTTATTAACACTGAATGGACATCCAGATATAATTGCTGTTAGTAAGTTGGTAAAACGAACTAATTTTGAGGTGAGATTTGTTATGATAATTATTTTATGTCGATAATTATTAACGATTGGAATGGCTGACTTTTTTCGTTTTACCTTCTACCACTTTTGGTTCATACAACAATTGATTTTTCACTACTATAAACATTCACTGTCGTTGGTTTTTTTTTTTTTTTTCTTTTTTTTTTCTTTACTTTAGTAACTCATTCTATATGAGTTAAATATGCTGCTTGGTCTTTCAACTGTTCAACTAGTTTTATTTCGATCTTTTAATGGTTTAGTAATTCTTTTCTCGAAAGATTGAAAGATTTTTTACTTTTTACTAAGTTCACTTGCTTAGCGAGATGACGTAATACTTTTGTTTTTTATATTTTCGGTTTTCAGAATATCCACATTGGTGATATTATTGAGTGCAGGGTAAGCAGTGTCGATAAGAATGGGAATGTCAATTTTGATTTAGTGCATGAAGATGAAAGAAACTCATTAGTGGCAGCATTTGCGAGAAAAACTAAGCTAAAAGGTTTGCATGCATCTTTTAATTTTCACTTCATGGAGTCTTTTTAATTTTTTAATCATGTTTAAATGAAATAATTCTGATGAGCGACTACTTTCAGATTTAATTTTAAAATAATGAAGATAATGCCTTGTTAGTGTTAGCGTCAGATTACCGAATTACTTTATTCAGTCATATATATTCACCATCTTTTTCTTTTATTTGCATAAATGTAATTTGGTATAGCATTATTTCCCTTTCGATGAGATCTGCGATATCAGTTATTTCTTTAATTTGTTTACCCGAGTGGAGTTAGCATTGAGTAAATTCCTTATTTTTTCAGATTCTGTTGAATACAAGAAGGGAACAGTACATCAAGCACGCGTATTATCATTCAAAATGGTTGAAAGAATATTAATAGTTGCAACACAGAAAAATATTTTAGCACAGAAAATGGTCTCCATAAAAGTAAGGCTTTTTTTTTTCATTTATTTAATATTTTGCTGCTTTACAACTTTCTTTTTGAAATCAACTTACGCCATTTCTAATTTTTGCAGCTTATTAACTTTTCTAAAGATCAATGTATTTTAACTTTAGCAGAATTATAATGAATAATTAATTATTTCTTTGCTTATTATTTTCCCTGTTTTGTTCATTACATGTCATCTTCAAATTATGTGTGCAGTAGATTTTATACTTCACTGTTTTGCGTGAAAGTGTCGAATGAATTTATTTGATCAATTTGTTTCACTGTTTCGTTTCAGGACGCTGTTCCAGGTGTAAAAGTTACTGCAAAGATAGAATCTGTGCTAGATAAAGGATTGTTCGTCAAAATATACAATTCAATCCCGGGATTTATACCCAAAATTCACCTTTCTGACAAGTTGATAACGCGAATTGAAAAACATTTCGTCGTCGGTAAATTTTTTTCTAACTTCATTAGATATTTTGTGAAAAAAAGATTACTTTGTTTGATTACCATCTGAATTATTAGTCAGTTGCATTCCAACTTGGTGCTGATATTCTTAAGCACTGAAAGGTTTTCTTTACTAGCACTTGGCAATTTTGCTTTTGAAGTATTTTATGATTGCATTCTTTGTAAAAAAAAAAAAAAAAAAAAAAAAAGTAGAATTAAAAAGCTTCTAGATTGCATATATTTTCTTTCCTAAAACATAATATATGCATTAAACTAATCAGGAAAAAATTGTAAAGTAATGCAGCTAAAAATTAGTTGAATGCTGCTATAAGAAGTGTCTTTACTTTAAGTTATTCTATATGTATGACATTCCAAAAATATTTTCCTATTAATGAAATTTTTTTTCCTATCATTAGAACAGTAGAATATAGATATAGGTAAATTTTTGTGCAAAAATTGTCGAAAGAATTTCTTTTTGCATGTTATATTAAAAGATTTTAGTATTGAACATACAATTAAGACAAATAGTTCAATTTTATTGCGACTTAATATGTCTCTTATTTTTACGTTCAGTAAAGAAGTGTTATGAGACCAAATAACTTTTTTTTTTTTTTTCTTGCAAGATTTGCGAGTTGAAAGAACAATAATTTTGTGAGTAATGGTTTCTTTTATTTTTTTTTTCTGCAAAGTCTACTCTAATTTAAGAATCAGGGTTGTGTACATAGTATGTAGTTCGGTCGCTAGTTATTTTACGTATTTAACTGATATCAGTTATTAAAATTGCTGTTCTTTCAAATATGTTTTTCTCTGCAGTGCTTTACAGTTATTTCTTTTATCTTCAGGTGATGAGCTCAACTGTCGTGTTTTGAATGTGAATAAGCTGAAAGAGAGACTTATTCTGACAAATAAACAATCCCTTATATCAAGCAAAGATACAATTATCAAAAATTACGCTGAAGTTACAACTAATGTAATAACTACTGGTTATATTATCTCGCAGCACTCAAGTGGTGGACTTGTTATTGGTTTTTATGGTGGAACATGCGGTTTTATGTTTCCGAAAGAGGCGGAACGATTAGGAACCAATGTGAAGTATGTTTATTTATTTTTTTTTGAACTTTCTTATGCTACTGTGTAATTTTGCATAAAAATGTGGAATTTTTTTTTCTTTACTTTTATCTATTATGTATTAAAGTTTATAAAATTGATTTTAAACTTTCAAAAGATATTGATTTTTCTCCTCTTCAAGAGTTGGTCTCACAGTCCGTGTTCGAGTGGTCAGTGTTGATCCGCAGCGTAAGCGTTTGTTGGTTGCCTTAGCTAATACGACTAACGGTGGAACCGGGATAGCAAGGGCTCAGGTTTGCTTTAAATGCTAATTTACGGAAAAGTGGAACCATATTAATATCTAGCCTGAATAATTATTGATGGGTGAGAATAGTGATCTTTATCATTTCTGCTGATTTCTGGTGAAGGATTTCGATTTTCTTCTTTCAATAACGTATGCTTTTGATCGAGATAACTGATTTGAAAGCAATTCTGCAATCCTCACCAGGACGAAACAAATGCAAATAGTTGTGAATTCTTCTTAGAAAACTTGTAATTTCCTTTTTTGCACACATTTAAATTTTAGCCATTTCTAATGGATAGAGAGAATCCCCTTTCTTTTTCGGCAGTTGTTGTGAATGTTTCATCGAATGGTGATAACTTAACACGGAATGAGGTTTTGAATGTTTCTGTCCGACTAGGAAAAAAATTGGTTTGTTTAATCTATCTATTAATGGTTTTTTTTTTTTAATATGTTACTTGATCTGCATGCATTATTGATCCTTTGGATGATTCATTATCAGTGCGTTTTTCATTTATAAAGATAAGAAAAAGGTTAAAAGTATCATCATAGCCACTTCAATAATTTTTTTTTGTGAAAATGAACCTCAATTCAGGGTGGAAAAGTGAAAGCATTCATTCCTAAAGAATTACTGAGTGATTACCTTGATTTACCTTTTCATTCATTAAATGAAAGCATTGCACCTGGAAGTGTGCTGCCAAAAGTTACGGTGTTGGGTGATATTGCCGGAAATCTTAAGGTTTGTTCATTTTTCAGATCAAAATTTGATTTTTGAAATTCAATTTTGAGGACTATTTATTCAATAGATAGACTTGATTTAAAGTTCATTGAAAACAAATGAACTATTGTGCAATTTAATAGATTACATTATAGTGATTGGACCATTAATGCTTTAGTTTTTGCTATATGCAACTTTTAAAATTCATGGAATTGGATTGAAGTAACATATATTTTAGGTGACGAGTAAGCGTTTCATAATTGATTGGTTAGAAAAGCATGCACGCATTACTGGTATTCAAGATCTTACGAAAGGAGATCTCGTTTGTGGTAATATCATTCAAAAACATAAAGAAATGGGATATTTTGTTGAATTGGCAGGTGGCTCAGCTCTTACAGGCCCAGCACGGTTTATACGTCCGATGATGCTGCCAGTGTCAATGCGTAAGTACTGATTAAAAGGCTTCTGAATTTTGTGATTATCTGATATTTTTAAAATTTTTTTACAATATACTTAAAAATAATTGCTGTTTTTCAGAAGAGCTTCAAATAGGACAAACCGTTGTGGCACGAGTATCATCAGTTGATTTGGAGAGGAAACGATTTGCTTTAATCTTAGATGTAGGTTCATTGTGATGTTATCATTTTTGCTGTTAAAATATTTATAAATATGCACATTTATAGAACTTTTCTTTACAATCTTTTCTTTGCTTTATTCTGAATATTTTAACAGATAAGATAATTTCTAAACGAAATGTTTTTCAGACACATCTCTGTGTACCACCAGGTGCAAAACCTGATTATTTTGCACCATCTATGATACATTATACTGTGGAAGAATTGAATTGGTTTATAGCAAATAATGCAAGCAATTCGCAAGTACCAAAAATCGGAGAATGTATCCATGTAAAGGTTATAGAGGTCTCAGAACGTAATGTTGTTGTACAGCATGGTGATAACACAAATCTGAAAGGATGCACAATAAATAGCACTAATATTCTGCAGGTTTTCTTCAAAATATACAATAATACAGTTTCTCAAAATATAGATTGATAGAGTTCATAAGTCGTTTTTAGTTAATAATTTCAACAGAAAATTGAATGCAGAATGCGTAGCAAAGAAATTGTTTTTAGCTTTGCTGAGGGTATTTCTTTTTTTTTTTCTGAAGAGATAGATTTATGTGATTACTGCCATTTTCTTTGAAAAGTTTTAAGAAACAAATCTTGGTCTGAATCGCATGTATTATTTGAAAAGCTTTACTATTTTTTTTTTTTTTTTTTTCAAAAAATTTTAGAAAGGAAGCTATGCTAAGGCATTGGTTTTGGATATCAAATTGCCAACCTGCGAATTAGTTCTATTTCTTCTTGATGATGGTGTTCAGCATTTGGATGAGGTATAGAACAAAAATTATAGTTGTGAACTATCACGGAAACTGTTCTTTGTTTATTTTTCGACTAATAAATTAAATTAATATAAACAATATTTGTAACATCAATCTTCTATCCCATTTTAATTAACTGTATGGTTAAGTTGTTCTTGTAAATTACCATGGTAGCAGTTTGTTCTTTCTCTTTTTTAAGAGAGAACTTATGTTGTTTTACTTCGCTTAATTTGCAGTAAATTGAACGGTATTTTCAGTTCAAAAACTCAATTTTTGTTTCAGTTTAAATTGCTATTCAGTTTTTCAGCATTAATTAGTTTTTGGTGAAAATTTTCAGAAAAAACTCCAGTCACTGTTGTGCAGTAAAAATGAATTAGATGCGAAGGTATGGTTATACAAAAAAGAATATGCAGTTGCGACAGTAGAAACTGAAAAATCGGCTTTTGTGGTTTATATTCCGACGAGAATACATCCAAATATAAATGTGAATACTATTTCTGCAAATTTAGGTCAGTTTTAACTAAATATAGAAAGTTGTGCTAATTTTGTCTATGAATTCAAAAAAAAAAAAAAATGCGTTTATCGATACTAGCTGTGTTCAGCTTACATGCTGCTAATATTAGGATTATAAATAATGGATTTAACATATGATTCAAAAAGATAAATATTCATTTTGTTTGACCTATTTTACGACTACCGTGAACGTAAAGCATCACCGTAAGCTGAAAAGAACAATAAATGAATAAATTTCGAAGTAATCAGATTTGAGCTAGAAGTTTAACGTTCACGTTTCACGAGAAGGGGATAATGCAAAAAAAGAAAGTGTGGTCACTGCCGTAAACGTAAGGTATTACCATCGCTATCATGAAAGAATCAAAAGTGGCAAATTGAATTATTTTGAAGGTAATATAACATTAAGAATGATTATAGATGAAAGTAATAATCAATACACAATTACACCTAAATTGGTTGCTGGAAATATTATGATTGGAATTGCAATGGAAATGCTAAGGAAATACGGATTAATTCGTAAAAAAGTTAAGGTATTATTATTTTATTGGTATTCCCTGTCGAAACATAAAAAATTTAACTTTATGTATTTGATAAATTATACTGTACATTGTATGATTTGCATTTAAACATAATTTCTTAAGTGTTTACATAGCTGTTGTTTAAAAAAAAAAAATACTGAAGTCCTCTTGTTGTTCTCTTGTTAAAGTTTCTAATATTTTTGTTGATGATCTTATTATTTACTATATTTCATTCCTGTTTTCTAGGTACCAGTGAAGCCAGCAGTGAAAAAAAAATTAAAACAATTTAAGATTTATGCAGCAAAAGTTGTGGGAATGTGGACCAAAGATGATTTATACAGTGCTGTCGAATTAGAGTTTCCCGATGGCAGTATCGGTATGAATTTTTTTCATTTTGTTGTCTGTTAGGAAATGTGTTTCAAAGATGACAGCAGATCGATCACATTATTATGCTTCTCTATTGTCATCTTATTGCGGTATTTATCTTCGTCAAAACAAATTTATAAATTTTATGGTATATATGGTTTTTGTTAACTGCATTTGCGCATTACAAATTTACATTTTAGGACGTTTGCATGCATCGGAATTTGATCAAAGTTTCTTGAATCAAACTTCTCAACCGGTTCAGAGTTTTTTGAGAAAAAAGAAAGGTAAAACAGTTAACGTTAAAATTATGTGTTTCACGAAGTTGAAGCAAAAAATGGAAAAGTTGGATCTTTCTAAACCAAAAGGAAAAGGTGTACAAAAGAGCGAAAAAATGGTTGTTGTAAGTTCTTTTTTCTTAACTGTGCTTTTGCTGATTTATATTTGGTTTGATAATAGTATATACTATAAAATGCCAAGGGAATAATTGGAACAGTTTGCAACAACAACTCTAATTCAACTTTATATTGTTTCAAAAAAAATGAAATGTTTGGATTGGCTTGAAAAGTATTCTTCAGAACTAGGAAATAAGTAACAAAATATTTGAGTATATCAAAAAATCTACGAACTTATTATATTAGGATAAGGTGAAACAATTTGTTGTAAAAAAAAAAAAAAAAAAAAAAAAACACTATCGATTTTCGTAACTTTTATTTTAAGATGGCAAAAAATATGTGTATTCCAGGTGACACGTTTGGCAGAATGTACGATGAAAACTTGGAAATTAAATGAAACAAAGAGGAAGCAATCATTGCTAGGATATCCACAGAGTTATGTTCATGGATCGTTAATTCCTGTTTTTGTATGTAAAGGACCTCATGTTGGTGTAGTTAAAGTAGAAGTTAGTCCACTTTGGAATGGTGTCATTCGGAAACAAAATTTGTACGATGAAAATTTGGTATGTTTATGCTACTTGTAGCTTTAAAATAAGGTGTGTAAACATTCTCATCATAAAATAGTTTTGAAAATTATAACGTGTGAAGTGTGATATAAGCTTGCTTTCTTTTTCTCTCTCTCTCTCTAAATTAGTTTAAAACATGTTTCAAATATCTATCAATCTAAAAAAGCATATATTAATTTAATATATATTTCAGATGACTAATCCAGCAAATGATGCGTCAGCATTAATTGATATCGATTTTGAACCTGGTGAGAAATTGATTGCACAAATTATTGGAGTGAACGTTTATAAAAACAAACGTGGTAAGTCGAGGCATCGAAAATGTTTGGAAATGACTTTGAAACAAACGCGAAAGGTTATTGTTTTATTCTGTTGAATTCTTTTTTAGTATGTTGTTTAATTTTTTAAGTGTAATATTTTCTGTAATTACTATATCTTAAAGTTCTTTTTTTTTTTTTTTTTTTTTTCAAAATTGAGACATTGGAGATCGAATAAATGAAAAATTATCAATTTTTTAAAAAATTCTATATAAAATCTCAATTTACAGGCATTTGAATCTGGTGATCGTGTGACGGGAAGAGTTGTTGGTATTACACAGTCACCAAGTAGTATTATATTAGAACTTACCAATAATCAACGAGCTATTCTTACTTTGACTGGTATCATGGGTAATTATTTGAAAGCACATGAAGTTATAAAGACTTATGAGTTAAATCAGGTGCATTTTTTTTCTTTATATATATATTTCTACATAATAGTAAATTTGAATGATTGTGAATTACAAAATTTGAGCCAAACATTCCTAAGCGTAAAGTATGGAAATTTATACTTCACTTCAATTTATTTCGCTTGCATCAATTTTTTACGAAATGAAATTAATACTGAGGTGATATTTAGTAAATAATTCTTATTTTTTTTTGTGTTGAAATTTAATGCTCATTTTTTTTAAAAAATATGTTTTGATGCTTTATATTATAAATTCAGATTTATAATGTGGAACTTTTGAATTTTGATAGCGATAAGGGTAGGTGGCTTGCAGTCACGGAATCACGCTCAGAAAGTACGCTGTATCGAAATGGAACTGATATTGAGGTAAGATGTGATGAAGAGTATTTTTTTATATTTAAATCCAGTCGTTTTCATTTGTAAAAATATTTAGAGATATTAAATTTTAGCTGCTATTTCTTCACGTATATCTTTAAATAAATGGATAGAGGAGTAAATAAAAACAAAGCACAGTAGATTATGCATTAATACTTCTTAAAATTTCTTTAACTTTAACTGATGTTTTCATTTTTAGTAGTTTAGCTTTATTCTTTCAATACTGTTATAAGTGTTTTTGCTTAGAGTATAGTTGTGAAGTTGTAGCTTTATTTCATTTCAGATCGGTTCAGAACTTCAAGCATTCGTAACTTCAACATCTGATGATGCTCATGTCTTTGTCGAAGTCAGTCCTGGCATTTCTGGTTGCGTCGTAAAAAGCAAAAAGTATTTCATTTTCACATTTCAGATGTTGTATAAAATTGATTTTTATTACATATGAAAATCTATGAGAATTTAAAGATCATTCCATAACAAAAATAATTAACAATTTTTCACTTCATTGAAAGAATATAGGAAGTATTGAGTGAAGCCAACCTTATTATTTAAGCAGAAATGAAATAATTATGAACATTGTGAATTGAACTTTTAGAATGAGGAATTTTCAGATTATCTTTAAAACCTGATGATTTGATTAAAGTTCGTGTCAATCATGTCTTTCCGGATGGTGGTTTGAAAGTAGATTTTGTCAATTTGATTGCGGAAAGTTCTACGGATGAAGTTTGTGTCTATTTTTTTCCAGTTTTTTTCATGGGTTTTTAATTTTTCTTTTCCATTGATATTTTACTGAACTATTTCTTCTTTGTAATTGTCATTTTTGAAATAAATTCCTTGATATTCTTTGCTAGCATCATTTTCATAAATTATAAAATGCTTTAAATACGAATATTTTATAGAAACCGCGAAAGAGGCTCAGAAGTATTGCATCTGATAACGCAATCGATTTGCCACGAAAGAAATCGAGAGCAGCTGGTTATGTGGCAGCTCATTCCAAAGAGAATGAACCTCCGCAAGTTATTCTTGCTGAAGCAAAAGTAGGAATTAACATTGAAATGAACTTCCTAGTCTGTTAGAATGTTTATATTTACCTGATATTTACCTGATATTGTTTAAACATTTACTATTTATGTTTTTGGCTAAAGAATTTGTTAGTTTATTCTTTAAATTAATTTATAGCTTAGTTCTTTTTGCTTTAATTTTAGTTACCGGAACCAGGTTTGGACTGGTCTCTAAAAGGTTTTACACCAGCTGAATTTGCAAAGGTAGGACAACTTGGTGAAAAAGTGGATGTCGCAGATGATACTTTAATGGCGAGAAATAAATCTATTCCTGAAATGGCAAGAAATGAATCATCCATTCCTGATAATGTTGAAGAGCAAAGCAAACCAAAAAGTAGGTGTATATTTTAAGGCGTTTTCTTACCATAGGTTGCGTATTAAGTCTAATGTTAATTTTCACCGTATTGGGAAGGTTTTAGCTTTGATTTTTGGTATTTTGGTGTGGTTTACTACTTGTCAGAAAAATAATTGAGTAAAGTTTTTTTGTTTATTTAGATAAATCTAAAGACTTTCTCGATTTAAAAATATTTTTTAAACTTTTTTTATGTATTACAGCTAAAGAGGAGCTTGAATTAGAAAAGGAAAAGAAATTAATGGCTCGTGAACGAAAAATTCTTGAGGCGGATTGGATCCCGGATAACACAAATGATTTCGATCGTTTAGTTACTGGTTCACCTAATTCGTCGATCTTGTGGATCCGGTATGTTTGAAACTTATATTTCCGAATCTTTTAACGGGACTTTTGTCTAAAAAGTGTTTGCAAATGAAAGTAACTTCGCAGTGGTACAGTGAAGTCAAATTATTGCTTTATTTTTTAATGGAAGAAGAAATGCATATCATAAGTTTATTATTAATACTTTTCCAGATACATTACATTCTTTCTGGAGCAAAATGATATAGACAAAGCAAGGGCAGTTGCAGAGCGAGCACTTTCAGTTATCAATTTCCGGTTAGTTCTTCATCTAAATGATAACTTTGCGAGATAATACTATGTTAAAAATGAAAATAAGATTTAAAACCATCTGAAATTTGTTCTAAATTATTCCATATGAAAAATAGTTCAAAAGTAATTTATGTGAAATATAAACAACATAATTTATTTCTTTTTTTGTTTCAGAGAAGAAGATGAAATTTTCAATGTTTGGACAGCATATCTCAATTTAGAAGGAAATTTTGGTACGAGTGAATCATTGAAGGCAGTTTTTGCTAATGCTGTCAGAAACACTGATCCTCTGAAAATGTATAAGCAAATGGTAAAAATATATCAAAAGCTCGAGAAAATTGAGGTGTGTTTCATGTGTACCTAATGTATATTTCTGATTTCGTTATTGAAAAAAAACTATGTGTTTCTTTCAGAATTGTAGTTATAGTGAAAAAGCAAAAATTTTCTCATTAACCAAAATCTTTTAGAATTTTTTTTTTCTTAAAAAATTTCAAAATAGTGGTTTTTAGTTTAAGAAGAAAAATTTCTTTGGGGAAAGATTTTTTGTATGATGCATTGATTTTTTGAAAAATAGAATGTATTTTTCCTTTCAATTTCATACAAAATTTATTGCAGGAAATTGATGATTTGCTAGAAGAGATGTTGAAACGATTTCGTCACGATGATTTGGATGTTTGGTTCATTTATGGACAACATTTGCTGGAAACAAAACGCCCAGATAAAGCAAGGAATCTGATGAAAAAAGCGATTAATTGTTTACAACGAAAACATCGTAAGTAACTATAATCGTCTAAAAAGATTTAGGTTCATTTAACCAATCAAACTTTTGTTTTTATTATTGTCAGTTGTTGTTGGTTATTAGCAATCAAAAAAATATTGATTACTCTTAATATCTCTTAAGGTATAGTATTAATTTTTTGTTATGGAACATAGATTAGAATTAGTGCAGTAAATGAAATAATTGTGAAAGATGACACATACATCAGATGATTGTTTTTTTTTTTCTTTGAATTTGATTTTAGACGTGACAATTTTGAGCCGTTTCGCACAACTTGAATTCAAATTCGGTGATATTGAACAAAGTAAAACAATTTTTGAAAGTATTTTAAATTCATATCCGAAGAAAACAGATGTTTGGACAGTTTACATCGATTTGCTCATCAAAGCTGAGAAAATTGAGGATGCAAGGTCATTTTTTTTTTTTTTCGAAAAATAACAGTCTTTTCTACTTATTTCGTAGCAATATCAGTATAATTGGAAAAATGATTAAACCTTAACGTTGCTTGCAGTTTACACAAAAATTTTGTTCTAGGCAATTATTGGAACGAGTTACTGCACTAAAATTATCCACTCATAAAATTCGATTATTTTTCAAAAAATGGGTTGACCTGGAACAAAAACATGGTGATGAGAAACAACAGAACAATGTATGTTTATTTGAGTTTTACAAAAAAAAAATTAAATCCTAGGATAACTTAGTGAAACCATGGAATAAAGTGAAAACTGAGGTAGAAAGATGTAAATTATTGTTTCTTTTGTCGTAAATGAAAGACATTCGAGGAATAATTCAATAAAGCTAACTCCTGTTACTTCACATTTCATTTAATTTTTTGAATTCATATTCTTTTTTTACATATTTACCTCTAGATGAAATATAAAAAGTAGAATAATTTGTTAATTCGTTTTTCTTATTTTTTAGGTTAAAGAACGAGCAGTGCAATATTTACAAGATGTTACAGAACTTGTATCTGAAGCATAATTATTGGATTACTCCAATTTGCCCTCTGTTTGGACGAGCATTTTTTTCTTTGAAAGTTTTGTATTTTTTTTATCTGCTATGGTTGATAAGCGGGTACTTAAGTGATTCCTGATTGATTCTAGAATATTAATTGCAGGTAACTTCTAAGTGTTATCAGCTTTACCCATTTATTGTGTACATATAACTACTGCTGTTGTCTATCGTTGTTGTTGCTTCTGTTGTTTTTCTTGCTGTTGGTTAAATTTGACATTTTAAATAAATTGTTTATTTTATCTTTTTTGCACATTTTACACCATTATTTGTTTGATGGATTGTCCAGTCCCTCCATCGCTCTCACATTATCATTTATTTTTTTGTGATTTAATTGCAAAAATCACCACTTTTCATTATCAAATTATGTAGGAACTGTTTTCTGCAGGTGCATAGCTATATCAATTAGCTCTGCAATATATACAAAAAGAAATGTTTTTGAACTATAACTTTTAATTTGATCATTTGATGTGGTAAGGGTTTTTTTTTTTTTTTTTTTTGCACTTTGGTTCTTGTGCACTTTATTCATTTAATCGTTGATTAATTCTTGAATTTATCAGAAGATCCGACTTTTAAGTATTACTGCTAAAGATTAAGCTTTCAAATTACTGTGTTTCTAATATAAAATGTATGATCTAAAACAGATCAAAGCTTCGACATCTTAAATTTATAAAGTAAATGACAGAATATTTATGATGTTACTTTTAGTGTTGAAATTCTTTACAAATTTGAATTGCAGAGCCATTTCTCAGTCCAATTTATGCAGTACTAAATAATTGTGAAGAATCCAAATGGGTACATATGTTCAACAATTGAAGGAAGAATATGAGAAACGTCTTCGTGGTAACAATTTTTGATGAATACTTATTTGATTATCTATTATTTATCTGATGTAAAATAAATGCAAAAAATAGAACAGAAGATATTAGACAATATTAGAGTTTGGTTGAATTGTTTACATTATGATAAAACATTTTTTAATAATTATTGTTGGATAATGATTGGTAAGAAATGTTAAAATTTATAAATTGGCATTTACATTTTATTATGAACTAGCATACATTTTAAGGAACAAAGCTATGAATCTTTTCAAGTGAATTAGCTATCCAAAAGTTGGGATATGTATAACTGACAAAGTCTGCTCAGTGCAGTGTAGTTTTTGTATAAAAATTTTTTAGAATCTTTTCCAAATTCAGTATTGATTTTGAAGTATTAAAGAGAATAATTTTTAAATTTAAAAAAGAGAAAAAGGAGACTTCTGAATTAAAATTGTTAAAATATGTTTGACATTATTGTAATTTTTGCAAGCGATGTGACTTGCTAATTTTATAGTATCAGAACGAACGTTACACGGTGAAAAAGAAAGACGACGACAACTTAATTTTCATTGTAAACAACTTGAAGCGCAATTGCGAAAAGTTCAACGAGACAATGAAAGTATGGGAAAGCAGTTAAAAATGATGAAAAAGTGTGCATCATGCTCACATCTTGGTAATACTTGTTTTTTTTTTGACTTTAACTAATTTCCTTGGAATTGCAAATATACAAAAAATTTTTCGATGATTTACTTATTCCTAAATTGTTTAATTTTCGCATCGTTTATTATCACATTTTCTTTCTTCATATCACAAATGTAATTTTACTACAAAAAAAAAAAAAGCAATTTTCTATAATTTATTCAAAAACTCAAATGGAAAGCTTAGCATAGGATAATTGGGAAACTTTGGAAGTATCTTCTGTAAGAAACAGACTTTATGCTTTTTCTTATGCATTCTTAATTTTTTTTTTTTTTTTTTTTGTTAAATATGATTTTTCAATTGAGTGAAAAGTTTTCTAAATTTTCTTAAACGAATAGTAAATTTATTTATCTATCAATCAGAGCGCAGTATGGTTCTAAAAAAAAAAAGAAAAAAAAACAGAAACAAAAAGTAGAAAAGCGTAGTGATGTTAACTTGCTGTTTTTTTTTTTTTTTTTTTTTTTCATTATTCTCTAGAAGGTTATTTAATGGAAAAATTGAATTGTTTTTAATATTACTTTAAATTCCTGCTTTTTTTTGATGGTTTTATTTGTGAAATAAAATCTTATATGATCGATTTTTTTACAAAATAAATAAATTTTGCAAATTTATTTCATTTTAGATCAGCGTAGCAAAAGTTACAATGCTTTAAATGTGTTACTACGCGGATCTGTGGCTGCTTTGGAACCAGATGCTATTGTATCAGTTGGTCGTAGTGATGAATTTAAAATGATTAAAAATGCAAATAGCAATCTTCAGCAATGTGTTGATAAATTACAGAGTATGGTGAGAAGATAATTTAAAATTTGATATAAGATTTTGTTAAATTTCATGATTGAATGTACAAATTAAATTTCAATTTTCATTTGCTTTATGTGAAATTGTTCATTTCATTTTCCTTTTTTTATAGCTACTAAAAAAAGGACGTGAAGCTTTAGCAGCAGAAAAATATTATAACAATGCAATTTCGGAACGTGAAGAGCAAATATCTCGACTTCAGAAAGAGGTTTTATTTTCTTATTTTGTTTTTATTTTTTCTAATTTTAAAATACACTTCATTCACGTATGTTGATAGTATTATTTAGATGTAATATAGTATTGTTTAACATTGTTTTTGTTTCTTCTACACTTGTATCCGTAATTTTATCCTAAATTCTTTTGTCAAAATTAACTTACTGAAGATGGAACACATGATTTTAACATTGAAATTTAGTTTATATGTAGGAATAAAAGCAAATAATTAAGCTTATTTATTTAATAAATTGTTGAGTAACTTCATTCAATTGGCAGTTTAGAAGTTACGTTGCATTTTATGCATTTAATAATTCATTTTAAAAGAAAGGCAAATGTTTCAGCTTCAAGAGCGATGGAGAGGAGTTTCTACACAGTCAGTTGTATGTGTTAAACTAACCTAAATTTTGGAAAAAAAAATTCCATCGCAATTTGTGAATTTTTTTTTGAACTGATGTTAAGGAGAGTTAATCAGTAGTTATATCTTACTATTGTCTAACAATGGAAAATTTATTTCATGTGAAATGTACTAACTTTCTATCGCAACTTACTTTAGCACAGAATTAAAATAATAATAAAAAATACGGAGTGTTTGTTAAACTAGAAAGTTGTTCAGCAGAACAACCATCACTCATAAGTGTGCTAATACTTATAAGTCTAGAATTTATTTATAAATGTAAAATTGAAGTTGGAAATCTTCATTTTAATATTTCTTGTCATTATGAATTTCAAAATATTTGTTATAGGCTAACCAGCATATAGAAACGAAATTGAAAGCATTGCTAAAAGTTAGTGCTGTATTAATTTCTCATGATTTTGATTTTAATGTTAAAAATTTTCTGTATTTAAATACTGTAATATATGTTTCAATTTAAAATGTTAAATGGAAAATTTGCAAAAAAAAAATTTTTTTCTTTTAGGAGAGAACCGAATTGTTGGATCGAATAAATCGTTTAGAGAAAGAGAATAAAGAAAATTACGATGTTGTACATAATGAACCACAAAAGTGAGTTCATTTTGATTTGTATAGTTATTATCATAAATTTTGCATGTTTATTTTAGATTTATTGCTCTCTCTAGTAAGAAAAATATTAGTTCGATTAAGTGCCAAAGAAATTGATTCGTAGTATAAAATTGAAAGATAGTATTAGATGAGAGAAATTTATTAGTAATGACTTGTTATATCATGTTTCATTCTTTAGCACTGAATATTCGACAACTACTCCAGCAATCTTTGAAACTGATGTTAATCCGTACTGCGGATGTTGTCGAAATCGAATAAAAAATTGGAACAAAATGTTAATCCTTCATTATATTTTTTACTTTTTGAGTGTGAAAATTATTATTCATTTATTTAATTATTTTGAAGAAAGATTTCCCTATGTATATTTTTTACACTATATATATTTTGATATGTAAAACGGTGTGCTTAAAAATTTCGGGTTTTAGAAATGGTTTTTATTAGTTGTGTAATTTACATTTGATGGTTTTATTTTAGGTTAAATGCAAAACAAATAAATATCACTGAATTTACGAATCCTGATGAGAGTGATTCAAATCGATTAAAACAAAATGTAACGGCTGCAGAGAAGATTCAGGTATATATTGGAAATTTACTAATGATAATTTAGTTGAATTTTACTGTGACAAGCGACTGAATAAACAGATCAGTAATTTGTTCAGATTTGTAGTTTTTAACCCTTTCACTTCCTAATGGCACAATAGACCGAGATTTATTTTCAGTTATATTTTTCACATTTTGTGTGTAATAGCAGCGTATATTTTTGGTTTAAAATTTAATTATTTCCACTTACTTGAAATTTGGCATTTTAATCGCGATAGTAATGTTGTAAGCTAGTTGTCACGGAATGTATTTTTATTTTTATATTTCAACCAGAATTTTTTTTGAAATAAGTTATTTTCATTTTTTTTTTTTTTTTCCAGAAGCTTTCTCTTGCATTGGAAATGGAGAAAGAGAGGAATAGAGCGGTGGAAAATGCTCTAAAGAATGAAAATAATAATGTAAGTTTCTTGATTGTTTTTCGGATTTAATTTCCACAGATACCTTTCAAATAAATTTGATCAGAAATACAGTTTTTCTAATTTTGTGGTGAAATTAATTGTTCGATTTTAGCTGTCGAGCAGTTACCAGAAATTACTTCATCAGTGTGAATCTTTGGAAATGGAATTGGCTAAAAGACGAATTACTGAACAAAGTGCTAAAAATCAAACAAAGTAGGTTTGGTATTTTAAAAGAAAAATGCATCACTGTTATAGTCATGTATCTGAAGTATTACTTTTCCGTTTCGAATTGTAGTAGATTAATATCTGTTCTAGATCACTTATGATGCAATTTTATTGTTATCCAGAATGTATTGATGATAAAAGTAATATATCAAGTTTTCATGAAGTTTCCATTATTCAAAATATAACTAATTTTCT